CCTCACTACCTTTTTACTTGATGTGCTGATATGAGGTGTGGCAACTCGGACCGTTACGCAGTAATGCCTGGTCCTATGTTGATAATGATGATGATGAAACATCTAAGCAGTGGAGAGCAGCTGACTGAAGTGAAGATAAAGACAAAAACGAAAATGATAATAAAAGAGTATAGTTCATTTGTGAAAACAACAAAAACAATATGACAATAATAATGAATCGAAGAATTAGTTATCGTGTCTGCAGTACGGAAGGCTTCAATATTTCCAGAGAAGTAGGGAAAGTGCTTCGAAATCTTCTTTGCATATTGTAACTTCATATTTTATGTCAGGGGTAAAATAGTGCGTGAGCACGCAGACCGAAGCGAGTGGTTGTCTCAGCGGACCACTCTCCGAGCCTTTGACTTCAAGTTTAATCAACAAGGGAGTGGTGCAACATCAAGCGCTGCATTATTGTGGTTACTGGTGAAGGAAACAGGTGCATATACCATTTGTTCCATCTCAAACGGGAGCCCATGAGTACCATAGGGTTAAGAATCAGGGTTTTCCAACTCCCCTAGGTAAATTCTTGGTATCCATTAATAAGATGATGAGCGCCGGACACTCACCTCCACTCTTTGTCTTCTGTAGAAATACCCTCGCCCCATGAAGTCAGTGAATAGTATTTCTCTGTTAGAGGCTATGAACACATGCCAAGGTATTTGGGGGTCTGTTCTCAAAGTTTATCACGCACTCATCCTTTCCTGCGACGACCTAATTATTCAAAGTTTCTTCCTGTAAGTTTCCCCAACCGGTCTGAATAGTCGCCCGAGAATACTTAATGCTGATCCATTCTTCACCTGTTTCACCTTCACACTAAATGAAAAGTCAGGCGTACTGGTCAGGGCAGACCAATCCTCAAAATAATGGTTATTTATTCGCAAATACTGGTGATGGTTAATAACCAAACAACTAATCAAAAAACGAGTGCGGATAAACTCGTTAAACACCTACATACGAAGACTAAAACCAAATAGCTTCCCAATAGTTTTTTTCAAAACTACTCAACCTTCTAGTGCGTAATACTTATGACAACAAATAACTCAAACATACGTAGGAAAACCGATCTCTGAATAATATGAAAGAAACTAGAAGCGGTTATTCAATAGGTAGTATTTTTTTTAAAGGATACTGGTTGAACTTAGCTCGGAAATAAGGCGTTAAACCAGAATCTAATGGCATGCTATTTTGAAATACTTAAATTCAAAGCGAATTCTTTTGTGGCACTCTAAAGAAACAGTTAGAAAAATAACACTGATTAAGACAATAGCCAACCTCGAATGGTAAACTAGTTCACTAGTTACTAGCCGGTCCTAAACCCGGATATAGAGGGAAGGTTGGGCATACGACTAACAACCCTACCCAGTAAAACCAATCCAATCGCTTAGGAAACTTCATAGCACAGACCAAATATAAAAAACAAAAATTAACTTATTCCTCGCTAGAATCGGGAGACGAAATGACGACGGTTGGTGAAAGCCTTCCGGAAACCAATTACCCGATGTGTCTTCGTCTCTCTCTCTCTCTCTCGATGAAAGCAAAAGTTAGAATGGGGACATGGAATGTCCGAACAATATTTGAAGCTGGCTGGCAAGGCTGCCCAGATTCCAAAAGAGATGAGAAGGAGAAGGTATGGCATAGAAGTGCTAGGCTAGGAATCTGAGAAAGTAGATGGGATGGAAGTGGACTCTCCAAACTGTCAACTGGAGAGTCAATAATCTACTCCGATTTTGTCACCCAGACGACAACCACAAGCACACTGAGTTTTGGAGTGGATATCATGATGTCCCCAACAGCATCGAAGACTCTCTCTCACGCAGTGGGCGCAAATCTCCTCCTGCAGGATCAGGATGATGACACCAAGATTTAAATCAAAAGGAAGGAAAGTTACAATCATACAATGCTATGCTATGCTACGCTACGCACCTACAAACAATGCAGATGAAGAGAAGAAGGAGGAATTCTACAGACAACTGCAATCAATACTAGACAAGACTCCACCCCAGATGGCGACATCAAAATTCTAATCGGTGGGGTGACATGAAAGCCGAACTGGGAGCGGACAACACAGGAAGAGAACTTATCATGCGTCGAGAAGCACCGGGGTGAAATGTACGAGAATTGAGAACTGTTTGCAGATTTCTGCGCATCCAACGATTTGGTGATTAGAGGCGAGGCAGTGTGTACAAACACAAGGATATTCACAAGGCAGCGAGATGGATTTGATTTCACCAGACACCAGGACACACTACACTAAAAATCAGATCGACTTCATCTCAATGTGAAGAAAGTGGAGACACAGCCAGCCTACTGGACACAAGATCAGATGAAGAAGAGGAGCAGATGTAGGTTCACACCACTCACTTCACTATCTAGTGCAAGGAGCCTGCCTCCAAAATCAAGTTGAAAGCCATCACAGAAGTTGGTGATAGACGACCATAGTTGAAGTTGAACACGCAGAACAGAAACTGCACTGAAGGACGAAACTACAAAGGACATCTTCGCTTCATCACCTGCAACTCGTCAAGAAATACCACCAGCAGTCCAGCCAGAGAACTATCAGTGAATACAAGCCCTCCGGGAAAAGCAGAAGTGAAGTCCTGATCGCCGCGCCATAAAGTTTCTTGAAGCCAGGAAAGAAGCAGGACGATATGGAATCCCCCCAGAAGCACATAGACAACAGCGGACATGCTCACACAACCACTACACAAGGTTTACAAGGAATGGATGAAGGAAGGAAGGAAGGAAGGAAAGGTACCTGCCAACTGATTGGAAGAAGGGCTACCTTGTCAGTGGACTCCTGAAGAAGGCTGACCCAAGTCTTTGCAAGAAATGGTGCGGAATCATACTACTGTCCATCCCTAGCAGGCAAAATATTAAGCTGCATCATCCTGGAGAGATTGAAAAATGCTCTAGAATCAAAATTACGACTGCCTTCAGGAAGAACAAATCATGTGCGCACCAAATTGTAACGCTACACTACGCATCATCATAGAACAGAGTATGGAATGGCAATCAACTCAGCTCAACCTCAACTTCATCGATTTTGAAAAGGTCTTCGACAGCGTCGACTGAGAAGTAATTTGGCAGGCAGTTGCTTCAACACTATAGTTTTAGTGCCACAACTCTTTATCAACCTCATTCAACAGCTGTATGCTAGAAGAAGAGGCTACATGCCAAGTGATCTACAATGGAAAGCTCAGTGACACCTTTGAAGTGAAGATAGGGGACAGGAGTAAGACAAGGCCCCCGTCTACTATCACCCATCATCTTCCTGATTGTGGTGGGTTGGATCGTGCAGCAAACCATCAGAGGTGGGAAGATGGACATAAGCTGTCTGGAGCGATGAAAGGATCATAGAGGAAGATTTGGATTTCACCACCGATGATGATTTGCGTCTAATGTGTTGTCGCACAAACTCGAAGATCTACAGGTGAAAACTAACAAGTTGGCAGAAGAGGCAGGGCAGCGAAAACGGGACTCCCTTCAGGTGAACGTAGAGAAGAAGAATGCAGAGGTGATCAAGATACCCAACCAACAACAGCATCAACAACAAGCACCAATCACCATGAACGGGAGGAATTTAAAGGGAGTACTCTTCCACCTATCTGGGTAGGGCAGTATCATTTCAACTACAGGTGGCGGCACAGACACAGATGAGGATGTCAAAGCCAGGATTGAAAAGACAGCAAGACAGGTCTTCGTTACTCTAAAACCAGGGTGGAGATCTTCTGCACTGCACTCAGCATAAAGCGTGAACAAGATCCAAATTTTCAGCACCAACGTCAAGTCAGTGCTTCTATATGGTGGTTCAGAAATTTGGCGAGAAGTATTTCCAGAAAACTACAGACATACATCACATCAATAGCTGCCACCTACACTCACTCGATAGTGAAGATGAAATTGCCAGAATAATAAGCAACAAGGAACTCTGGCCGGGCAACGAACCAACCAATAACCAATCGTCCAACAAATATTCAGAAGAAAGTGGAGATGGATTAAATTGGGCAAACACTAAGAAAACCGATTGAGGACATCACGAGCCAGGACAGGCCATCGAGTCAGGTTGCTTGTTAGCGCCATTTCTACAGGGAAATACATATTACGCCAGGGTTCATGAAAGGGAGAGTTGCTGCTACGTTTAGTTAGATGCCCCTTAAATACACAATTGACGTTCTTATTTTCCAGTCAAGCACACTCAGGCTCCGCTCTCTCCAGTTTTCTGCGATCTCAACAGTGCAGATTTTTTCACAAATTTTCTGCTTCTTAGTCAAGATACTGAAATACAGTATTCTCCCACTCCTCTTTTGAGGATTTTATTTTTCATTTGAGTGGACCTTCGCTTGATGGCTTGATATGAAATGTGGAAATTGGGACCGTTACGCGTGACTTCAGATCCCATACTGACATTATCTGCTTTTCATATTGGTAATACAAAACTATATCAGGACTTACATTGTGCTGGACAGCGATAGTTCCGTTCACAATCGCATTTTCTGTCTAACTGTTGTAGAAATAAACTAGTGAATAGTAATTCTGCTCCCTAAATTTCTTTGCCATTATAAATCGACCACTACTTACAATTATTGTCCGGCTATTTCACGTAAACTCGCTTATGCCACTTAGCAGATTTTCGCGCAACTTTATTTATAGTTAGAAGCTCCTTTATCAATAGATTAGGAAAAAATAAGCAACCTTGCTTCTTCAAATAAATAAATAGTCATATTTATTTTCCTTGATATCTTAATCCTTTTTGTACACAAAATACAAATTTGTGTTTGGCATTAGATGAAAGCAAGTTGTTGCAAGCTTAACATTGATATTTGAAAAATTCTCACGCTTCGGCATGCAAAGAAGACTCTGGAAGAATTGAAGTGGCTGCTTTTTTAAATGGTAGTAAAATCATTCTATGATACATAGGAAACAGATTTCTTTCCTTTAGAAAAAGGATGATTTGTGTGAATTTATAAAAACGGCATCCATCCTTTGTACATTTGACATAGTCGATCGACGTCAGTTGCTTCTTTGATCAATGTATCAACCTGAAGGAAAAATAATAGGCACACCTTAAAATTTGTGGGTAACAACAATCTCAAAGTAACTGTGAAGACGTACAAATTACCCCCCCCCCCCCTTGATTTACCCTGACGTATAAGAACTTATTTAAGTAGCAGTCTTCCATTTACAATTCGATTACGTGACTGGTACAAACCAGGTTACCTACTTCACATGATCAGGTAATCTACTAGATACTTGCTTGACTTATAGACATTCAGTACATACAGATAATGCATACAAGTAAAGAAACGGAAATCGACCTAGAAAGACATCATCATTGATGTTGTCATCTGCTAATGACCTGGTAAATTAAATGAACAACTATTTTTCATCTCTAACATTTTTATTTAGCTGATCACCCTTATCAATGGAGTTTGGCCATTGAGTAAATACTGTCATAATAGATTAGTTTATTTTAGCATATCACACAGTAAAACAGTGTTATTTACTTTAGGTGAGGTTTCAATCACAATGTTTCGTTCACAACCAACCATATGAAAGTAATAACAATTTTCAGATGTTGGAAATCATCCAATGGAAGTGAAATAACTTGAAAGAAATAACTGCATACACTTAAAATAAAATTTTTCTAAGTTCAGTTCATTTGTATTAATGAAATCAAGAAGATGGCCAGCTTCAAGTATAAAGCAACGATGAATCTAAATGAATTACACCACGCACAAAAGATTAGCTTTTTTCACAAGCAAGCCATGATTCCACCTAACCAGTTAAATAAATGAGATATGTAGTTGTTTTGATGACGACTACTGATTTCGAAAGGTGATGGATTGCGATTTTCTTTCCCAGGGTGGTCCATTATTACAATCGCATGTATGCATGCTAGATGTTTACCATATGCATACATCATGGTTGGAAAAAAATTATTAATGTATTTGCATCCTTGTGCACTTGGCAATCAGTCACATTAATCGTGTTAAGATTAGTAATGCTAACTAGTTGTCTACACTTCAGTAGGTGGGGTAGGATTTGTACCAATGACCCACTGATTGTAAAATCGCCTACCAAGAACAACGAACAACACCACACAACTCTGACTGCACAATTGGTCGAAGAACTGCGATCCTTTGAAAGGGCGTTGTCCAGTGTATGGATTTAACCTTACAAGTTGAAGAATTGCACACCGTGACGATGACTAATTGTCTATTATTATTATACTGGGTGATGATTGAAGGTGAGATGAAAATCTGGACCGCGGCCGAATGCGAACAAGCGACCACCGGGTAGTGGTATATAACGAGTACTACTATGTGATTTAAGTGTGAACACCACGAGCCACTATCAAAATTGCTTATTGTTCAGCTTGTAACGTCAAGTCCATACAACGCACGACGTTTTTCCAAAGTGTAACAGTTCTTCAATCATATTAGATTTGTTTATTTGATTTATAACACACAGTGATCTAGTATTATTTACTTGATGACGTTTCGAACATAAATTATCATTACTCATATCAATATGAGCAATAATTTATGCTCAAAACGTCATCAAGTAAATAATACTAGATCATTGTGTGTTGTAAGTCAAACAAACAAACCTAATATGGAATTAAATTCTATCACAGTGCCCAAGTTTTACACCTATAGTTCTCCAACCAACTATACTGTTATTGTTATTTGCTAGACTAGTTTTATATCAATACTACTTTCACACTTGATCACTATACTCATAGCGATACTACCGGTTAAATATTGTATGCAGTTGCAGACCATAGAAATTAAGCTAAAAGGTGGGAAATTTACATTCATACAAACGCTTACAGCCAGCTGTGGTCCACCAGCCGGAGTACGTGCATCAAAAACTTAATACAGTCTGGACAAGCAAGTGGTATCCATAGTTATTGAGCAATACATACTAGAATAACATAAATAAGTAAACTCTACTCAAATAACCAAGTTTACCATCATTTACACTGTTGTTTAATTTATAACATTACTAGAAAATGATTCACCGCACTGTTAGGTTATAGACCGACTATCTGCTCTTCAACGGAAACGTGGAAAAAAAAATATGATTTACACCTTCAACAAGGAACGTTGAACACCAATTCTTTTGGAATAATAGCAAGTAGTACATGTTCTAATCTCTCAAAATGTGTTGCTTTAAGGCTGAAAATGAGTAAAAAAAAAGTCGAAATATCGCTTCCAAGTTTTATGCTGACCATTTTCAAACAACTAGAAGTGATATGGAAAAAAATCGCCAAATAAGTGGGACTAATTAGTTCACAAACTTACTTGGCCTTCTACAGACATTGGTAAAATTTGACTGAATCCATCGTGTTCAGTAATTTTGCCTTTTAAACGATCTTCCATACGAGTTAATTTTTCAGTGGCTGCTCTAGTCGCACGTTCTGTCAACTCCACATCTGATGATGCACCACTGTCTGACCCAGAACCACCACGACGAGTACGTCCAGCTGAAGTGAAACCGAAGGTAATAAATATACGAAACACTGTTTTTAATAGCGATATATACAGCTCTAAAAATGGATAGTCTGGTGGAGATGCGGATGGCACTAATTACATTCAGAGCAGTTTCCTAAAGAATCGTGCTGTAATCTTAATATGGGGATAGAGAGACAAGCCTAGTCTGGAGACGGTCCAATCAAAAATGTATTTTATGTTGTCACTTCTGCTGTCAGACAGACAGACGGTATTATTATTTTAAACAGGGAACAAACTATTATATATTAGATATATTTTCGTTTGTTCTTGCCTTCGGTCTTTCGATCCCAATACACGTTTCTACACGTTTATCGTGTCCTTTCCACTAATTGGTCGCGTCGGGAATAAACTAGAAACTTGTTGAGTGTTGGTGGCTGACAGTCTATATCCGTGCAACGTTAGTGGCCATAGAACATAGCAATTTTCGAAATCATACGAAAATCTAAATGTTTTAGTTTACAATTTTAATTGGCATTTAAATGCAATCATAAGTAGGTAACCACCTAAAACTGGTGTCCTCAAAGTATACTGGTTTTTATACTGACAGCGTAAAGGTCAAATAAAAAAGGGGTTCATAATTAGAATTCTTTTTTTGTACCATACATCGCTGTAGGAAATGAATGGATTGATCATTTGATCTGAGTCTGAATAATAACATATCTTTCTTCTCGATATAACTCATAGGATAAAAATGTAAACAGATATTATACTTACAAGTTTCGGCACCGGTAAATGCGACTCGTACGTTTCCACCTTGTTCCACAACAGCGTCAAAATATATTGGACGGAAGACTGCTAACAGCGGATCGATTTCACGACGTAATAGATGCATGACTGCTTCAGAGCAACGTCTAAATGTGCCTTCATAACCCGTTGGACCCATAGCATGAACCATATTACGAGTCAGACGAAATGGTACACGTTCAGGCCAAGGTAGCGTAAGACCATTATTAAATACACACGAGAAATCAACATGAACAAGGTCACCAGAGGTTGAATCAAAAAGTATATTCTCTGTGTGTCTATCTCCTAGACCAAGAACATAGCCGACCATACTCATAACTGCACACGTCCGAGCATAACACTCTCTTGCTGAATACCTTGCATAAAAAAAGACAAGTAAGCAAACATTTGACGAACTTTTCGATAAGGGAAGATGACTTTTATAACTTTATTATGCACATTCTACTTTTTGAAAGATTATACTAAGCTATCAATGGTGAAAAAAGTGGTAAGGAATGCAGCTATGCATAGCAGAAAATCTAACTATGATGGGAGCTTCAAATCGTATCATGCCCTTGTGGCGAATGGTTTAACTGAGAAGCTTTTATAATCACATCGGACAAATCATTATCACAGTCAGCTTCAAAAAGTGTCTTCGAAATAACCAGTATGACCTGATAAAACTGCTTTTAACTTATTATCTTCAAAAGCTCTCTAAACAGGATGTATGCTCACATTTTCACCATTTCGCAAACTTCATCGGGGACTAATAAATACTCTTTGTGTACCAGATTAAAGTTTAGAATTCAAGTTTTACTTGCTCTAATGAATGACATAATCTAATCGAAAACTGGAATACTGTCCCAACTTACTATTAGATTTCCTCTAGTAATTCTAATCTGCAAGAAACAAGATTTTTAGATCAAATGAATATGATGTTTAGGATCAATCGATAGTATGCATCCTAAAGTTTCTGAGTCGATAATATTAGTTTGCATACTAGCAAACCTGATTTCAGTGACTATGATTGTGGGTTGCAATCAACTTATGACAGACAGCAAACTTACTACTTAACAACATATGCTACAGCGGAATATTCAATCTTAGACGTTAACAGCCAAACAAACTGTTGCCAGACCAGTAGTCAATGTGCACTGAGAATAATGACACATCAAAAGATACAACACTTTCATTATCAAGGATAGCAATGAACAGAAATATACCAATACGCATAAGTGGGTTTAAGATGGAGTAGCATGACTTCCAGGCTACTGAAGGGCCACAGCAGAGCAAAAAAAACTCGATAACTTCCGTACACAAAGCTGTAGCTTTAATACTTCGATAGCGATAGATTCAGCAGTTTGTAGAAGACATATTCTTGCTATCTGTGATAGATGGTTAGGTGGCCTGTAAGTCGTTGAGGGTGGTTTTTGTCCACTGTATGACCGGTGTCGACAAGATGGGATTGCACGGGGCTATCGACAGTCTTTCGATCTTCTTTTGCTAGCCAAATAGGTAAATGCTCCTTAGCACGGTGTGACAGACACCTCATAGTGCGGCCAGTACAACTTACCCCACAGTAGTAGTTAAACTTATAAATGCATATTGATGCGGATGTAGGAGGATACGTTTATTTTAATAATGGTGGTAAGATACAACTAGTTGTAAACCTTAGTTTCAGAGTTGCTGTCGGAAATATCGTACTCAGGAATAGTGTGGTCTAGTAGTGAGGACCTCAGTGAGATTGTCATTCTTAAACTGGGGGTTCGGAGAAAGTTTCTTCTTTTCTTATGAACATAATGGATCGATTCATTCTTGTTCTCACATAATCAATGAATTTTATTATACGCTCATTTTCTCGACAAATATCATACTGTATCACTAAACGTTATACAAAAATGACTAACCTAATATGGAACTATACTCTAATAGTGTCTAAATCCTGTATGTAAAGAAGACAATTTTTTCGATTCATGCATTTCTTGGCTAACTGTTGTTTCTGAGCATATTTTCATTGTTCTCTCTGGCTAATATTTAGTCACATTTTTTGTCGATCACAAAGTGTGCATTGTTCTCACGGAGATGGCTTCCGGTAAACAAACCTAACAATTACTTTTTTCGTTCGACCTGATAAGAAGAATACCTAAGAAGAGTATTCATTCAGGTTTAAAACTTTGTGCGAAAATCCATTCATTAGGTGTACTCTTCCGAAATTATTGACTTACCATCCACCTTAAAGTTCTTATTATACAGAATAGGATTTTCGTCCATAAAACGGCGATCCATGTGAAAATAGTCTTCCAGTGTTTCAATACCGCCCTTTTTAACATGGACATGAGTAGGTTCAAGTGGGGAGACCATTGCTAACTGGTTCCCTTCACTTACACAAAACATTGCTAAACATTAAATGAACATTCATGATACAGCGTAATACAAGTTACTTCAAGAGGTATGCCAATTATTATTATTATTTGTCCCTTGAGTTCCTAGTGGAATATAGGGCTTCAGTAGCACGCCTCCAGTGCATTCTCTTCTCTGCAAACTTTTGAACATGGCTCCACGAGTTTCTGAACCACCACATAGAAGCACTGACCTGACAATTAGTGTTGAAAATCCGGATTTTGTTCACGCTTTATGCTGAGTGCAGTGCAGAAGATCTCCACACTGGTTGCAGGTTAGTGAAAGCCTGTCTTACTTTTCCGATCCTGGCTGCTGTGACGTCCTCGTCTGTGCCGCCTGTAGTTGAAACAGTGCTTCCTAGATAGGTGAAGGAGGTTACTTCCTTTAAGTTTCTCCCATTGATGGTGATCGGAGCTTGTTGTTGTTGGTTGGGTATCTTCATCACCTCTGTCTTCTCTACATTCACCTGAAGTCCCGTCTTCGCTACCCTGCCTCTTCTGAAAACTTGTTAGTTTTCGCCTGTACATCTTCAAGTTTGTGCAACATCCGACGCAAGTCATCGGCGAAATCCAAACCTTCTACGTTCTTTTCCGCAGTCCAGCGTATCCCCCTCTTCTCACAGCTCCCCACTGTTTGTTGCATGATCCAGTCGACCACAACACAATCAGGAATATCATGGGTGACAGCAAGTAGCCTTGTTTCACTCCTGTCTTTACTTCAAAAGCATCACTGAACTTCCCACTGTGAATTACTTGGCATGTGGCATCTTCATATAGTTGTTGAATGAGGCTGATAAAGGTTTGCGGTGTTCCATAGTATTGAAGCAGCATCTAAATTACCTCTCGGTCAACGCTGTCGAAGGCCTTTTCAAAGTCGATGAAGTTGAGGTAGAGGGTTGACTTCCATTCTATGCTCTGTTGTATGATGCGTTGCGTTGCAATTTGATGAGCACATGATTTGTACTTCCTGAATCTAGCCAGCCTGTTCCGGTCGTAGTTTTAAATCCAGTGAATCCTTCAGTCTCTCCAGGATGATGCGGCTTAATATTTTGCTTGCTTTGGGTGGACAGGAGAGTGATTCCGCGCCAGTTCTTGCAAACACTGAGGTCTCCCTTCTTTGGGAGTTTGACAAGGTAACCCTTCTTCCAATCGGTTAGCAGGTAACTTCCCTTCCTTCCCTACCTTCTGCAATAGTGGTGTAGTGTGAGCATGTCTGCTGTTGTCTCAGTGTCTGTTTTCAGTGCTTCTGGCGGGATTCCATCTGGTCCTGCTGCTTTCCCGCATTTCAGTAGCTTTATGGCGCTCAGGACTTCGACTTTTGTTGGGGGAATTGTGTTCACTGGTAGTTCTGTGACTGTAGGTGGTATTTCTGGACGAAGTGAAGGTATGACATAGTTGATTAATATTGTGTAGTCAGTTGGCACACAAAATCCAGCGGAGTGGTGGAATATGCTAAATTGGTGTTCAAACAGTTCACAGAATGTTAGGGGTTCTGCTTTTTCTCTAACATTTAAGAATCAGACAATTCAAACATACAAAGTTAAACAATGCAGGATAAAATGATGCTATCGCCCTTTCTGAACCATCAGATTCACATCAGGTGTTACTTAGGGACTCCTGAAATCTGTTTAACTTTTCACCTATTGGCTGTAAAAATTAACATGTCTTGTAGTTAACCACTTTACAGATTAGTCAACTGTGCAATACCCATCACTCCAAGAATTGCTAACCAGTTGGTGTGTTCACATTTATGCATGCTAAAGCTATAGCGTTTGAAGGATGGGTTTGATGAAAGTTTGGCAAGATTCCAACAATAAAAAAGTGCTTTGAATAGCGATAACAAAAGAGTACACTTTGATATACTTCTGGATATAAGCTAAACAAACAACGCGAGGTTCTCAGCCTTGAGCAAAAAGGAACTAAGTAAGTAGTTTGGAAATCTATGAAACAACTTGAATAATTCTAAATTTCAAGATAAATCTTTGTAAACCAGCAGAATTTACACCAAAAAGGAATAGTAAAGAAGGTTAATTATGTCTTTAGTTTATCAAAACAGTAGCTTACCAGGAACTGGGATTACTAAAAGTGCCCAAAAACCAGTGGTGGAAGACAAGTGGAAACATGGGCAACCATTTGTTGAGATATTTATCGCGTTTCACTCTGTAAAGCAGGGCAGAAAAGAAAAAGGATCCAAGCGATTTCAAGTAGACTAGCTTCAATAACTGTGACAATGTAGGGAATCTCTATAAGCGTGAAAAAACTCTGATATTAGTAAAGCCTGTAATCCAGTTTTATCATATAAGTACGGTTATACGAAACAAAATTGAGTAACATCTTTAATGATAAAAGTCATCTTCCTTTGTGTTCTTCGTTGTAATTATGATTGCTTATCTGCTCTCTTTTGGCACGCACAATACAAGCGCAAGTCACCTCGGTCGCTAAAGGCTCACAACCTCACCGACTGACTTGCTTTCCTTGTCTGGTACCCTCCACATAACTTTGACATAGCTCATATAATGATTTCACTATATGCGATAAACAGTACGAAGACACCTGTGCTTGAAAATCTGTATTTCCTTCACATCTACTTCTAATGGCCATGTCTTGTAGTCGTATAACACGACAAAGAAGAATAGAGTGCACGATACTCGTCTTTGATGGGAAGTCGGATATGCCACTAATGCCATGGACGACACAATTTGGCGAACGCAAAACGAGATTTTCGTATTCAGGATGAGATTTTATCAGCAACCTACCTGTTTCGGCCGATGAAACTCCTGAAGTACATGAAGTGGTCAACGTATTCTACTAATTCACTTCCGATTGTCAAACTCAGAGTAGCTGCAGACCAGTGCCGAAGCATTATCTTACATTCGACAGGTAAGAAACGCATGCAATACTCAGATTATCGCACAAGGCGCTCAGACGACCCTGGATGTTTTCTGTGTATTCAAATGATAGAAGAACATGGTCTGCTACTTTGCTAGCAGACCAAGCACCCTCCATAGAGTAAAGTCAGTCTACGTAAAAAAAGTTATAACACTATTTAAGCTGAAACAGTGGAAATGGATATACTTGGTGCATAACTCTGGTTATCGTCAATTCAGACGACAACTATCGATAACCAGAGAACGCTGGTTAGCATTACACACTTGTTCGGTATCCCCCTAAACAGTTACACACTGCCATAACACCTCGTGGCTCACAAAGTAAAATAGTGCCTTCAGGCTAATAAATATGGCAGGTGTCGGCTAGTCAAGAAGAGACAGGTAGGTTTCGATGCCACCTGTTTCCTGCGGCTAGTAAGGTGTACAAATACACAAGCCCGTACCAACGGGGATCGGAGTCCAAACAGGTACTCCATAAAGAGCGGTAATTTTCCACCGTTAGTTTCATGTCAGTGGACATCAGGTGGGATAAGTCCTCTCCACAAGCTTGAAACTAGTGCTAGCAGAATGAAACTGCAGAGGACAATCCCGATTTTCAGTTCGTTAGCAGAAGATACCGTAGAATCTATCATGATGACTTTCCGATTGACTCAATTCTTCTGCTTGAGCACTGAAGTCACCTAGCACTATGATTATAGCCAAACGTTTAGCTGCGTGTAGGAAAGATGGCATTTTTTGGCAAAACTCATTCTATACGACATCCGAACTACAGTCAGTGGTCTTAGAGAGTACAGATAGGCCTGAACGTGTGTCAGTCTTCGATTTCTGCTTAAAACGATATCATAGTGATTTCGTGAACAGAATGAGCAGAAAAGATATCAGAATTCTTTACCTGCTGAAAAATTATTTCAATTAAAAACAATTTGAAATGCAAATTATGCTTTTGCCGAGGAAACTACAAAGCTATGATTAACGACTGGATATGATCTTGAAACCAATCTGGACATAAGAGATAAAAACATAAAAACATCACAAGTTGTATTTAAACAGTGAACATTTCGGAAACTTGATTACTATAAGATGATTTGTAAATGTTTGTATTAACTGAACCAAGGTTGAAAGCGATGAGTTACCACTTAACTATAATGCATATACACATTGATTAATATTTTTGCTTCATTGGATAGCCATATTTCGGTAATAATGGAAACTTGTGATCTATAACTACAAATTACATCAAAAGTAACGAGTTGACATAATCTCTACATATGAAAACCGTTCAGCAGCTTTTTATACGTTTGTGGAGTAACCAATGTGCCACACCTATTGTGAGAGGGCTCAGAATACTATCTGGCTGTTCAAACCTCAGCAGGTGGAACGGAGTTCAAATTGGCGACCGCCTAGCTGAAAGTCAACTCCCAACACAATGAGTCACAGCTCCAACCAACCATTATATATATATATATATATATATATATATATATATATATATATATATATATGAAGCTACCTGTATTATGGAGAAACTTACGACAGTGGATCCTCCAATAGAGGGGCAACCCGACTCATATTAGCCCAGTTGATAGGTTTACCGATTTCACTATACAGACGTGTGATAATAGATCGGAATGGCTGTGTATTGCGCACCCATTCAATCAGTCCACCTTTTTCACTTAAAGGGATGACTGCCTGAAATGAAAAACAAATAAAAGTTATTGAAATTATAAGATACTTGTGGAGAAATACAACTTTACACGGAAACAAAGATACTCAATCTTTAAAATGTAGAAAATGAAATGACCTGAAAATGAATTTTGCTTAGACGTTGTTGAATAAAATTTCCGAAATGTAAATGAACTCCATTACATTGGGGTAGAAGTGTTCTTCGAGCTAGTATTCTTCGGACGAGAGCATTCAATGATATTTCAGTTCTCAGGCTTGGTGATATCTTCAGCACTAACCACAAAAAAGTGGCGCACGTTCGACTCCTACATGAACGTTTAGATAGTGTTTTTATTGACCTTGGGTGTTGTCCAATTATAAGTGTTTCTGACCTTTTGACCCTAAATTTCTTTCAGTCATACTGGTAGATAATCTTTGTTACAGTGAAATTATGCTGTTTGTTGTTGTCACAGTGTGCATCATTATTGATTTGTTTGGTAAATTTGCCCTTGGTTGACGGATGAGTTTTCTTTCTAAGTATATTTTAGATTGGATCTATATCCACATGACAGTTGATTGACTTTTTGTTTGAATACCATACTTCTAGAAATACGCTCGCAGCTTTCGAACCTGTTCTTCGGAAGATTTTCACATTATCCCAGTCGAATTTGTGATTGTGATTGTCTATATGCATTGAAACCAAGGAGGCTACATTACGTCGCCTTACTGTTAACTGGTGTTCATGAGTTCTCTGAGTAATCCAACGGCTAGACTGGCCAACTATGAACAATTTTAGCAACTGATTTTGTGGATTATATTCGTCTTGTCCTTTTGTTCGTACAACAGTCTGTATAGTGATTTCATCAGTCTGTGGGACACTCCGATTCTGAACGGATGAAGCAATCAGTGACTGTTTCTGAGAGATCTTTGATGCACGGTAACGTAACGCGTTTAGTGATTTGAAGCAGTCAGCTTGTCTTTTGTCCTGTTATCATTGTGGAGAAAACAAACCACATGCTTCACCAAAAACGGTTAATAAACGGTTTATAAACTTCGTCGGATATCCATTTTCCATAAGTGCTTTGCTCAGTAATTTGATGTCTTCATCCATCGCATCTAGTGTACTGATACGATAGATCCTGTTAGACAAACATTTTACTAAACCTCGCTTGTATTGGATTGGACAAAAACTGTGGAAATTCAGATATCGTCCTGTCCATGTAGGCTTTCTGTAAACTGACCGTCTTATTGAACCATCTTCTCGTCGACTGAGAAGTATATCTAGGAATGGCAGTTGATTACTATTCTCAAAAAAACAAATGGAGTGTGAAACAGTGATAAACGCTGGTAGGAGACGACCCTCTTCATCCATAGCTAAACATATCATAAAAACAGGTTACAAAGTTAATGTTCAAACAGCTTTCAAAGTCTTATATAGAAACAGTCAAGGACGTATTCTGAGATTTGTAGAAGCCATAGCCATACACAAATTTAAACCACCTTTATGTGTACAAAAAACAGTTTATTATTACACTACACCTACCTTGGTAAACTTTGTTTTTGCTCACCAAGATTAGGACCAACTATATCACTTCCTGTTTGTCCTCATCTTTCTTAATTTTAATTCCTTATTGTGTTAATTGTTGTATTTATCCCTCCTCCCAGTTCTCGGTTTAATACATATTGACTTGACAAGTAAATGTGTGATCAGATTGTTCGAAATGTATTGCGCAAATACATCACATTGCTCAGATACACTTCGTCTTCTAATTACGCTATTGAAATTCATAAAAGGGACTAACTGTTTCAAAAAATAAATCATTTAAAAACCATTCCCTTTAACCATTAGATATCTTTTTAACACTGTGTTCAGTTTTCATGAAGTGGCTACTCAATTATTAGAGGACGTTTGGTGAGCTACATTCATAAAAACGTTACTGTCCACATGTATATCTGAAATGTTAAACACGAGGCTGCTTGATAACATATTTACTAATCATAACTGAAAAATAAACCTTCCCAGCTCATGGGATGTTCAATAATAATCCAAATCACGGTTGATTCACCACAGTTACGCATGGATAACTGAAAAAATTCATTGTTAACCGCTTTCTTAAAAGTAACTTTCACGCCCACCAGTGATCTTTTGCAAGGAATTTAGGAAAAAGTGGACCTTCACGATATGGACAAACAGGAAGTATCAAACGTTTGGACACTGAACAACACTGAGTCTTGGTCACCCCCTGATGTAAGTTTCTTATTTTCCATACATTAATGTGATAAAAGGAACGATCGATGCAATTTATCTCACAGACAAGAATATCCCACTACTGGTGAATATGAATTTAATTGAAATATGGTGTGCAGACAAAGTAAAATTGTCACTTTTTAGGTGAAATGAACATGAAATCAGGGAAAGTCTTGTTTCTTGACTTTAAATAACTTACATAGGTACGAATTTGAAGAGCACGTCTTCGGGTATTTGCATTGATAACTAGGAACTTATTGATCATACCATTCAACTCCATTAACCGTGAATCTTTACGAAGGTCATCCTGTCGATATAGATTGACACAAAAGAAGTTAAAAAGCTGAAACCTACCTCAACTTCAAAACATGACAAGTTGATTAAGTAACATGATGATAAATATCTCTCATGATAATAAACAATTTTTTATATGCTAGAAGAAATTCATTTTTTCTTCTTCCTCACTGTTAATAACCTACCCAACACAGAAATACGTTCAAAAGACTGGAGCACTTATCTATAGAACGAGAATAGTAGGAAAAACAAAGTAGAAAGTCCTGAAACGTTTTGTACTTCTTAAAAGAGCTTTCGCGTGAATTAACCCCAAGGTATGAATAAATGCTTTCAAAACACGCCAAATTTAAACTGGTATTCACCACAAACTAACATCAGTTAGAAAACCATTGAAAAACTGGGGGCACTGGACAGCTGTGTTGTCTTAGTATGGGCCCCCTCATCCATGACCCTGTCAGGGATCGAATCTGGGACCATCAGGTGTCACTGCAAGCACTTCTCCGTTGAGCCACTGTATCTAATGGTCCATATCTTCTTACTTCTTTTAATTCATGATACAGCATGACATTTAACCAATGTCATCATTGAGTATTCGCCCTGATGTCCGATTTGGTCATCGGTCACGACAACTCATTACAACTTCGGGAAATGTCAGTCCGTGATGAATGATAACATTAAATCAATAAGGTCAAATAGACCTCCAAATTGAAACACTCGATTTCGTATGCAACTGATAGATACCTTTTATTTTTTTTATACTGTTCTACGTTTTGAAATTTCCAGTATATAATACCTACACTTCAGATATGATGGGGAAAAATGTGCATAAAAATGTCATAGAGGCCTTTTCGTGCCAATATTTCAAAAAATTGCGCTTAAGTACATAATGCACACTTTTAAATATAACACCAGTAGCATATTAATATGAACTATTCTTGTATGGTTTACACACCGTACGTACGTTCGCAAAATCGAAATAAACTTACATTAGGCTTCGCAACAATTATATATTGTCTTCCATCTGAACCAACCCACGTCATTTTCTTCGGTCTAGTCTGTGATCCCAGTATCTCCACAATATCTTCGATGTGTGACAGGCAAACCAATCGATCAGGTTGTTCAGCAAACGGCCAGTGCCCAGCAATCTGTTCAGAAGTGGCCTTAGGAGGCAGAAGATTAGGGACTAATTGACGATGGATTGGTATGAGTACACGTGAAAAATCGCTTGAAAAATTTTTCGGAAAAAAGATAAAAAAATCCTCATAAAAGGGTTATCTTAAAAATACACAATAGAAACAAGTAACCAATAAGTAATAATAAAACAGTTAATGATACCACTGCACCTACCTGCTCTCAATCAGACGAGTGATTGGTCGTAGAGTTAGCCGTAAGCTGAAATTACGCAATTCTCGCCTATCAGTTGTCATAAATAAGCCACATATTGTTCTCAGATGATTACATAAGGCTATGGAATCCTGTTAGAAATTTTATAAGAAAAACAGTCAATCATTAGAAACTGAAAAATATAATCAAACGTTTCGAGAAAAAGTAAACTTACAGCTATGAATTTTGAAAAATGTGATTGTTTCGTTCTGCGAGAAGAGAAGTAAAACAAAACATACATTAACTGGAAAGCACTGAGATTTTTATACCAGAACAGACGGATATTGAAAATTCAATGTATTGGGTAGTAAAAACAAAACACAAAGTTTTCTAAATTCATCTTAACAAAATGAAGACTTAGTATATTTAAACTTCAACTTATTAAGTCCAATAGTAAGAGTGTGTTTCATTATTTGTCTATTCAAACTGCACTCCCCTTCTATTTCAGTAGCAATGAGAATATGTTATGGCATGTCTAACTGACATTAATCCAAACTCGACGTTTGTCAACAGAAGGTCAAAATGATTACGAACGAAGATATTTTATTTACGCCACCATGAACAATTAAGAACCGACAATCTCTTTCTGTACCTTAGATATAGTACAACAATGAGAAGATATCCGTGTGTGAAAAAAACAATCATGATTGACTGATAATCATCCATATGAACAGATGAATTAGTCTACATCTAGTCACATTGGTGTAAAACAGTGAACGCTTTTTTCTTTATTTCCAATGACATATCTTTCAAAAGATGCACAGAAACGATGTGATGCTTGAAGATGAAATGAAAGCTTGAGCAGCAGTAGGAAGCGAGTCATTAATCTGCACGTTCAAACCGCGTTGCGAAAGAAGTTATCGTTCCACCTTCGATCATCATGGCCTATCATAAACGCCAATGTGCCAAACCACGGTTATTTTTAAACAATCTCAGTATCATTTAAATAACGGTGTTGAATTTCGAAAAGAAAAAAAGGTTTCAATTTAAAAAAGTTTTGTAGATGATAGATTAAATAACTTACTTGATCATAGTAAAAATCTGCTGACAACGATCTCGTCGCTGACGGACAGTTGACTACCAAATAAATGGAAATACATATTATACATTAGTTATAAAGAACATTTTTTATTGGTAGTAGTATTTTGTCTAACGCAAAGCAATGACTAGGAGAAATAAAAAATTCCATTAAAAACCGAAATTCGATCTGATTTAAGCTAAACTGCATAACCAAACAATAACAGAGGCAAAACTATCATTCAAACAACACTGATAAATGAACTACACTATATGGAACATTATTCTTTACTCTAACTTTGACAGTCATGATGAAGTTTCGAAAGGTGAAAACAAGAGGTATTCGTCCAGGTAGGTTCCCAAAATCCATTTCCAACTAATCATAACATGAATATTTCTGGATGCAATGTCTTAGTAACCCACAACTTACAAGTATAGATGTCTGATCTATCAGAAAATCTACTAACAAGACACAAAAAATCTTGTCAGATGAAGCGAATCATGGGATAAAATGTCTTTCAAACATCTTGACTGATAAAATGAGGATGTTGTATCAGTCCTAGACCAGTATGCGTCTATTAAATATATGTGCAGACACAAAAGGAATCTTCGATGCAAACCTTTTTTGCTGAAAAAGGCTTTTCAATACCCCACAAGAATAAGTTACACAAAACAGAATTATACTGTTATATTTTACATTGTACTGCGTATGTGTTGAAGTGAGAAATGTCTGTAAAGACTATAAATGCTTTTCCATTCGTTTTTTCGAATTATCACTCACATTTGGTTAAACTACTGAGTCGTCACTTTTTGATACAGTGTGGTATGAAGGATGGAGGCAGAGGGAGATTAATCAACGTAAGACCTAAAACACGAGTGTATCACTTTAAGTTGACACATTTAACACAGCAACATGCAAACAAGAGATGCCTACAATATGAACGACACAAAAGTAGGCGAAAATATATAAAAAGAAAGAGCATGAATAAACAAATACTGGCTGTTCATGACTTCAAAGATGACATCTGTCTCGTCGTAACAATTTTCAAGCATTTTACAAAAAAATATCCGACCATTGATTCCTATCGTCTAGAGGAACCTAACTAGACAGTCTGAAACTCCTGGCAAGACTAAGACTCTAGTCGAAGACTTCACGAACTGGTGCCACGTTTTGGTATGAGCAATCATACAATCCTCTTCCAACCTAATCAATCTTACTTCGCATAACACACGTCTACTAATGGTGGAGAGATTACAACACGATACCAATAAATGTTGTCAATGACTGATAGCCTTCAATCTTCATCCTAAGTGTTTAACGTCTTTCTCTTTCCACTACTGGTATACATAGTAAACAAAAACGAAAAATTCTGTTAACATACATCATTCAGCGGAATTAAAAACCAGATAGTCTGTAAGGGATATGCTTCGAAGATTCGTACGATTAGTTCGATCAAAGTATTTACTACAGTGGGGATCTCATGGCACACACGTGACAACAGCTGACTGAGAGCAGTATAAAATTGGTAAACAGGAATTCGCTGACAATTATTACGCATAATCTACAATAGTAAAGAAAAAAGTATACGATGCTTTATATATATATATATAGCTACAGATCTCATAGGCAAACAAAGACGACCATTTCAACAACCAAATAAAATGAAAGGAAACGGTTGGTTTCTTGAGAAAGCAGATAATGATTAATTCTTTTTGAAAACATCGTAACCAAGTAATTTCAAAAGTAAATACGTATATGTTTTTCTTATTTAATAATTTATCCCTTAATGAATCCTGTAAAAAGTGAAGTGGAACTGAAATCCTCATAAGGATATTATAAATACATTTTTTAAATATACTATTTACCCAAAGTTCAATTTATTCAATTTATCAGGTCAAATTTTGGTCCTGAAGTCTGTTAAACCAGATTTCCTTATAGTACATAAGACATAAATATAAATTAAACTTCACAATTAAGAAATATTGAGCATTTCAAGATCATGTAATACTGATTAGACATTACGCAGAAGTAGGCAATTTACAACACAAGAGCTGTACATATGACTAAATATTCACTTTAATATCCAATCGGTTTCAAAGTGCATAGAAGTTAACTTTTTGTGGTCTTGCAGATGTTTTACTGCTTCAGGTTTTGACTTCCAACTAGTGGATCACAAGTTTGAAACCTGCACTTCCTACTGAGGCTTTGGAAGCCTGATGGTATCATTAGCTCCTAAATAATAGAAAATCGGATCAAAATCGAAAGGCGCTCAGCAACCTTATGCACGTTCGTGTAATAGGCAATAAGCCACACCTATTGTGTGAGGGATAGTGACACAACCTGGTTGCCCAAACCTCGGTAGATAGAGAACAGTTTGATCTAGAGACCTAGTGGTTGAAAGTCATCTCTTTAAACCAATCAAACATAGCTCCACACATACGACAGGGATGATGCATTGCCTACTCTAAAAATATGAACATAGTTGGTGAATTATCACATGTTAGTGATACTGAAAACCATAACAAGATCTAATTAGCGCTAAGGTCGAGAGAATGTAACAAGGAATATTAAACTGTAACTTTAAATACATTTACTACTATGCGGTCGGCTATGTTCAAGACAGGGACCGGTGAAGAGATGAAAAACCGGAGTCTACATGGTACCCTGAATATTTTGACGCTTATCGTTATTTAGAATTTGTGTTCATGATAGACGCCGAGCAGGTTCATAAACAAAGGTTTCTTACTTATCATTGGCCGCGTTTTCTCAGAGATTAGAACATGCATAAAGTTTATGCCTAAACCTCAACAAAAACTAAGTAAAATTGGTCACCGGCTAGTAGTATAAGTTTCGAGTTTGTAGATACAATAGACGTCAATGAACATCGATGGAAACGGAATCACACATTTATGTTAGCTACCTCAGAGACACCATAGATGAACAAAAAAGTATGTTAAATTGACAACTGATTCCATGCAAATAAGTATACTCACCTCTTGAATTTCATTGAAGACTTTTTGATCGGAATGTGAATTATTTTCTTCACCGTGTTTGTGGGATTTATTTGTTTCATGAGAACTACGAACATAATCTTGACCATGATCCAACCATAAAGTTAATAACCTCGGCATTGACTGGTAGATAAAACTGACTGCCATAACTTAAAGCTGAACCATATTGTTTCAAGGCTACTTTGATTAAAGCACTGTATTAAAAATATAAAAAGAGAAACAGTGAACATATCTCATGTAAAGTAAGTCTCCTAAAAATTTATCGATAATAAAGTCTCATCATCTGGAATCAAGTATAAACAATTTGATAGAATCAGCCGCGCAATTCATAAAGTGAAAGTATGTAGTGGGTTTTGCTGCAAGCGTAAATACTAGTAAAAACATGGATCTGTAGGCTCATAAGTCTGTAGTGCTGAGACAAAACCTAACGACTAATCTTCGAACTATTTACAAAGTAAGTGCTGCCTTAAAAAGAACTTATCCAGCAAATAGGTTAACCGCGCTCTACCAAACGAACTTCTCACTGAGACAATCAAAAGTTGAAAAGTCCCTCTTCATGTTACCTTCAACTCCATATACCATTTCACATGTATGTGCCAAAGGACTTAGGTTTGATGAAAAGAAAAAAGGGTTTGTGACCGCATGTTTGAGCATACATTCCAAGGAATATGCGACTTAGACGTGGAAAAATCTTCAACAGCGCTACTGCTCGTCATCTGGTCGGTAGTGGACATGAAGTCAATATTCAGAATCGTGCAAAATAATCAATAAACAGATGAATTCGAATTTGTTGCGTTTCTCCGAAGCGTTAGACATAAAACGATTAAAACCAAACGTACATTTTCAGAAAGAAACAGTTATAAGTAAAGGCCTAACATGGCTGACTTTTGTTTTGTTGACAATTATCATGTCTTTTAAACATTATTGTCGATTGTTAAGTGTTGGGGTTTTTTTTCGTTGTCATTTTGCATTTCACACCCTTAACCTAATTATCTAAATCCTACTTACATTAGCTCTTCGTTAACATTAATCTGATGACCTTTCACACACTCTGCGTAACCTTTGTTAACACTTATCCGGACTTCCGCACTGGAATATTCGTCTAATCTTTCTATGTATTGGGAAACTTAGTTCTGAATATTCATTCACTGAATTCGTATGTTTTCAATTACTTCATATCGATGTTATGTTTAATTCAAACCGAGAATTTGCTATCAAGTTGATTGGAGTATGCAAACATTTTGTATGAATCGATGTTAAAGGTGTCTTAGGTTGTCAGCAGTCGACAATAAACCACTAAATAAAATGGATCCATGTTATTCTGCTAAAGCTATTGTTCTCGATACATTTAAATGAACGAGAGATGAAGAAGTTGGTATTCATCACGGACTGACATCACTTGGGGCTCTTAAGCTGGATGTACTTCCACTACGGTGAGTGATGGTGCTCCTACTGAGACTCAAACCCAGTGCCCATCGCTTCAAACACCAAACTGTTATCTACTAGGCCAATGAGGCACGACAGCCACCTCTTTTACAACGGGTATCAGTCGTCACATATTGGTACTCTTAATTCTCTGTTGTTATACTGGATAGTGACGACTCTCGCGCCTCCAGTGGCCTGGTGGGTAACGCTTTGGTGTTTGAGATGATGGGTACTGAGTTCGAGTTCTGGTAGGAACATTAAAAATCATTGTGGTGAGAGATCTGCTTGATGAGTCCCAAATAGGACGAAACGCACGTCCTGGTTTCCAGCGTTTGCCCCCAAATAAACTACAACAAATAATGTGTATGTTTAACAAACATTTGAATAAAAATTAGTGCTATCAATCGAAACGAATTCACATACTTTTGTTGTTTAGAGCCGACCGCTTGAGTTCGTGCTCGATCAACATAGCGTGCGAGACGAAAATGAGCTTCTTCGTATCCCGGATTAAAGCTACAAACTTGTTCATAAAGTTTCCGATAGTTTCAAAATCATATCTGTTCGTTTCTTCACAATAACGAGTACGCAACAGTAAAGCCTGAGTAATAACAGCAGAATCAATGATCAATAATCACGAAATTGAAATCTTTCACGATAATAGTATAAGATTTGCAGTATAAAGTCAGACGTTATCATCAGATTTCAGTATTTTCTCCTATTTTTTCTTGCTCTCTTTTGCTGACAATTTACCAATTTCCACTATTTTTTTCTTTATACGATCCTTCTAGAGCATTTCACGTTTAATTTGCTGACTGGAGGTGACCACTTGGATCGTCATGCGTTAATTCCAAGTCCCATGGTGATCTTGTCTATCTGTCTGTCTTAGTCACTGGGATTTGTAATTTGTGGCAACTCGGACTGAAATCCTCCCACCCATACAGGAAGAACAGAAACTATAACTGAAGTTACCATATAAATAGTGACTGACCCTAATGGCCACCCCAGCAACAACTAAAACAACCAATTAGACTTCTGTATTTTATGCAAATTGGCCTTTCCAGCCTGAGTGGAGAAGCCTCACTGGTCATTTCGACTATTACTAGGGTAGCCTTTGCAGTCACTTTATGTCCAAACAACCCAACAATTCAAACCAGTTCCACAAAACAGAGTCAAGCCACTCAACGAAGCTCATGCACATGGTGTTAAATATATCTATCAACAGTAGTATTCAAAAAGATAAACAACCGGAACGTAATATCAATCACAGTAGCATACAACTGCGAAAACCAATCAGAAAATTCGAACGCGTAAAATAAACATCCTCTACACTAGATGATTTGTCAGGCGTACTGGTCAGGGCAGACCAATCCTCAAAATAATGGTTATTTATTCGCAAATACTGGTGATGGTTAATAACCAAACAACTAATCAAAAAACGAGTGCGGATAAACTCGTTAAACACCTACATACGAAGACTAAAACCAAATAGCTTCCCAATAGTTTTTTTCAAAACTACTCAACCTTCTAGTGCGTAATACTTATGACAACAAATAACTCAAACATACGTAGGAAAACCGATCTCTGAATAATATGAAAGAAACTAGAAGCGGTTATTCAATAGGTAGTATTTTTTTTAAAGGATACTGGTTGAACTTAGCTCGGAAATAAGGCGTTAAACCAGAATCTAATGGCATGCTATTTTGAAATACTTAAATTCAAAGCGAATTCTTTTGTGGCACTCTAAAGAAACAGTTAGAAAAATAACACTGATTAAGACAATAGCCAACCTCGAATGGTAAACTAGTTCACTAGTTACTAGCCGGTCCTAAACCCGGATATAGAGGAAGGTTGGGCATACGACTAACAACCCTACCCAGTAAAACCAATCCAATCGCTTAGGAAACTTCATAGCACAGACCAAATATAAAAAACAAAATTAACTTATTCCTCGCTAGAATCGGGGAGACGAAATGACGACGGTTGGTGAAAGCCTTCCGGAAACCAATTACCCGATGTGTCTTCGTCTCTCTCTCTCTCTCTCGATGAAAGCAAAAGTTAGAATGGGGACATGGAATGTCCGAACAATATTTGAAGCTGGCTGGCAAGGCTGCCCAGATTCCAAAAGAGATGAGAAGGAGAAGGTATGGCATAGAAGTGCTAGGCTAGGAATCTGAGAAAGTAGATGGGATGGAAGTGGACTCTCCAAACTGTCAACTGGAGAGTCAATAATCTACTCCGATTTTGTCACCCAGACGACAACCACAAGCACACTGAGTTTTGGAGTGGATATCATGATGTCCCCAACAGCATCGAAGACTCTCTCTCACGCAGTGGGCGCAAATCTCCTCCTGCAGGATCAGGATGATGACACCAAGATTTAAATCAAAAGGAAGGAAAGTTACAATCATACAATGCTATGCTATGCTACGCTACGCACCTACAAACAATGCAGATGAAGAGAAGAAGGAGGAATTCTACAGACAACTGCAATCAATACTAGACAAGACTCCACCCCAGATGGCGACATCAAAATTCTAATCGGTGGGGTGACATGAAAGCCGAACTGGGAGCGGACAACACAGGAAGAGAACTTATCATGCGTCGAGAAGCACCGGGGTGAAATGTACGAGAATTGAGAACTGTTTGCAGATTTCTGCGCATCCAACGATTTGGTGATTAGAGGCGAGGCAGTGTGTACAAACACAAGGATATTCACAAGGCAGCGAGATGGATTTGATTTCACCAGACACCAGGACACACTACACTAAAAATCAGATCGACTTCATCTCAATGTGAAGAAAGTGGAGACACAGCCAGCCTACTGGACACAAGATCAGATGAAGAAGAGGAGCAGATGTAGGTTCACACCACTCACTTCACTATCTAGTGCAAGGAGCCTGCCTCCAAAATCAAGTTGAAAGCCATCACAGAAGTTGGTGATAGACGACCATAGTTGAAGTTGAACACGCAGAACAGAAACTGCACTGAAGGACGAAACTACAAAGGACATCTTCGCTTCATCACCTGCAACTCGTCAGAAATACCACCAGCAGTCCAGCCAGAGAACTATCAGTGAATACAAGCCCTCCGGAAAAGCAGAAGTGAAGTCCTGATCGCCGCGCCATAAAGTTTCTTGAAGCCAGGAAAGAAGCAGGACGATATGGAATCCCCCCAGAAGCACATAGACAACAGCGGACATGCTCACACAACCACTACACAAGGTTTACAAGGAATGGATGAAGGAAGGAAGGAAGGAAGGAAAGGTACCTGCCAACTGATTGGAAGAAGGGCTACCTTGTCAGTGGACTCCTGAAGAAGGCTGACCCAAGTCTTTGCAAGAAGTGGTGCGGAATCATACTACTGTCCATCCCTAGCAGGCAAAATATTAAGCTGCATCATCCTGGAGAGATGAAAAATGCTCTGGATTCAAAATTACGACTGCAACAGGTTGCTCACTGTCTGCTTCAGGAAGAACAAATCATGTGCGCACCAAATTGTAACGCTACACTACGCATCATCATAGAACAGAGTATGGAATGGCAATCAACTCAGCTCAACCTCAACTTCATCGATTTTGAAAAGGTCTTCGACAGCGTCGACTGAGAAGTAATTTGGCAGGCAGTTGCTTCAACACTATAGTTTTAGTGCCACAACTCTTTATCAACCTCATTCAACAGCTGTATGCTAGAAGAAGAGGCTACATGCCAAGTGATCTACAATGGAAAGCTCAGTGACACCTTTGAAGTGAAGATAGGGGACAGGAGTAAGACAAGGCCCCCGTCTACTATCACCCATCATCTTCCTGATTGTGGTGGGTTGGATCGTGCAGCAAACCATCAGAGGTGGGAAGATGGACATAAGCTGTCTGGAGCGATGAAAGGATCATAGAGGAAGATTTGGATTTCACCACCGATGATGATTTGCGTCTAATGTGTTGTCGCACAAACTCGAAGATCTACAGGTGAAAACTAACAAGTTGGCAGAAGAGGCAGGGCAGCGAAAACGGGACTCCCTTCAGGTGAACGTAGAGAAGAAGAATGCAGAGGTGATCAAGATACCCAACCAACAACAGCATCAACAACAAGCACCAATCACCATGAACGGAGAAACTTAAAGGGAGTAGTCTCTTCCACCTACCTGGGTAGGGCAGTATCATTTCAACTACAGGTGGCGGCACAGACACAGATGAGGATGTCAAAGCCAGGATTGAAAAGACAGCAAGACAGGTCTTCGTTACTCTAAAACCAGGGTGGAGATCTTCTGCACTGCACTCAGCATAAAGCGTGAACAAGATCCAAATTTTCAGCACCAACGTCAAGTCAGTGCTTCTATATGGTGGTTCAGAAATTTGGCGAGAAGTATTTCCAGAAAACTACAGACATACATCACATCAATAGCTGCCACCTACACTCACTCGATAGTGAAGATGAAATTGCCAGAATAATAAGCAACAAGGAACTCTGGCCGGGCAACGAACCAACCAATAACCAATCGTCCAACAAATATTCAGAAGAAAGTGGAGATGGATTGAATTGGGCAAACACTGAGAAGGCCAACTGGGGACATCACTCGCCAGACACTCGAGTGGAACTCATATGGGAAACGATGAGTTGGGCATCCCAGCTGAGGGTGACATGGAGGAGATCGTGCGAGGAAGAAATGAGAGCTTGTGGGCAGTCGTGGAGCCATGTTCAACAGTTTGCAGAGAAGAGAGTGCACTGGAGGCGTGCTACTGAAGCCCTATATTCCACTAGGAACTCAAGGGACAAATAATAATAATAATAATAAGACAACACCCATCTAACTCAAGCCATATGCAAGCAAGATTTATTCAGTACATTTATATTCGTAGAAGCCATTCATGAAGAACGTATTTCGTTAGGAAATTCCTCCGCAAGTGAAATGAGAAACTGGTTGTGATGAAAAAGGTTTTTTAGGAAGATTAGTGAAACCGTATTCATCGTTAAGAACCAAGGGGATGTGCATAGCACATTGACGAATTCAGATTACGAGATGCCACTTTCAGGAAACGCAATCATGGAAAAAAAAGAATTATTATTTAACTCTAATAAACGATTAAATAACGTTTCTGTGTATGTTTCCACGTACAGCCCGTTACTTAGGGGAAAGTAGGTGGAGAGTGAGGTGTGAGTACTGAACCTATCGCTTGAAATGATTAGGTCAATGAGCCACACCTTTACCAGTAGTAATAAAGTAATTACTTCATTTGACATAAAGAGGCTAATTACAAATATTGATACAAGTGTATAACTTGGGCACTGTGGTAAAATGCAGTTCCATTTTAGACTTGCTTATTTGTTAGGCTAGCAGACAGCGATACAGTAGGCCACAGAGACTTGGTGGATAACGTTTTGGGGTTTGAAACGACGGGTACTGAGTTAGAGTCCAGTGGGAACGTCACTCACTAGGGTCCAGGTACATCTAGATGACGAGTCACAAATAGAAAGAAACGCGCGTCGTGGATGTCACTTAAGACTTAAAGCATAGGTTAGACGACATACACTTAGATGACAGTGAAAAAAATGGTTAGTTTTGACATAACTAGCCTTTACACAAACATACCGATTGACATGGCTCTGGAGGCAGCTCGAAATAGGCTTAAAGATGACAGAGAACTTACGCAGCGAACTAAGCTGCCGATCAAGGAAATCATACTAGGAGTACGATTGTGCCTAACATCTACAGTTTTGAAGTTTCAAAATAAAATATATAAACAAACTGAAGGTGTTGCCATGGGATCACCAATATCCTCTATCATCGCAGACATATTTATGGATAGTTGGGAACAGGTCGCCCTTCAAACATTTAGTCCGACTCCAAAGATATGGTTCCGATATGTAGATGATACGTTTACAGTACTAAAATCTGAACACATCAGTAGGTTCTTGGCATATAAATTCAGTTGTGAATCCAATCCAATTTACCTGTGACTTAGAAAGTGAAGGTGAGCTAGTAATGTTGGGTTACAAGATCAAAGAAACACAAGAAGAAAATCTAGAGACTAGTGTCCATAGGAAAACCTACGCATTCGAATGGCTGCTTAGACTTCGAATCCTCCCACCTCATTTCAGTTAAAGTAGGCCTAGTTAAATGCTTACGTGACAGAGCGAAAACGCTTACTAGTAGATCGGAAAATCTGCAACAAGAAATTAGACACATCAAGAATACCCTACGTCTCAATAATTACCCACCAAAATTTATAAATAAACTCATAAGAAATAGAAAGAAAAATATTAGCAGTGGTAGTAGTAGTAATACAGGTGTTATTAATGGTAATGATGGTGACAAGGTTAAGAGAGAATTCAAAGCCTCTGTTGTGTTACCATACAAGGAAGGCACCTCAGAAGCACTACGAAGAATTCTCAATAAGTCTGAGATTAAAATGGCATTCAAACCAACAAACTCACTTAGAAACAAGCTTTGTAGGTTAAAAGATCCTATCGATGCAATTGAGCAAAATAATCTGGTTTACCAGATTCCTTGCAATGATTGCGAGGTCAAGTACATAGGTCAAAGCAGTCGACCAGGGTCGATTAGAATAACAGAGCACAAAAACTTAGCTAAATCAAGATCAGTAGATCCTAATAAGATAAGAAATCTAGAGAAAAACTCGGCTATAGCTTTGCATGCGATGACACACAATCACACAGTAGGGTGGGATAGGGTGACAGTGTTGAAAACGTCTTAGTTTATCGAATCAACACCAAACACATCCATTCGAAATGATGCTGCACCTGTCCCAGATATATGGAAAATTCTACTACCCTTGTCATCACAGAGGAGAGAAAATTAGGAATATATAAAGACTGTCTCGAAGTTGTGGAGTTACCTGATATGAATATGGACAATAAATTATGTCCAAAACGTTATCCAGTAAATGCTACTGTTTCACTGTGTGATATTTCTAATAAACAGACTAAAATGGAATTACAATCGACCATAGTGCCCAAGTTTTACACTTATACTAGTGATCTCTCCCTCTCTTCACCAAATTATGTTCGACTTAAGTGATTATTTCCCTCCCCCCCCCCCACCTAGTGTGTGGTCATGTGCTAATGGATGCATTGCAACAGGTGAGTTTTTCCTAGATAAGTGATCCTATTGGGGCCTGTCATTCTATATTTAGCTAAACTCCTATGTTCCACCATCCGAAATGACCCCGACCGGCTAGTTTGACCCATGTATTTGACCTTACAGTCACTGAAACACATAAAAGAAACGTTACTTATTGATAGTTATCCTCTACAGTTTATCAAGAAATTCGTACGAACACAAGAAAAGAAATAATAACAACAGTATGAATATGAATTATAACAACAACATGAATAGAAAGGAGTTCAAAGCTTCTGTTGTGTCACCACATAAGAAAGGAACATCAGAAACTTAAGGTTATATTAATATAAGTGTAAAACTTGGGCACTGTGGTTTATTTGTTTATTGATTAGTTATTTGATAGGTAGCGCTCAGAGATATAGTATTATTTACTTGGTGACATGAAATTGTCAACACGCCTAGAATAACGGTGGTACCTATACCCAAAAACTCGCTCAGAGTGAGTGACTATAGTCTTCCCAGTGTGGATATATGCAAATAAATAAATTACTATGACCACTAACTCTACTTGTTGAAAGTATCCTGCATGTGCAATAACTATTTCAATTGTATATTTACCCACTGAGTTATGAAGTGAAAAAAAGTTGCAATTTTTCTGTGTCCTGTCAATGTTCCTCAGAAAGTATATGCGTTTAATTCCCTTTATTAGCTATTGGGTCCAGTTAAAAAAATCGATGAGTTATTTGTGAGTTTTAGACACCAAAAATATCTCACAAGAAAGACATAGACTTCGAGATAATACCAAGTTAAATGTATTCTTACCTGTTGTGCAGAAACAGTTTTACGTTCAGCAGATACTTCAATGTTTACAGTGGAAGATTTGTTATAAACATTTGAAAGAACACAGTCGTACACCTCTGGTATACCCTTGTCTAAACATGCTTGCGCAGCTTCTCTTTTATCAGTCTGCCATAATAACTTAGCTCTTTCTAGAAGAGCGTCAGGGATCCCGAAATCTTCAGCACGTAAAACACATGTATAAGCTGCCATAAATTGTCCAGATCTAATATGAAAATAAAATAGAAGACGCCTTCGTCACCAAAACGCATATTCATAGCCAGAAGATGAACTACTTTAGTAATTTGACGAATTGAAAAAAGAATAATAATGGATTCAGAACTAAATATGTGCTATATATATATCAAAAATAAAAATAATCAGCTAAAACTAGTCCCAGTGCCTAATGTAAGTATATGCGTTGTCTGTCAGAACATAAGGTAAAACAAAAAGCAGTATATCATTACCTATGTTCAATATAACTGATGCAGTTAACCCATGAAGGAAGTAAAAGCAGCTCCGCAATATCTATCAAGCGCACTTAGTTGTGAAGGTCACTTACTTCACGATAGAATTCTTCCTTGACTGCAGTCCATCGAAGTGTAAGCAGAGATGACAAACAGACATCGTTTCTCTTGACGACTACTTCTTACTAGAGATAAATCTTCTAGTCCAGCCTAACACCATACAAGCGATTGTTGATAGGGATCCTGTCAAGTAGTGCAGCTTCGGCTCTAGCGGTTAGTGTGACATCCACAACAACAACAACAACAAGACCGGTTACCGATGCCACAGGGCTCCGGATAAACCCATATGAAATATACTTTTCTGGCTGACAGATGGGGAACTAATTCGAAGCATTTCACTGGGATCTCAAATGTGGGTCTCTGAGATGCAGCATACATGACTAGCAAGGCTTTCCAGAGTCCTGCCTGTTTTCCTATCTGCATCAAGGTGCGAACAATGAAGGTGGTGAGCTTAAACAGTATATGTGGTTTCAGGATGACTGTGTCAGATATCGTACTAGAGGACAGCTTTATGGAGGGAACTGTTTAGCAACTCAAAATGCTACACAAAGACCAAACATCTAAGCAGTGGAGAGCAGCTGACTGAAGTGAAGATAAAGACAAAAACGAAAATGATAATAAAAGAGTATAGTTCATTTGTGAAAACAACAAAAACAATACGATAATAATAATGAATCGAAGAATTAGTTATCGTGTCTGCAGTACGGAAGGCTTCAATATTTCCAGAGAAGTGGGGAAAGTGCTTCGAAATCTTCTTTGCATATTGTAACTTCATATTTTATGTCAGGGGTAAAATAGTGCGTGAGCACGCAGACCGAAGCGAGTGGATGTCTCAGCGGACCACTCATCGAGTCTTTGACTACAAGTTTAATCGACAAGAGAGTGCAGCAACATCAAGGGCTGCATTCTTGTGGTTATTGGTGAAGGGAATAGGTGCATATGCCATTTGTTCCATCTCGAAACGGGAGCCCATGAGTACCATAGGTTAAGAATCAGGGTTTCCCAACTCCCCTAGGTGAACTCTCGGTATCCACCAATTCAGGGATTAGCACCGGATATTCGGTTTCATCCTTCGGCTCATGTGGCATCAAATGAATCAGAAGACCTTGTTTTAAGGCGTTGGCTAGATGTGCTACACATTGAAATAGCTTTTACTGCAGGATCACCTTTCAAAAATAATTTATTCTTCAAAGTTACATTAAGAAAAATTCAAAACTCTGAGATTATAATTCAGAGCTCCAACACTTCCTCCTGCTGTTGGAAGAAAGAATTGTGCGGTTATTTTGATGTGATTAGGAACAGTCAACTGTACGGGGAAACTCTATCTCATAAATATCTGTTTTACCGTGTCGTCTATCCAATAAATAAACTGGCATAGAATTATACTGTAGCAATCCCGAATCTTTAATTTGCCTGAAAAGAAATTAACTTACTTTCTAGCAAGTTTAGCGCGTTCTAACCAATTATAACCTAGAGCAACACGTAGACGGGAAACAGCCGAATTCAGTACTTCACGATTAGTCGCCTGACGTATATCATTGTCTAGTGAGATAAGAGTTGAAGCGACAAGCTGCAAAGCTGCATGCCGGATCGCTAAAACAGGTTCCAAAGTATGAAAAGTTGGACGGCTAACACGAATTCTAGTTTCCAACAACTTCAAAGTTGTCTCAATGGAATTCTAGGGAGAAAGCAAACAGTTGTGGATTAATAAGAGATGTTTATTAAAATATTTCTTCTGTCAAAAAGATAATATTGAAAGAAATCTATTACCTGTAGAACTCAAAACTAACCACATGAGCATATATATATCTATACTTATTAGAACTGAATGAAAGGAGGCAATATCTAATATAAAGCAATACGGCTTCAAAGTGGAAACGCAATTCAGAGATAGAATATGGAATTTACCATAAGTACATGACCAATTCATCATTTGAGCACATAAACGCACCTCAATATTCTTCTTTTACTTATCACAGCTGGGGGAGTCAGTGAACATAATCAGTACTCAAAAACTAACTGCCCTCAATTGCAATGCAAATTTTTTGAACAATACATGGTTCTAGTATAATTGATTTTATATGATACCGTCGTTGCTTGGACCGAATTGATCGGTCTCTATTGGCATATGGGTTCCTGTGCGGATGCCTCATAATTCGTTCACAATTTTCAGCATTATACAGCTACAGTAGGTCAGTGGTCCGCGAAAAGGAAATGAAATATATTAAAGGGGAGATTTCAGTCAAATTTTTTTTTACTTTGAAGGTTTGTAAGGATTGATTGAGTCCGAAGTGGTATTAATTACAAACCGAGATCAGATGGCGAACCAATGAAAAACTGAGAGAACTGAGCAGCTCCTTTGACCTGGGTGCGCATTGCTGAGGGGGTTAGCTTTCGGGTTATTCGTCAAAGTTATATATTTTGTAAGTAACAGCTAAAATAACATATTTATTGGTCATAATAATAATAATTATTGGACCTGTAGGTCAGTCAGTCTGAATAGATCAATGGTCGCGCCTGTGACTGCAACATGGGGTGATGTAGATTCAAACGTCATAAGGGATACCAGTTCCCTCAAAGTTGCAAACTCCTTGTTGATGAGTGCCAACACGGATGAAACCTACGTCCAAGTATTTCTGTCAGTTGCCTACACTAATTAAAGCATACCAAGATGCTGAGTCTGGTAACTTGGTGACCATATTATAAAATGATAGATAGAACCCAGTGGCCATATATGTCTAGACAAAATGAAGTTAGTTACCCTAAAGTTACTGATCGATAACTCGAATGGTTGTAAAGCAATCAAGAGTGGTCATTAAACTTTTGAGAAAAGGTAACTTCAAACTTAACAATGAAACAAATTGCATAGTGGATCTAAAATGTGTCTGATAACATATCTTGAAACTGTATTACGAACTTCATGAAGCAGCTAACAGTCACTGTCTGTAAGCAGATTTTATCGCACAGCAGTCCCAGCAATTTTAGGTTTCGTTGAAAGCATATTCTTCACTAATAACTCCGGTATTGTTGTTATGAAACTGAAGGCCCTTCATCCCTTTTATAAGGTTGGGTTATTGAGAAAAATAACTCCTAGACATTCAAAGTGTTCATAAATACTAACTAACCTGAAGATTGATTTCAGACGATCGACAACTTGTTGGATTTCGAATTTCATTTACGATGACCTCACCTAAAGAATTGATTAACTCGATTTCAGACAAAGAGCTTAGTCGAACTATTGTGTCATAAGCACGAGTGTAACCACCTGGACCTTCGAGTGAAGCGGCACCCAACTCAGTCACCTGATCTACTCGCAGTTGAGCCAAGATTTTTGACCAGTCAGAAGTTCGCTGCAAAATAATAAGAGTTAACATGGGATAGTTACTTTCGGCAACTGAATTTTCACGAAGTGATACTTTGTTTAAGAGGTGGGGAAATCACAAGTTTCCAGAAAAAAGAGAGCGCTACAGCAACAAAAAAACTGATCTACATGTTTAGGACCACTGTCAGGATGTAATATTCAGACGATCACTTAAAATCTTCGCTTGAGGATTATTATAATTTGATCAGCAGCGCATTCGCAACGTTATTCGCTTTCGATAAACACAATCACCTCACTAGGCAAGCATCATTAAACATTGTCTTTTTGATAGTAACAACCGTCCATTAAAAAGTGTTTCACGTTATTTGGGACTCGTTAGGTGAATACAACTGCCTTCTCGCGAACGATAGCTGCAATATTGACCAGAAAAATGACATGGCTTGTGTACAGCACAGGCTGAAAATGGCTCGGGGTAGCCAAACTAAAATATCGAATCATTGTATAAAGTCTTTAATTGTTGATCTGAGCCATGTAGGGAGGTGCAGACTAGCCGATTGGCATTCAAGTGATAACAGAGACCAGTGGTTGGAGACTCTAGTTGATATGTTTCAGAATCAATGTCAGTGGCACTAATGTATCCACACCTCATCTTCATCATTGTATTGAATTCAGCATTGTCTCATTCCTCCTTCCTCTTTTATTGCTTTTTACTGATTCTTCTTTACCTCTTCATCTTTCATCTTATTGCTTTGTTACTTGATGTGCTAGTATAAAGGGTGGCAATTTGGACCGTTACCCAGTAATACCTTGTCTTATATTGACATTGATGGTGATGGACTGCCTCCCAGTGAGTCATGCTGTTCCCTCTGAAACTCGAACCGAGAACTTATTCGTTTAAATGTTATAGCGTTGTCCATTAGGCTTATGAATTATGACAGCTACTGCTTGTACGTCGCGCACAGTTTAGATGTTATAGCTCGTAATTTCCCATCAACGATGGAACCGAATTCATTGACCAGCTACCTTGGAAGCAGGTACACCCAGATAAGGTATGATCCCAAAAGGGAAGAAATGCGCATCCTGGATTTCAATGCTAGACACTAATGATCATTACCACAAAACTGAAATCACTGGCAATATCGAGGTATCCGCCCAGGAGTTCTTAGTCAGTAGTAGTCAATTAATTCTGTCTGACCAACGATGGGGAATTTTAAGTTATAACGTCAAACATTGTCTTTCCTAATAAAATAAATCATCGATTGTCTTTGAATCAAGATAAATAAAGCAGTTACCTATAGTTGAGAGTGTTCATCTACGCATTTTCATAGCATATGAATGAGGGTCTTTACCACCGCCTTTGTGCCTGATGCTATAAACCTAGGCTTCATATACGCAGTTTAAAAAACTAGTTATTAGGGTAGGATATGAATAAAAGAAAGCTTTACGAGCAATAATAATAATAATAATAATAATAATAATAATTCGAATTCCCATACAATGAAGATATTTGTTGGTTATCAAACGAACGGGAAACATAATGATACAAAATCTTGTTATACTACCAATGTTTGAGTTCCTAAGAAATTAAAAACGAAAGCGATATATTAGTCAGTAGAAGGCATAGTAAACTCTAGTCAGTGAACATTGTCAAATCATCAAAATGATTTAAATCTACAAATAAGCAGAGAATATTTTGTAATCAACTATAACACTAACCTTATCTTTCATTGCTAAGAATAGGCGCCCAATTCCAATTGACCAGGGACACTGCAGAAGGTTCTGTGGATATGATAACCATAAAAGTTAGTGAGTAATTTACTCAGACAAGATAAGCATGAGAAAATTAACTCAAAATATTGACATAAACTCAGCTTTCCCAATTAAAAGTCTCATTTGACAAGGACTGAATAAATAGTTTGCATTTAACAGTTTCACACCGTGGATATGAAAATTAAGATTGGTTCTTAGAGAGCAGCTAACTATCAGAAGTTGACTGATGACAAACATTATTTGTCTAAACAAAATGAAAAGACAACAAAGAAACAATTGTAGAAGATTTGTCTCAAAAGATAGAGGAGAAAGGGATAGTTCGGTTATATATAGCTTTAGAAGCAAATTACTATATCTTGGAGAACTGTCAACTGTTGTCCACAAACAAAAGTTAGGTGTTATTCGTTGAAGTGATTCACAAAAATAATGTGATAGAAAACAGCGTTTTTCTACATAGGATCAGCATAATAATACCTTACAGCAACTAACCTGTTAGTGTACGACTCCCTAGACTGGGAGTAGTTGCACCCAGTCCTGAAACATCTTGCATTTGATAGATACGAAACGGGTGCTAAACATACTAATCTTTCTCCTAAAAGCGTACAGAAGAACCTGCATTTTGTCAGTACCTCAACCTAACAAGATAATGTCGTTAACCCACTCCGACTCATCTAAACTCTCTCTAGGAAGTAAGCTAACCTCGGTAGAACCTGAAGTACATAGTGTTATTTCAATTAATACTTCTGCAAAAAAGTTAAAGATTATTAGGGTATGCCTGGTGAACACCTCTAGTTATGTTCACTTCCGATGACAACTCTTCATAGGCTTTAACAACGCTTCATGAGTTCGAATAAACAGCATTGATCAAGGTTACGTACTTGTTTGACACCTCTTTCACAGTCAGACGATGCCATAAAACCTTACGGTTGATAGAGCTAAAAGTCACCTTCAAGTATCGGTCGCTGGTAAGTATGGCTGAATACATATAGTGTGAAACCAATACTAAAAATGTGATAAAACTACTACAGTGGATAATATGTATTCGTCACCAACAATAAAACATTATCAGTAATCACACATTTAATAGTTTTCAGGTTAATACAATTTTCCATCGTTAAGAAATTGAAATATTATTACGTAAGAATGGAAGTCACCAACTTTACTGATACATGCTACTCTGAAGCTAACATCATACTTGCATATCAGAAGTTAGAAGCAGCTTGAAGTACCTTGAAGTAAACTACTTGATCGACATTCACTAGCACGTTCATAAAACCTGATACATAAAACAACAAGAATCAGTCCGGTTTATGCTTTATTGAAACCACTTGTTACTGACATTAAGTTCGCCATTAATTCCTATACCAAGCTGAAGCAGAGAGACTGATGCTGTACAATCATTTCTAACTGAAGAATGTTAACGAACAGATGAATAAAGATACACACAAAAAAACAGCAAACACACCATATTAGTCGTTTCTTGTAAAGTATCCCAATTACCCAGTCGCCAAGCTGCCTCAGCTCGATGAGCATTGAGGCAATCTGCCCAAACAGCTAAACTCCCTTGTGAACTCGAACAGCATTTCGATTTCCTTACCAAAGCTCCTGCTCGTTCAACCAAACCATGCAAACGAGCTGGATCAGGTAATTCACAACGGAAGAGACCACTATACATTAACAAATGTTGATTGTCATGAATTTCTTTTGTGGACAGTTTACTCTGCGAGCAACGATAATCAAATTCGGAAGTTGCCAAACTATGCTCGTATGCAGCAGCAGCCATATCCAGTTGTCCTTCATTTTCTAACTCTAGAGCACGAAGTAATGAAAACCTCTGCATCGGATTATGCGGGAACTCCACACTTGTACTGCGAACCTTTGGATCACCTCGTTTATCCAGACTGACTTCCTGTTCGAATGCAGCAAACGCTAATTGGGTAACCGACAAAACACCTGCCAAACCTAAAATATGGAAAATTATAAACCAATTGTGAGAATTGCATAGCTGAATGCAGAAAAACAGCATTGTTTACTGAACAAATTCTATTGGTTAACCACTTTAGGTAGTAATTAAAATATCAACTGCTTCCTTAATTTAAGGAGGATGGCTTTGCAACACAGACGAGTAGCACTGATAGCTTAGAAGAAAGTTAAAGGTGCATGGAAAGTTGATAATAAAAGTCAAAAATGCACTCAAAAACAAAAAATCTCAGAAAAACAAGTACGATAATAGTTAAGGGAAACGTTACCACTGACAGAAATCCCGTTCATGCGTCAAGTTCAATAAATCCAGCTGAACAACAATCAAAAGTAAAAGGCCAAAGGCCAAGTTGTAGCATTTCGCTTTTGTGTTAAATCGTCATTAGGACACTAACAAATGAATAGTTTAAAGCAGCTGGTCCCTTTGATAAATCTAAAAAGCGTAATGAGAAGACGAAGATTATCTGAAACATGTGAGGCTATACATTTCGAACAATCTGATCAAAAATGGACTTGTCGAACTATTTATGAAATTTTACAAAAAGGGTCAATGAAGTGGTCAAAATTTTGTTATTTTTTCGCCCTTCCCATTCCTATGTTTCTTACTGACTTCAATGACCCTTTTTTGTAAATTTTCATATAAATAGTTCGACCAGTCCATGTGTGTGACCAGATTGTTCGAAATGCATAGCACATGTTGCAGATAATCTTTGTCTTCTCATTACGCTGTTTAGATGAATAGTTAACATTAGTAGGACCAAGATAAAGGGAACAGTGAAAACTTTATTACACCTGTTCGTTTAAAAATATTACAATGAACAAAAAGGACTGAAGGAACGAGTAATATGTTCCTTGAAGTGCATAGAAAGCATTTGCATCACTGATCAATTTTGAGGCTTATTATTAACGTTAAGCAACTATTTTTTTATTATTCATTTACATTTATTATATCTACAGGTCATTTTCTAAACTAAAACTATTCCAGTCTAAATCACATACCAGCATAAGGAAGTGTGGTAGTATGATAAGTGTAAATCCAAGTTACACCATTGGTATCTGTTAATGACGTGTGAGTTGCAACTCACCAAAGTTAATTTCGAATAGAAATGCTCGCAGCGACTACGCATACTTCGATGCAGTAGGCAATAATCTACATCTATTGTCTGAACGCTAAAGAAAACTACCTGGCTGTCTAAACCTTGGTAGGTGTAGTGGGGTTCAAACCCGTAACCTATTGGCTTGAAGTCAACTTCCTAAGCCGATGGGGCCACAATTACACGCAAAGGTTACTGAAACTATTAGTCTTTCACTTTATATCCAATATGGAAACGAATAGACCTATTCAACTGCCCTGTCGTTCAATTGCTATACGAACACAAATACTGATAAGCTGTCAGCTTATTAAGCGATACTAGCTCCCAATTCAATGTCAAGTTGCGTACATGATAAATGACAATATCAGATACTTGGAGTGGTGAGTGAAGTTGCATAAATGGAACAAAATACAGCAAAACATGGATGAAAGCTTAGTTGGATTCATGCAGTTACAGACCGAATCCCAGTTCAAGTCATAAAGGTAACAACGTGTGAACTCTGTGCAGTCAGTATTTATTGTTCACCTAATCTCGTAAGAAAGTTCAAATGACTGTATATATTACAGTGAAGAATTATGACTAATTAGGAAGTCGGAGCTAAAATATTCGAGATAGTATAAAAATGAAAACATTCTATGGAATTCGTTTTAAAGAAAAAATCTCTTACCATCTGAATCACGCAAAGAAGCGTATGTGTCCAATAAACCGATAAGAGCGATAACACCAGTCTTCCCAAGTTTACTAGAATGCTTCTGCGAAGATGGTTTATTGGCGGATAATATAGAATTAAAACCTGCACTCTCTGAGGTCGGTTTCGCAAACCCAAGTGTATGGTCAACGTCAGATCGGCATACTGCAATACCAGTAACAAAAGCAGACTGTTGAGCTACTGTATCTTCACCATATGCTAATTCCCAATGCAATAAAGCTCGAGCAAGGCTGCCACATCGCAAACTAGCTTTGGCCTGCAACAAATCTGGAATACTTGAGAGAAAAGACGAAACGCGGTCGACACCTAAAATGCACATAATGATGATAAGATGGATATACCGTAAAGTTCAGTGTGGATAGTAGATAGATAAAAGATAGACTTACACTCCGAGGAAGCTATAGCATGTTGAGGTGTGCTTATATCCTTCGTCGTCTCCTGAACAGTGTTAGCTCCTTTCGTAACAGGTTTTGATGCCACATATTCCTGCTGGATTCTCAACCAATGTCTCAAATAATCCAATAAACCGAAAATTGTCTGAACCCCCAGAGGAAACCAAGTTCTCCAAAGTCGATTACTTGATGGATGTACCTTTGTCATCAGCGAAGAAATATTGGTGAAAAGCACATTTAAAAACCGTATAAGATGTAGTGAATGTAATTTCAATGAAAGACAAACCGTTTAACAAAGATAACACGAGCTATTTCAGTTCCCAGATAACTGGGTTAATTTATGTTGATAATTCCTTCGGAAAGATTACGACCTTAAATTGAATTCATCTAAATTTCAAATTTCATCTGAAAAGTAAGTGATCGATCTCGTAACTAGGTTAAGTCCGCACTGCTAAAAATTAGGTGACATAACTCACATCTTACTATTTCATTTCAAGGTTATTTAAGCAAACAACTAAGGAAATATTATTTGTTGGTACTTCTTGGTACTGACAAGACCCAAAATAGTTGAAACGCGCTTCCTGGACTCTTCAGCTGGCACCGTCATGCAAATTATAACTGAGGAAACAATTGTAAGACCAAATCTAAATAATATTTAGAATTTCTGAAGAAATTTGAGAGAAACTGTCAACCCTTTAATAGTGAGTATTGCACTTCAAATGCATTAAGAGAATTGACTGAATAACAATCCAAATTGTCACACTTTATACAGCACATCAAGTAACAAAGCAATAAGATGAAAGATGAAGAGGTAAAGAAGAATCAGTAAAAAGCAATAAAAGAGGAAGGAGGAATGAGACAATGCTGAATTCAATACAATGATGAAGATGAGGTGTGGATACATTAGTGCCACTGACATTGATTCTGAAACATATCAACTAGAGTCTCCAACCACTGGTCTCTGTTATCACTTGAATGCCAATCGGCTAGTCTGCACCTCCCTACATGGCTCAGACCAACAATTAAAGACTTTATACAATGATTCGATATTTTAGTTTGGCTACCCCGAGCCATTTTCAGCCTGTACTTACTTCAGGCAACATTGAGTGAAGAAACAGACGGTGACTAAGTATGCGTAACACATATCCCAACCATCTAAGTAGATGAAGGTTCACAACCACATCAAATGACTTTCCTTTCCTCCTAAAAAACTCTGCAACCGACTTCGCGTTGTTGACATGGTGACACCAAGATATATGGTCTATGATACGAAGGCAACGGAGAGAGGAGAATTCGCAGGTTGTGATCGAAACGTTTGTTTCTTTACACATCATTGAAAGGCTGTATTCGCGGAGAAAATGGGACAGGTATTTGTCAAATTTGAATTCTTATCGATTATGATAAAAAGGATTTATTTATTTACCACAATAATTAGTTCGCTGTGTTCAGAAGATTCGGAAGTTAACCCTATTATTAAATCCATGCAACAGATATACTAAGAAGCACATTTCAGATGTGAAATGAATGGCTAAAAAACTGGGTAATGACACTGTATAAACCTATTGAGACATTTCAGTGAGAACATACCTCATGTAAATTAACACTTTTCAGAAGATTATCAAAGTTAATATGACTTCCACCTTCCCGAATCGATTCAGTAACTTCAGTAAAAACGGCCAAAATTTCAGAGCGAAGCTAAAAGAAATGAGGATAAATGATTTATTTTACAAAAACATTTATTCGTATTGTGTTCCGTTATTACAGGACAATCATCAATTCTCAATGGGACAATTGCATGGGAAAAAATATTTATTCTTTTTAAGAGACGAATACCGTGGACATTCAATTTTCACTGAATGATTAACGTGTTCAAAACTCTCGCTGTATGCGCTGAAGTCTGAGAATCGAAACTATGAGGTTTCTAGTAACATATGCGGCTCACAGTGAACTGAAGGAGACTGCTAGGCTAATCTTTTGTATTTTGAACACATTAACCCATTTTTACTTATCGAATGATTCATTTTGATGCATTTATAAGTCACTTTACAGTGACGTAGAGTGAATGTTTAATGAGTATACGTAACAGATGGGTAAACTACGATATAATTTGGATGCTAAGTATTATAAATATTATTATTTGTCCCTTGGGTTCCTAATGGAACATAGGGCTTCAGTAGCACGTCTCCAATGCGCTCTAATCTCTGAAATCTTTTAAACCTGACTCCACGACAGCCCACAAGCTCTCATTTCCTCCTCGCACCATCTCCTCCATGTCACCCTCACCTCGGACGCCCAACTCATCGCTTCCCATCGGGGTTCCACTCGAGCAACTGGCCTGACGCGCGATGTCCCCAGTCGGCCTTCTCAGTGTATGCCCAGTCCATCTCCACTTCCTTCCAGTGCATATTTGTTCAGCGATAGGTTCTTGGCTGGTTCGTTGCCCAGCCAGAGCTCCTTGATGCTTATTCTTTCTGGCAACCCATCTGATCTTCAGTAACGAGTTAGTGTACGCAGTTGTTGATGAATGTCTGTAGTCTCTTGGAAATCCGTTTCGTAACGCGCCAAGTCTGTGAACCATACAGAAGCACTGATTTGACGTTGGTGTTGAAAATCCCGATCTTGTTCCACATGCTGAGTGCAGAAGATCTCCACACTGGTTTCACGCTAATAAACACCTGTCTTGCTATTCCGATTCTGGCTGGCTTTGACGTCCTCGTCTGTGCCGCCTGTAGTTGAAATAGTGCTGCCTAGATAGGTGAAAAAGGCTACTTCCTTTAGGTTTATCCCGTTGATGGTGATTGGAGTTTGTTGTTGTTGTTGTTGGTCGGGTATCCTCATCACCTCTGTATTCTCTGTATTCACTTGAAGTCTCGTCTTCGCTGCCCTGCCTCTTCTGACAACTTGTTACTTTTCGTCTATAGATCTTCAAGTTTGTGCAACATCCGACACAAGTCATCGGCGAAATCCAAACCTTCTAGGTTCTTTTCCGCAGTCCAGCGTATCCCCCTCTTCTCATAGCCCCCACTGTTTGTTGCATGATCCAGTCGACCACAACACAATCAGGAATATCATGGGTGATAGTAGACAAAAGCATCACTGAATTTCCCATTGTGAATTACTTGGCATGTGGCATCTTCAGATAGTTGTTGAATGAGGCTGATAAAGGTTTCACTTGTAGTTCAGCGGCTGGGCTGCTGGTGGCATTTCTGGATGAAGTGCAGGTGGTGGTCGATTAAAGAGCCTTTTGAAGTGGTCAGTCCATCGTTTCCTTTGTTTCTCTTCTTTCGTAATTAGATTTCCCTCACCACCTTTTATTGGTTTCATGTGTGTTGATCTCTCCCCTCCCAGTTAGTAAAATGGTTATTTGATATAATGTTGTCAGGTCTCTGTCTCTCCTACCTACAGCCTGTTCTGCTTCTCTTGCCAGTGTGTCGTACAAGTGTCTTTTGTCTTTCCGTGCACTCTTCTTCACTTCATTGTCCGGTGTGGTGTTTTATACATTGTATTCAGTTCCTCTTGTCGTTGAGCATCCTTGCACTGGTTTATCTTCTGCTTCACCATCCTCCTCTCCCTCCTCTATCAGCTTCCATGTATCCATTGAGATCCATTCCAGTGTTCTTCCACACAGGTTTCTTCAGGGATCTTCCTCGATATCTCCCATTTTGTCTTGATGGCTGGCTGACGTGAAGATTTCCTTCGTAGTTTCGTCCTTCAGTTCAGTTTCCGTTGTGGGTGTTGAATTTGAACTGTGGTCTATCATCAGCTTCCTTGAAGGCTTTTAACTTGATTTGGAAGGTAGGTAGGTTCCTTGCACTAGATAGTGAGTGGTCTGAGCCTACATCTGCTCCTCTTCTTGACCTTGTGTCAAGTAGACTGCATCTCAACTTTCTTGAGATTGAGATAAAGTCGATCTGATTTTGAGTGTAGTACGTCCTGGTGTCTGGTGAAATCGAATCCATGTCGTTCACTTTGTGGATATCCTTGTGCTTGAACACACTGCCTCGCCTCCAATCACCAAATCGTTGAATGCACAGAATTCTGCAAACAATTCTCCATTCTCGTCCATCACCTCACCTAGCGCTTCTCAACCCATGGTTAGTTCTCTTCCTGTGTTGTCTGCTCCCAGTTTGGCATTCATGTCACCCTGCCCATTAGAATGAACTTTGATATCGCCAATTGAGGTGGTGTCTTGTCCAGTGTTGATTGCAGTTGTCTGTAGAATTCCTCCTTTTCTCTTGCTCTGCATTATTTGTAGGTGCGTAGCGTAGCACTGTATGATTGTGACCTTCCTTCCTTCTGAGTTGAACATTGCTGTTATGATCCTGGAGGAGATTGGTTCCCACTGCATGAGGGACAGCCTTCGATGCTGTTGGGGACATCATGATAGCCACTCCGAAACTCAGTGTGCTCGTGGTTGTCGTCTTGGTAACAATATCGGAGTAGATTATTGATTCTCCAGTTGACAGTTTGGAGAGTCCACTCCCATTCCATCTGCTTTCGCAAATTCCTAGCACTTCAATGTGATACTTCTTCATCTCCTTCGCAATCTGGGCTGCCTTGCCAGGTTCAAACATGGTGCGGACATTCCATGTCCCCACGTTTACTTTCAATTTCATCGAGAGTGAGAAGACACACTGGCCAACTGGCTTTCCGAAGGGTTTCACCAACTGGCGTCATTTCGCCTCTCCGATTCCAGCGGGGAATAATTTTGTTATTTTTTCTGTTTCTTTTGTGCCTTGAAGTTTCTTTAGTGGTTAGATTTTTTTTAGGGGGTAGGGTTGCTGGCCCTATGCCCAACCTTCCCTTTTTACCCGGGCTTAGGATTGGCTAGTAACTAGTGAACTAGTTAACCAGGCGAGGTTGGATGCTGAGTATTCGGACATTATCTACAAAGTCTACAAATGCATTATAATCTGATTCTTTGATCGAGCTGGTAACGACTTAAAACGCAGAAGGAAAAAACCAACGGCAATAACTCTCGCATCAAGCTCATGATGCACATGTTACTAATCGGTATCAATATGTAGGGCTTTTGAGGTAACCTCATGACCTGGTCAAATAACGAAGAGATATTGTGTAGCCACATATGAAATTTCCCGTGGTTCAATTGCTTTTTGAAAGGGCGTGATTGAAAATATCTAATTTCCTGACATTTTCCAGTCCGATTTTCGTGAAATAGTAGTCAATTACGGAGAAACCTGTGCAGCAATAAATGCCACCGACTACACTGTAATAAATTCCAGTATCACTAGGTGTTTGGTTTATTGAGGATGAAACCAATAACTTATGTTCATTAGAAGAAATTCAGTTCAGAGAACAATAGTATTGAAGTGACCAAAACCAAACGAGCTTTACAATCAACTCAGTCAATTCGTTCATGTGTGTGTGTCGGGCCGACGAGTTATGAATGTGGTGTAAATGTTTATGATACTACATAGCTTTCTTAAATTCACTCAACAAGTAGAGTGAAGTTTCAACGTGTGATTCACTGAGTAAGAATTGAATGGATACTTTAGTAAGTCATAGTCTCCAGTCTTTCTAGAGGTACAGCTGCAATAATGAAAACTATTCTAATCGTTCCAAAACATGTTAATCGGTGTATTTCAACAGTTGCGACACGCTTTTAAAAGTGGTCGAACAGCACTGACAGACTTTCATTGAACAAATAGTAAAAAATTGGGTATATTCAGTGGTGGATCAGAAAACACTTGAAATCAAAAGGTTAATTATAGTTCAGACAATCTTAAAAAGTAACATTGTGTCTCACTGAGTTCTAAAACACGTTAATGATAGCTATAAACGAATGTAAGGATTAGATTCACTGTTATATATATAGGACACTTACTGCAGATATTCCAGGTTGACAATCATCCATAAAACTTGTAGAGCACAGTGTTCCAGCATTATTCTAGCGAATGCTGCATCGGCTTTCACTACAGGTTCACAAATTTGAAAAATTTTGAAAGCAAGAGGGGACTTTATCTGAAAATATAAAACTGAAAATATTTTATCTGAACAGTAGGTAGGCAAATGAGTTTTAAAATGAAAATTTCGGAGAAATAAATACTTGGTAGCTGTATCTAAGTTTGAAAAATTCGAAAGAAATTTTACGATAATGCCACAAATTACACAGTTACTAACCATAACTGTTTGCAGCTTTTATAAGATGGTTTATATTAGGAAGGGTAACAGTATCCTCTAGATTTATCGGAGAATCTAGAAAATTCCTGAAATGCCTTCACAACCATTCATGACATGTCGAGCGTTTGCGAAAAACCACTTCATCATAAGTGTGAGACTCAGATTCGCTAAACGACTCTCTAGAAAGGTGTAGAACTTTCCAAAGCCATCAATAAGTGCATATATTCTACTGAACGATAAACATTTATCGTTCTTGCGAGTTCTTTACTGTTTTCCAGTAGCGGAGCAACGCTCAAGGGTGAAGTCTAAGGTTATTGTTCAAGAGTTCACCTATATATCTATATCTATATATACCACTAGGATTTATCAGTTTAAATATTATTGAGACGATCAAGACAGAGATGTGTACATTACAACGAGGGTAGAGACAACATTCTTAAGCAATAATACCAGTTGAGTATCAAAGTCAAACAGAATAATAGTAATCAAGGAATACTTGATCACATTACACGACTTGTGCAGTTATCACTTGAAGTACCTTCAAAATTGTAACTCTTACATATTTAGATAGTTAAGTTAGTTAAGTTGCTTCACACCTTACATCAGCAGATAACGATATGAGGCGAAAAGGAGACACACAAAGATTAGAATGACGATAAGGTACGAAAACATCTGCACCCCTGAGATCAAACCGGAGCTTCAGCCTCCAAGCGTAGGTTTTGGTTGTTTTACGCATTCTAAACAAAGAGGATTTCATTTCATCTACTAAATATAACCTAAACAGTACCCTTGAGTAGTCGGAATGAAAGTTGAAGTTGGTTCGTTTTAAAATTCGCTTTAACTACGGTCATTCTCACAACATGGTTAGCATGAAGCATTCAGATGGTGAAGAAAATTTCTTCGTCGTAGTATAATGACAATGGGCAAATAACTATGCGGAAAGTTGCATGTATAACAACATGCGACGCAATAGCACACAGTCAATTCATTTTCACGTTGACCAACTAAAAATAAAAACACTAAAACAGATAATGGATAGTCGATTCACTGCCCAGAGTTGCTACAATTTGAGTACAGTCAGCGAGAAATAATTAAAAATAAAACTTACATGACTACTTAAAGAACCAGACCATAAGCGTATCCATGATTCATAAGTTAAATTAACTTGATTTGTAATGATTGGAATCCGTATAGCAGACCAATTGATAAATGATTCAACAACATATCTGAAAAATATACAAACAGGCCAAATTGTATTTATGATAGACACGGGTAATATTTCAGAGAAAGAGAATTCTATAAATCTAATTCAAAAGGATAAGGATTTTCTCTCTACGCGGATATGTGAACGTATTCGTAGTTAAAGTGATATCAATACTGTGAAACAAAAAGAGGATGATAGACAAGAGTGAAGTAAACACCATTCAGCTATACAATGAAGATAAACGTCATACACTGTGAAATAAAGAGGCTAAACTTCTTCCATCGCTTATTGTTTAAATCCTGAAAACGGATCTTTCTAAAAATTGACTGACCATTATCTTTTCCACTATGAAAAAGTGTACACTATGAAGTACCGGAAAAGAAGGAAAGCGTTTGCACTAGGAACGATAACTAAAGTGAGGAAGTTATGAAACATCCGCAGAAAATTCTAGCTTACTTTCACCACTAATCCGACAAGAGAGATATCAATACTTCCAAAATTGTGAGTTCCTGCTGTTGCTTTTAATAGATAAATAACTGAACATAACATTACTAACCTTTATTAAAGCATCTGGATCAGAAGATGGAAAACAAATATCTCATATATTATGAGGCGAAATTTCCTCATAGTTTTAACTACCTAAGTATTACGTAAAGTCCACCAATAAAATGCCAATCCAGTAAACAGACTCATCACATCATAAGCCCCCTAAATGCCATGAAATGGATGAGGGTGGACTGATATCAGTCACATATCCTGAAATGCTTTCACGTTAATAGCTTCTACCAAAAAAGTTCTACTCACTACCTTCATTTGACGGGGCTGCTTCCATAGAAATGATTGGGCTGGAGTTGGAAAACCCTGATTCCAAACCAGTAGTCACAGAGACAAAATCAACGTATAGGCTCGCACACAAGTGTATCGCTTCAAGTTTTCAAACTTCATATTAAAAGGACAAGTGAAAAAGAAAGACTGATATCAAAGTAGATAAAGTTATGTGGGGGGAAGGAATTTAAAAACTAAGGTTAGTCAAAACTCAAGCTTCAGAAGACATCAAAGGGTGAATATATCTGCGCCATTGTGAACGATTTTTAGCCATTTCATCAACAGTCCTCAAACACTGATTTCTATAGTTTTAGGGAGCCCAGCTAGATAGTCTACACCACCGTACATGGATCAAATCAACAGTTAGGGACTTCACAAACTGATGTCACGTCTTAAAACCAGATGTGTACATGGGCCTCACCATACCAAACAGAAAAAGGGCATAAAAACCTATCCTAGACACTGAGAACAATGGGAAGTAGCACCTCGGGTTGATCCGCTGCTTTGCGGATCAGAATTTAAGTCAAAGACTGGAGAAGTGCTCCTTCAAGATGACCGTGCACTATCACAGCTTATGTACAATTTATGAATCAATATGTATAGTGAAGACAATTAAGCGAAAACCGAATCCTCATTCAATAAAACAAAACCCATGGCGTAACGAACTTTCCGCTAAATCGTTCAACTTAATGTGCTTAGTTTAGTCTTGAGTTACGATGATTATCAGAATCGTTCGAAATGGGTTGTGTCCAGTATTGCAACTAAATACTAAAGCAAGATAGATTAAATGGTAGTTGCCGAAACTCAAAAAATATAGATGGGCATTAGATGCACTCACAAGACATCATGAAAATAGTTAGTAAAGCTACTTGTGAATTCGACGAACGTTCTGCTAATAAAGACTCAGCATGTGAAGTAGGTAGAACACTGGTCACTAACTATCACAAACGTCTAGAACTCTGGGCATAACACTTAGAAAAGTAGTGCAGTTGGCTTACTGCTCTAGCAACACCAACTTCAGCCCACTTCACGAAGCAGATATCCGCAAGGAACTTTGAGTACTAAAGCTTTACAAGGGTACCAGACCCAGAAAATCTATGCCAGGTTTTTTTTAAAGACGGAGGTAAGGACTTATGTTTAGGGAAGTGACAACAATATTTGGCAAGATATGGCAGGCTGAGAGTGTTTCATCATTCTGGAATGCAATTAATGTTGTTTACGTAAACAATGTGGTAATCTTCGACGTATCAGTCTCCTATCGATGACCTCTAAAGTGTTGGTTGCTATGATACCTCTCAGTCTATACAGAGATAAGACGTGGCTCAGTGGTTTAGGGAGATGATTATTAATCATTGGGTCACGGGGTCGAGCTCCACTCCAACTACCGAGGTTTGGGTAGCCAAGTAGTCGATCAACAGCCCTCAGACAATAGGTATGGCTTAGTGCTCACTGCACGGTTATGCACAAGGTAGCTGAGTGTGTTTCGTTTCGATCTATGCAGAACGCATTAGAATCTAGTCCATGAGGAGAAGGTCAGGATTCGTTCAGGTTGCGGATGTAATCACTATGTCTACCTGGCGTCAAATAGTTCAATACCATAAGTACTGTAGGCCAATGATCGTTGTTACAGCTACCTTGTTTCGTTGAAAAGGGCTGTGCTTCGGAATTTTTCGGTGGAGAGGAGTGTCCCTGGGAGATTTGTTAACACCATGAAAGCCCTACAGTTCAAAACTTTAGGTAATGTGAAGGCTTACGGCAAACTAACTCCACTGTAACAAATCAACAGTGGGGTTATGTAGGGTTGCCAGACTTAGCCATTCCTCCCTAATTTTGTCATCGATGACATTTCGAGACAGCCTTGAAAGAACTGATGTGGTGGTGGCGTAGACATATTACTAGACGAAAGATTGATATCGAAGTTGACAAACGTCCATGAAAGAGAAGAATATAAATAAACAGAGATTAATGAAGTTTTGGAAATGTGAGGATGACAGAATCTAAGCATCTGTACCACGGTAACCATATCATATCACCAAGAATTACCAATCATTCACTCTGATAGCTTCTAGGACCCCGCAACAAGCAAGATGAACCTGCCTCTACGGTTCAAACCAGACAAAGACTTTTTGGATAGGTGCTACGTTTTTTTTTAAAAACTTAATCCTATATCCATAAAAGTTGTACGTCGGGGTAGGTGGTGGCTTGACATGAGCGATACTTTTCCAAGTCATCTTAGCTGATGAGAGTTCACAACCTTATCGATTGACTTGCGTTCGTTACCAGGATCTCTACATCAAACCTTAATAATCCATCATAGATAGACAACAGTAGGAAGACACCTACGATCAACGACCTGAACCACTTGATGTCTATTAGTTTCTGAGGCAAAGTCTAAAAACCAATATCGTGTTTTTGAATTCTAAGGTAGACAAAAATTTACATTTTTTAGAAATTTAGAGCACATACAGAACATCAGATTACTGATGCGTTAAGTTCTACTACAATTCACTAAACATACAAGTTCAAATCGACTTACTCCAAAAACCTCTCTTCCAAAGATAGTTTGACTTACCTAGAAGTAAGAAGTGGAGCAAACAGATCGCGCAAATGTTCAGGAAATAGGTCCCACAATTCAGAGCCCCAAAAAATAGACTGAGCGTATCATCTTCAGGATCATTTATATTTGAAGACAATAAATTTATTGATTTTCCAACATCTGGCACTTTGAACAATTTCAACAGTTCTTGGACAGCTAAGGCAGCTGAATCCTAATAAAAAGGGGAATCTTGCGTGATTACAATTCGGTATTCGAGAAAAAAAGGTTTTATAAGACTTATACGCAAACAACAAACAGTAATCATTACCGATAGAATGTAAGGACTGTCACATTAGTATCTGAATAAGTATGTGTTGATGATTTCTAAAGCACACGATCAATACTTTTTATATTCCATGCATTTAGATCCCACGATAAATTTGAATAAAGCAAGAAGGATAGGATTTGAAAAATAAGATGACATGATTCGTATATAAAAAATATTTTATCATGCTACATGAATCCATACTTAAAGAACGGTGAGCATTTTAAATATTAACCTAAGATCCCGGTGATTTTAAAATTCTATAATTATGACAATTCGGCATAAATGTACACAAAGTAGTTGCTTACCAACTGCCTAGGACTAGCAGCACGTAGATAAATTTTCGCTAATTCACATAAAACATGGAATGGAAATCGACGGTCATTCACAAATACTACCAAATCGTTTTTAGTCTTTACTTCGTGATTTGATAAACACAGTCTATTGAAATAAAAACGAAAAGAAATATTTTGTAGAATGAATAAATTTTACAAAAGTAGAATGATATCTTATCCAATACAGAAAAAAACACCAAAAGTGCCAACATATTCCCTGACTAGAGATACTACCGTTGAACTACTTGAGTATTTAGAAACCACTCAGGATGATCTGTAGATTTCGCCGCCAATATCATAGTGATCTAAGCGTCAAACAGTCGTTTGTTTTGCTCGTTTGGATCTGAGGTCATCAGCAGTGTATTTGAATAAATCCAGCTTATAAACCGAACCCGTTCAGAACACTTGAGTCTCCAACTAACTCTAACCTAAACACTACATTATCGTAAAAAACATATCAAAAACACCTACGTCATACTTTGTCTAAAAGAGCAGTAATTTGGTAGTAGCAATGACAAAGAAACAAACAATACTTTAGGAGGAAGGTACATCCAGCTGACGAGTCCAAAATAGGAAGAAAAATGATAGCCACTATCCAATATCACAGCATCCGCACAGGAATCTACTGCCTATACCAACCGAATAATTCGGGCAAATCAACGACGAAAACTGACAAGCTATAAAAAAAGTAATTAGTATGACACAAATTCAGATTTAGTTAAGATATACGAACACAAGGATGTTTAAAGTGACAAACATACTTGCAAGGATCAATCGCCCCGAGATTGCCAAGCCACTGAGCATATAGCAATCTCATCTTTTGATCAGTATCTCTAGTTAGACCTTGCAGCAATGAAGCTATAATATCTGCCATAAGAGATCTAGTCCCACGAAATGACATCCCAGATATTGAATCCACAGAGTGTGTTGTATCAGAAAATACGCACTGAATATCACTCCCATTAGACGAAGACACTGAACAGTCAATTAAGTTGGGCAAATCCAAAGTCGAGACCGTAGAACTTTGCCATACTGATCATTTGCTCCGAAATTCACTTCTGAAGTTAAAGTTAACCTTCGTACAGACCTGCTAGAATGGGTCAAAGCAGGTAGCCATGATGAAAGCAGTTGATGCATTTCCTTTTCTGTATGGCCACTTTCATTGGTGAAACATGATGCACGCCTATGGAGCAAAATATTAAAAGTGACAATTAGGCACAAGGATGCATAAAATGTGCATCCAAAATGTTTTCCTCTCGGATCAGATCAAGTAAATCTTTCAATAACAACAGCAATTATTAACGCCTTACCATGGACATAAATCATCCAAAATTTGCTGACATGTTAACAATGAAGGCAAACGAGGCAGAAAGAAAAGGCAAGATAAACGATCTCCAAGTTGTTCTCTGAAATATAAAAACAATTTTCAAAACAAGGATATGAAATGTGTAGAAAAAGAATTTGATAACAGTTATAGGTACTATTGAAATAAATATACGAGGGAGACGCAAAATGAATTATTTACTAGTCACATATATATTTCGCTTAAGTAACCCTAATTACACAATATGTGGTTTTAACATTCCTTTCTAAAGTCATGATTCATAGTCTACTTCATCGTTATTTAATCAAACTGTTTTAATGTATAGTCTCTATGCGTACAGCTGCTTAAGATAGGAGTCCATATCTGGAAAATGCAGCGTCTGATCAACAGATGTTCCAATTCGGCTTAGCCTAGCATAATACATGCAATGAAATCGGTTAACATGATTTTAAACAGCATACTTAGAAATGCAGCATAACCTAAATAATAGGTCAGTATTCAAAAAAGTACAACAAAATCACACTAAACTAGAAAAAAAACCTCAGAAAAAACCCAGACCGACCTAGGAACACCAATAACAAACTGTAATCTAACCTTTTCTCTAAAAAAAGATAATGAAATAAATCCACTACTTGATCAGCATCACTAGACAAAAGTCCAACAAGAGTAGCACCCAAATCTGGCAGTAATTCATCGAGTGATTCTGGCTCTAACCTAAAAGAAAAGAAAAAGCGAAGTCTGGAAGAAGATGACATCAAAAATTAAGCATAAATCGTTTTCTTGAAGTTAAGTCATTAATACCTAAATTAAAAGTACCAGCGATATCAAAGCATCTGCACAGAAGCCCATATACCAATAGTCGACGATTAATTCAGTCCAATCAATGACGGAGACTTACAAGTTATAACATGAAGAACACCATGTTATACCCGTCGCACAAGGAGTAGTTATCGTGACTCAGTGACCTAGTGGATAACGCTCTGGCGTTTGAAGCGATCGGTCCCGAGTTCTAGTCGTAGCGGGAGCAACATCATTTCCTAAGTGGCAGGTACATCCAGCTGATCAGTCCCAAAAAGCGAGAAACGCGCGTCCTGGATTCCACTGCTAGCCATTATTCATCACTGTTATCATTCAAAAAAGAATGTACATAACATGTTCACTAATCAGAGACTTACATACGTATAAAGCTGCGCCATGCCTTTACGACGACTTTTGCAAACGGCGATGTATTATAACGTAGGCATATTCTAAAGAGGGAAATAATAATCAGTTTGAATATTTAATGGCGTGCTGAATCACATAACGTGCAATTTTCAAGTATCAGCTAAAACCACACATTACAAAAATGGATTGAGCACATTCACTTGAAAAATAAAATTACAAAAGAACACGATTCCTAAGCTGAATCACATCATAGATACGTGCTAACCGTTGAACCTGAATTTTTATCAACTCGATTGTGCATGGACAGTGGGTGGTCACTGTCCAAATCAGGACAATGCTCCCTAGTTTTTGATGATTCCACAGCTGATACCAGATATCCAAGAGTAAAATTTAGCCACTGGTATTGTTAATGTGGTGGTAGACAGTAAGCATCAACTCAATAAGGCTCAAATAAAAAAAGTCGGTGAAAAAATTAAAAACTCAACTAAATATCGTGTGGATATATTCAACTTGCATTTTACTCCCTGACATTATGCGTCCAGTTACTACCGAACACAGGTTCCATACAAATATTTAGAACACTCATATATCGGTTAGTAAAAGTGGAAATACACTAGCGAAACCCAAAAATCTAGTTAACAACCAATTGACTAATTCCAGGGATGCTGTGCAGACCACGTAAGTTGTGTATTCACAATAGTGCTGTTGTTAAAAATTACTCACATATAGATCTATTATTATTATCAGTAATATTATTATTTATCCCTTGGGTTCCTAGTGGAACATACAACTTCAGTAGCACGTCACCATTTCACTCTCTTCTCCGCAATCTTTTCAACCTGGCTCCACCACTCACCAGAAGCTTTCACTTCTTCCTCACACGACCTCCTCCATGTCACTCTCAGCTGCGACGCCCAACTCGTCGTTTCCCCCTTTGGATTCCACTCGACGGACTGGCCTGACGCGTGATCTCCACAAATAATCTTCTCAGTGTATGCCCAATACTATCTGTCTCCACTTACTTCTGAATATTTGTTGGGCGATGGCTTCTTCGTTAGTTCGTTGCAAGCCAACCAGCCAGCCAGCCAGTCAGTCAGACAGACAGACAGACAGACAGACAGTTCCTTGTTGCTTATTCTTACTATTCTGGCCATCTCATCTCATCCTCAGTATCGAGTGAGCGTACACCGCAGATGTTCATTAGTGTTTGCAGTTTGTTGGAAATCCTTTCCCTAACGCGCCAACTCTCTCAACCATCACAGAGAACCACTACCTTACTTGACTGAATTAGTGTTGAAAATCCAGATCTTGTTCACGCTTTATGCTGAGTGCAGTGCAGTAGATCTCCATAATGATTTCAGATTAATGAAGGCCTGTCTTGTTGTCTTTCCCACCCTGCCTTTGACATCCTCATCTGTGTCTGTGCCGCCACCTGTAGTTGAAATGATACTGCCCTACCCAGGTAGGTGGAAGAGACTACTCCCTCTAAGTTTCTCCCGTTCATGGTGATTGGTGCTTGTTGTTGATGCTGTTGTTGGTTGGGTATCTTGATCACCTCTGCATTCTTCTTCTCTACGTTCACCTGAAGGGAGTCCCGTTTTCGCTGCCCTGCCTCTTCTGCCAACTTGTTAGTTTTCACCTGTAGATCTTCGAGTTTGTGCGACAACACATTAGACGCAAATCATCATCGGTGGTGAAATCCAAATCTTCCTCTCTGATCCTTTCATCGCTCCAGCGTATGCCCATGCTCATATTACTCTATGATAATACAATGTATTCAAATTCAGTATCCACGATAAATTCCACTGGTTCAATATGTAACGAGCACTTTTACTATCACGAATGAAAATCCACTTCCACTGATCCGGGACTTAGTTAAAAGAATATGCTCATTGCATTAACCAACTTCTCAATGTGAACGTTAAACTCCTAGACACAATGCACGAAACTATGTCGTTTAGTTCAGTGGTCAATGGCATGAAATTTTGAAAGTTCACTGGTTAGATGATCACTGGTGACGTGTAGAAAAATAAAGCGAACTCTCCGATCGACATCGCTGAAAGCATTTGATCACCATTTCTGTTTTATCATCTAGGGAATTGCAGAAACTGTTAATTTGCTTACTGCTACCTGAAACTTTGAATGGGAAGATTCACATAAATAGGAAGCGTGAAAGGGCTATTGGTAGTTGAATAGCAGCAACTTCACAATGTCAACTACATTTACTAAAAACATGAACAACAGATTCAATTTTCGACTTGATATAAGTTATTTGGAGAAACATTTATATAATTTCAAGTTGTTATTCATCGAAGACTGACATCAGTTGGAGGAACAAAGGAAACCTGGGAGCCCTGGACAGCTGTTTCGTCCTAGTATGGGACTCCCTCGATCCCTGCCGGTGGGGTCGTGGGTGCGCACTGCTGAGGAGTCCCATACTAGGACGAAACAGCTGTCCAGTGCTCCCAGGTTTCCTTTGTTCCTCCAACTGATGTCAGTCTCCGATGAATAACAACTTGAAATATTTCCAAATCTCCACAACCCCCTCAAAAAGATTTATATAATTACTTGCCCATGAAGCACAGCTGTATATAAAGATAGCACAACAGCTGACAATCTCAGCAAGCCATAACATACAGAGTGACAATAAAACTTTAAAATCTGTTGAATATATAAGCATATAGCATTAATGAACGTTAGACTACGTCGCTGGGGGAGACGAATATAGATTCCTACATAAAGTTAAGCAGTGGGCATGTGCTTCATTAAGTTCTAAGTTCAAAAGAGAGATGATAGAAACGTGTATTGATCATGTTCCTGACAAAAAACAAACTTGATTATTCAAATGTTTTCTGCTCAGGAGTAATTTTACAAACCACCTACATTCGAGGTTTAAAAACATGCACGCCGAATGAAAACTGTGAACATTCAGGCTACTTTACGTGTGCGTTAAACAATATCTACAATCTACTGCAAGAGAAGTAAAACCACAAAAATCAAAAAGATGATAAATTACTAGACTTACTTGAGGTTGGCCATGAATTTTGCTCGCATACGAGTGACATGATTTGGACCAAGAAGTTGTATGAATACTACCAAACTTCGCAAAGCTGTCCAACGATGTTCAAGAATAACGTCATCATTTAACAACATATTATCAAAAAAACGCCAGTATCCCGCAAACATAATGTCCTAGAAAGTCAGCCTAGATGAAAAACATGAAACTAAATAAGGATTGCTTCAAGACAAACATGATAAAAGCAACAAAATAACTAGTAAACGTAACCAAGAGAGAAGTTGCACTTAGCATGAATAAAAAAGCGAGCATTCTGCACATGTATAAATCTCTTTAGCTAGTTGTATGCAACAGACATCGTCTATCAAATGACTTCTCGTAATCCTAACCAGCGATTTTTCGAGATGTAAGTACGATGAATCCTGGAACGATGCGATAATATCAATCAAAAGTAGATTTGATACACTCGAAGGAACTTATGAAGACAAATTTAAGCGAAGACACAAAGTGTAACAATCTTAAGCTAAGGCGTTCACTTTTTCCTTATATATACGGCCTGCCAAACGTTCAAAAATTGAATGTTCCCTTGACACCTATATGGTTGATACATAACTTATCATATGAAAAGTTAACTCGTTGGTTAGCCTAGCAATAAGAACACAAAACAGAAAGGTTAGCGAATCGAAGCCTGAGATACGTTTCAATCCTTCTAAGAAATGCATCAGTTGTACATGTCGGATAGTTTTAAGGTATCATTTGATATTTCTTGATTATTTACGAACATGCCAGTAGAAGAACCCATTAATGTAGTATGTCAACAAGATGATATACTTTCACTGTCAGGAATAGAGTTGATGTTAGACAGTTGGAGGCAATCAGCAGGAAGTCCAGGGACTAAGTTTCGCGTTTGTTGCAACTCGTCAGCAAGACATATCAGCGACCTACGGGGGACTAGTGTCCCCTATGAGATTCGAACTCATACCACCCAGTGCTGCAGTTAACGACACTATCACAGAGGCATTTGGAACAAAGTGACCTCCTGTAGAATTGGAACAATTACCTCTTTTCTGTACAAAGAACGCTCAGTTTCAACCTAACAACTATGAACAGATGGAGTGACCATGAAGTCACCTTTTGCATCATCGCAGCTGAATCAAAATACACTCAGCAACCACATGGAGGTTCATAGAGTAGGCAGTGCACTACACCTACTGTATGAGGAATTATTACACTAACTGGCTGGTGAAACCTCGGCAGGTGAAGCAGCGTTCGAATCCGTAAAACAATGGTTAAAAATCAACCGCCTGAAACAACGAACTACAGCTCTAGCTGACAACTTTATGGTTGATCTCAAGTATGCATTTTTTTGAATCAGCTACCAAGCAAATATTATCCCAGGTGGGCTGATGACACCTTTATGTCTTTTGTGACAATATGAATCATGCATGAGTATTGTATGAGGGTGTTTAAAGAAGCCAATCTTAAAATGAATACAAAATTGTAGGAAGATTCAACTTCTTGTAGGTATATTACTCAGAAATAATGGAGAAATTGAGAAATAAACATACCCATACGAGAGGCATGGATAGATGAGTACCTCAATAGTTTTCAACCCGTCAATTATAAACCATGAATAGTCAGGATTCTCCTTAACAGGGGATATCCTGAGAAAAACGGTTTTTATTCATCGGCTTTTAAGGGAGATAAAGTAGCACAAATAGGGCACAGACGAACTGAACATGTACATCTAGGAAGCTTTCCTTCTGAGGTAACCTTCAACTATATTTAGCAATGCACTAGAACTTGTGAAAGTAAATATGTATGTAGGACTGAAAGAACTGCTAAATTACACGAAAATTTTCCAGAACTTTCGTTTTTGAGAGGCGGCAAGGTTTTCATGAGTAAAACGACCAGATACCTGATGAAAACTGGACACTAGATAGATATCTCCGAAGTGTTAATGACGATAGACAAACAAAGCTGACAAGTTTCATAGGCTTTACTGAAGCCCCTGAAGTCAGATATTTTAAACCACACCATAGTATTTTAAAAATATACTTAAATTATTCTTTATTCACCTTGAAAATTAGATGTTATTTCAGTTACATCATATCTTCCTATCTCAAGAGTTGTGAGCAGTTATTTTGATGCTTTCTGATTACCTGTGAAATTGCGTAATCCGTCAATTTGGTTAGGAATTCTCTTCCCTTGAGTCCTAATTTATTTTATTTTCCTCATACTAGTCTGAAGTTGTCGAATTAGTTAAACACTGGATAAAAGAGGAAAGTAAACGATTTTTCGACGGACGACGTCACAATAAATAGCTGAGTGTATTTTCTATCGTTGTTATACTTCTATATAAGCAATTAAATGTCCTTATACATTCATAGTCAGTAGGATACAACTAGGAATTAGGGTTTGCCATGATCGAGGTAAAATTATTCTTTGGTAGCAGTTTATTGGATGGCTAACAGTGGAATCCAGGACGCCCATTTTGTCCTCTTTGAGACTCATCAGTAGGAGGTCAAGCAATTCGATCCAGCATAGCCACGACAAATGCCAGTATCAATAAATATCATTCTTTGGTTTCTGAATGAATAAGAATTTTTTTAAATGTAAACTTATAAGAATGTTTTCTGAACCATATCACAGTTACCCATCTAACGTTGACTACTATTATACGTTGTCACACTTCCACTGTATAAGTTGAAATAATGATTACGAATTATTTATACTGAAGCACATTCAGTGCTCCACATGCACCAAGCTTGTGTTTAAAATAACAACAATGATGACGGTTAGACGAGACAAACAATCTGATCATCATGCGGGTTTAGGAAATCTAGTATAAGTTAGACATTAATCTAACATAACATTCCACACAAAAAAGAGAAGTTAGTCGTATACTCCAATTTACCAGAACGAAATTCCTTCCACCAACAGGTACACGTCCAGGAGTTTGCGTTCCACACTGTGGAAGAATAAGAGATGAGATCCAACGTAAACCCAAACAAGTGCCTACACGATAAGGATACAATCGAAGAATAAACTGATGCATAAGACGAGAGATGTCATTCAGTCGAGCAATTCGTTCTATAGACATATTGAGATGAGCCTGAAAGAGGGGATGCAGAAAAAAAATAGATGAGTAGAATGCAAACATTTCAAACTAAAGCGAAACCTTTGAAGATATTTTCAAAAACATTCACGGACCTTTCACTATAACCGACTGTTATTATCTTATGTAATACAGCGATCACCATATTTCATTCCCATTCTGATAGTCAGTTGTTAAGAAATGCAAATGCCAATCACTTTAAATGAATTCAATGACTTTTGGTGACCGACAGTAAAATCACTTAGATGCAGTTAATTCATTATTGTTTGCTATAAAACACAATATAGTTGCTTTTTAATTTGTGAATCAAGCTTTGCGTATCCGCTGAATTTACAAGAAAGATGATGTGGCTTACGAAGAGGTCGTTTTATGACATCGAAAAACTTCTTGAAAAATACAATTTTTCATTATACAATACAGGACTGATACCTGTTCAACTATCATGCTACAATTAGAATGGAAACTGATTCATTCACTAATTAATGAGGAGTAATGAAAATTATAGTTATCCAAACTTATCAAGGGAAATTTGAAAAAATATTAGCTTACTTCTAGAAACGCCAGATGAACAGCCTGATCATCTTTTGATGTGCGTGTGAAAATGTACACCAAAGTTTCAGGGAGAACACACAACTGTACGATTTTGCTAACATAATCCTATAGTTAGATAAAAAGAAGCACAAATTCATTATTTAGCTGCTAATTTTTCACCAATCAGTTTAGGACTTTATAAACACACATACTTGATAGATTAAGTCTTAAGGATATGTTGCATAAGCAAGGACATGACGAAGATTGAATCTCTCATAATGTTAAACTGCTTGCAACCTAATACCGAAGAAAACGAACATCAGGATGAAGAAATCACTTGATTATTGGTCAGAAAAATGAATATGATTCAACGTCTGGGCTGAAAAAATTCTCTCATCCAAAAACACATTCACAGTCAGCCATACAATGAATAACTGACTTTTTAGAAAGTCAAAACGAATTTACTTTCCAGACATTATAAATGTCAAACAGAAAAAGGAGCGGAAATAGAGCTTTGCAAAAAAGTAAATTATTTCAAGTTGCAACACTTTAAAATAGTAAGTAAAGCGGATATGAATAGAAAAAGAATGTTATTGCGGAAGACAAATCAGTATGAGAAGAAGGGCATAAAAACATCAAAGTGAACATAAAGTTCGAAATTTTGTGACTGAAAGCGAATCGTGTTAGAGAAAGTGTGAATCCAACGTATACTTACATTCCAAGGATACCAACCACACATCTTACACTTTTCTATAAGACAGACAGAAACTTTAGGGACGGTTGGCATACCTTAACTTGTTACCGTAGTCTATCTCCCACAACCATGTATCATGACGTACACATACACGCTCCCCTAAAATATAGTACCAAATAGAAGTTGTGTCGGATCATATTTCTCAGAACGTCCACAACACCTTTAAATACGACTTGCGACAGTGGACATTCTTGGTCGACACTACTGGTTAGCATTTCCGTGAATAATAACTCTATATAAGAACCTAGAAGGTCATATCACTATGAATAGAGTCATGATAACCATAATTTACTTCATTATTATTACCATCAACTAAGATTAATACAGGACAAGGTATTACTGGCAATAAAATGGAACATGAAGAAGGAAAGAAAAATCAGTCAGAAGGAGTAGGAAGTAGTAAAACGGAAGAGGAAGCAATGAGAAAATGATATTAAAAAACAGTTGAAGATAATGCGTGCATACATCTGCACCACTGACATCGGTTCTGAGGCATATTGCCCAGCCTCAAAATAATGGTTACTCTGATCCCATGGACAGCAAATGGCTAGTCTGCATCACCTTACATGTCTCAAACAAACAGTCAAGAACATTATGCAATGATGTCATGCTTTAGTTTAGTCACCCCGAGTCTCTTTCCAGTATGAAACTACTTCGGCCAACATTATGACGAGGCAGACGGTGGCTAGGCATACATAAGGCATATCCCAGCCATCTCAGTCGATGAAGGTTCACAACCGCACCAATTGTCTTACTTAGCCTGCCAAAAAATTCTATGTCTGACTTCTGCGTTACTCAAGTGGTGACACCCCAAACTAGCCGGTCGGGGTCAGTTAGATTAACAGAACATAGGAATTTAGCTAAACATAGAACGGCAGACCCCAATAAGATCAATAACCTAGAAAAACACTCGGCCATTGCATTACATTCATTAACACACAACCACACAATAGGATGGGACAAAACCACTGTACTTAAGTCTAATATAGCTAGGTGGAGAGAGAGATTAATTACTGAATCTTTGTTCATCGAATCCACACCCAACACATGTAATAGGAATGACGCAACACCTATACCAGAGATATGGAAAACTTTATTACCAATCAAAAAACAAAAAACAAAGAGAGATCAGGTGACAGGACTATCAAATCAGATGTCGAAAGAAGTGTGATTACATTGATATGATTATGAGCGATAATTTATGCTCGAAACGTAATCAAGTAAATAATACTGTATCACTGTGCGCTTTATATCAAATAAACAAATCTAATATGGAACCACAAAACACGGTCTACACTAAGAAGGCAGTGGTGGTCAAACACCTTAGGCATTCTCATGTCTTCCACCTTTAATGGTCATGTTTCACATCCATACAGTAGAACAGAGAGGACTGTAGCACAGAAAATTCGGATATTGCGGCGGCGCCACAGATGGCATAAGTCGGCAAAAGCCAATCGAGCCTTTTGTATCCGTGCAGACATTTCGTAGACCACTGACCAATGTACCACGGCTGATCCGGCTTCCAAGGTAAGTGAAGTATTAAACACACTCAACCACTACACTCGCTATTGTTAGCCGGGGGGACGTTGAAGATTAGTAATGGAGCAACAATTTGCAATTGGGTGGCGAGAAACATATCCCAAACATTCTCAAATTGCAACTCAACGTGTCCAAAAGACTCTGCTCCACTCAGGCCCCTAATGATTAAAGAACCTAGAATCTTAAAAACTATGTTCGTGAGGCTGATTCCTTTGTAGTTATCATAAAAGAACTTCTCTTTTTTCCTGAAGACTGGGATAATCAGTGACTGGGAGAAGTCGGTATGGACCTGCAAACTTCTTAATAAAAGTGGTCTTAGTGCCCCCATTGCCGAAGTGCACTCGTAATGATCTTGTTGTTAAAGTTTTCCAACATCCATTTAGACGCAGACAAACACGTGGTTGCTGCTCAAGTGCGTGCTCCAAAGGAGCGGCATTCTTCTAACGACCGTCTCCAGCGATGACAGACAACGGTGTGGTATATCTATACGTCCACCGCTGATTTGGAGTCGCCGGACATCACATCAGACAATGTCTTTAAGTCTAGAGTTTGTAATAGCTAAAAACAAATAGTCATATGAGAACAGCTGTAGTAAGCGATCACCGTTATCAATTCGTTCAGTCGGAATTCTGAAAGTGGCACCTAAGTGCCTTTCTAAAGTCAACCACTTAACTTGCTTTAGTTGCATTTACTGAAATGGATTTTTTGTAGATGACATCTTAATTCGGATACAGAAGCACCCCTTAGCATTAGCCAACTTGAATAATCTGTGCCAGCTACATATTCGGTTGACATTCAAAGAAAGAAAATACTGAGCTACAGTTCGCTCTGTACTGCAACACAAAAATGAGAAATGGTTGAGGAAAGAAGTAGATATGAAGACATTACAGACTTTCATCACGCAAGTCCTCGTAGGATTGTCACAACAAACATCTAAATCAAATCCCATTCACATTCGTGCAGTAGGCAGCGAGACACATCCACCGTCTAGCAGCTAATGAATACTACCTGGCGACTAAGATCTCGGTGGGTGGAGTCGGATTCGAACAAGTTACCTACCAGATGGAAGTTGAGTGTTCAGACCAATGAGTAATAACTTGACAATAAACCCCACAAATGACGGAAACACTGCATAAGACACGTTATTATTATTATTTGTCTCTTGGGTTCCTAGTGGAACATACAACTTCAGTAGCACGTCACCATTTCACTCTCTTCTCCGCAATCTTTTCAACCTGGCTCCACCACTCACCAGAAGCTTTCACTTCTTCCTCACACGACCTCCTCCATGTCACTCTCAGCTGCGACGCCCAACTCGTCGTTTCCCCCTTTGGATTCCACTCGACGGACTGGCCTGACGCGTGATCTCCACAAATAATCTTCTCAGTGTATGCCCAATACTATCTGTCTCCACTTACTTCTGAATATTTGTTGGGCGATGGCTTCTTCGTTAGTTCGTTGCAAGCCAACCAGCCAGCCAGCCAGTCAGTCAGACAGACAGACAGACAGACAGACAGTTCCTTGTTGCTTATTCTTACTATTCTGGCCATCTCATCTCATCCTCAGTATCGAGTGAGCGTACACCGCAGATGTTCATTAGTGTTTGCAGTTTGTTGGAAATCCTTTCCCTAACGCGCCAACTCTCTCAACCATCACAGAGAACCACTACCTTACTTGACTGAATTAGTGTTGAAAATCCAGATCTTGTTCACGCTTTATGCTGAGTGCAGTGCAGTAGATCTCCATAATGATTTCAGATTAATGAAGGCCTGTCTTGTTGTCTTTCCCACCCTGCCTTTGACATCCTCATCTGTGTCTGTGCCGCCACCTGTAGTTGAAATGATACTGCCCTACCCAGGTAGGTGGAAGAGACTACTCCCTCTAAGTTTCTCCCGTTCATGGTGATTGGTGCTTGTTGTTGATGCTGTTGTTGGTTGGGTATCTTGATCACCTCTGCATTCTTCTTCTCTACGTTCACCTGAAGGGAGTCCCGTTTTCGCTGCCCTGCCTCTTCTGCCAACTTGTTAGTTTTCACCTGTAGATCTTCGAGTTTGTGCGACAACACATTAGACGCAAATCATCATCGGTGGTGAAATCCAAATCTTCCTCTATGATCCTTTCATCGCTCCAGACAGCTTATGTCCATCTTCCCACCTCTGATGGTTTGCTGCACGATCCAACCCACCACAATCAGGAAGATGATGGGTGATAGTAGACGGGGGCCTTGCCTTACTCCTGTCCCCTATCTTCACTTCAAAGGTGTCACTGAGCTTTCCATTGTAGATCACTTGGCATGTAGCCTCTTCTTCTAGCATACAGCTGTTGAATGAGGTTGATAAAGAGTTGTGGCACTAAAACTATAGTGTTGAAGCAACTGCCTGCCAAATTACTTCTCAGTCGACGCTGTCGAAGACCTTTTCAAAATCGATGAAGTTGAGGTTGAGCTGAGTTGATTGCCATTCCATACTCTGTTCTATGATGATGCGTAGCGTAGCGTTACAATTTGGTGCGCACATGATTTGTTCTTCCGAAGACAGACAGTGAGCCAACCTGTTGCAGTCGTAATTTTGAATCCAGAGCATTTTTCAGTCTCTCCAGGATGATGCAGCTTAATATTTTGCCTGCTAGGGATGGACAGTAGTATGATTCCGCACCACTTCTTGCAAAGACTTGGGTCAGCCTTCTTCAGGAGTCCACTGACAAGGTAGCCCTTCTTCCAATCAGTTGGCAGGTACCTTTCCTTCCTTCCTTCCTTCCTTCATCCATTCCTTGTAAACCTTGTGTAGTGGTTGTGTGAGCATGTCCGCTGTTGTCTATGTGCTTCTGGGGGGATTCCATATCGTCCTGCTTCTTTCCTGGCTTCAAGAAACTTTATGGCGCGGCGGTCAGGACTTCACTTCTGCTTTTCTCGGAGGGCTTGTATTCACTGATAGTTCTCTGGCTGGACTGCTGGTGGTATTTCTGGACGAGTTGCAGGTGGTGAAGCGAAGATGTCCTTTGTAGTTTCTGAATGTTGAACTGTGGCCTATCACCAACTTCTGTGATGGCTTTCAACTTGATTTTGGAGGCAGGCTCCTTGCACTAGATAGTGAAGTGAGTGGTGTGAACCTACATCTGCTCCTCTTCTTCATCTGATCTTGTGTCCAGTAGGCTGGCTGTGTCTCCACTTTCTTCACATTGAGATGAAGTCGATCTGATTTTTAGTGTAGTGTGTCCTGGTGTCTGGTGAAATCAAATCCATCTCGCTGCCTTGTGAATATCCTTGTGTTTGTACACACTGCCTCGCCTCTAATCACCAAATCGTTGGATGCGCAGAAATCTGCAAACAGTTCTCGATTCTCGTACATTTCACCCCGGTGCTTCTCGATGCATGATAAGTTCTCTTCCTGTGTTGTCCGCTCCCAGTTCGGCTTTCATGTCACCCCACCGATTAGAATTTTGATATCGCCATCTGGGGTGGAGTCTTGTCTAGTATTGATTGCAGTTGTCTGTAGAATTCCTCCTTCTTCTCTTCATCTGCATTGTTTGTAGGTGCGTAGCGTAGCATAGCATAGCATTGTATGATTGTAACTTTCCTTCCTTTTGATTTAAATCTTGGTGTCATCATCCTGATCCTGCAGGAGGAGATTTGCGCCCACTGCGTGAGAGAGAGTCTTCGATGCTGTTGGGGACATCATGATATCCACTCCAAAACTCAGTGTGCTTGTGGTTGTCGTCTGGGTGACAAAATCGGAGTAGATTATTGACTCTCCAGTTGACAGTTTGGAGAGTCCACTTCCATCCCATCTACTTTCTCAGATTCCTAGCCTAGCACTTCTATGCCATACCTTCTCCTTCTCATCTCTTTTGGAATCTGGGCAGCCTTGCCAGCCAGCTTCAAATATTGTTCGGACATTCCATGTCCCCATTCTAACTTTTGCTTTCATCGAGAGAGAGAGAGAGAGACGAAGACACATCGGGTAATTGGTTTCCGGAAGGCTTTCACCAACCGTCGTCATTTCGTCTCCCCGATTCTAGCGAGGAATAAGTTAATTCTTGTTTTTTATATTTGGTCTGTGCTATGAAGTTTCCTAAGCGATTGGATTGGTTTTACTGGGTAGGGTTGTTAGCCGTATGCCCAACCTTCTCTCTATATCCGGGTTTAGGACCAGCTAGTAGCTAGTGAACTAGTTAAGCAGGCAAGGTTGAAGACATGTTTAGGTTAAGGGAAATGTTTCTTTCAAGGAAGGTCAGACAGCTGATGACGTTGTGAATGTTCATCAATTCAGATGAATTGCACACGCGTCGCGCATTCCTACCAATTGCATATGATGACGTGTAATATTAGCTTAAGTAGGGTAGGGTTGGAAGGAAGCCTAAGGTGACGAGATCAAGACGCAGCAGTAGTCTTTGGTTGTTGGTTTGGGATATGAATGGAAGGCAAAAACTGTCTGGTAAAGGTAATCGATGAAATATAAATAAATGGATTAAAAGCACTGATGATATGTTTGAAAATCAGTTACAATGGCCCAGACGTCTTTTCCAGCTATCCGTTACTTCGTTCTGATAGACTTTTTCCACCCACTCATACTTTTCATGCACACGTTACACATTGAAAATTGAAGCAATGTAACTCTCTGTGAATTCAGTCGTCAGTAAAGTCCTCTGTCAAGACTAAATGTGACGTATACTGCCTTCAGGTTAAAAATGTTCTTCAAATATTTAGATTTCAATAGCTATTACCACATCATGAGCTAGGGTTTGAAACGCGTCTAGTTTTAACCAATTCTTTGTCCTCCAGCTCCACTCAAACATAGAATGACAGTGGAACCTAGGATCTGACACACAATGACAATCAAACTAATTCCCTAGTGATTGTCTTAAGATTTCACTCCTTTCTTACAAACCGAAATAAACAAGGATATCGATAATTATGATTCCCATAAACCAACTAGTACCGAAGTCACTCCAACCCGAAAATATGTTAGACACCAAAGAATTGTACAGACAAATAATTTGTTGTTGCTCCTTTCAATTACACTACACGTCTGAAGCAGCCTCCTCAGCTTCAGTAACACTTGAAAACTTCACATTTACATCATATTCAGGATACAGCTAGATGTTCACCAAGTGAAGAGTGGCTATACGTTAGTTGAACCATTCTTCAAAGTATTCTACTCAACTTTTCAGTCTTCTTTCCTTAGCAGTCCTCCATCTTACCGACAACAGTCTTCTAAAGCTTGAATATTTTCACTAAACTTTATCTTCAAATCCTTTCTGTCTCATACACCACTGTCTACCTTCACATCACTCTTCTTCTATTCACTGGTTCTTTGCATACTACTGTGAAATAAGGCAACTTGAGACCGATGCAATTCATTCTGAGGTTCCACGTTGGCCTTTTCCGTCCGTGAAACCATAACCATTATTTCCACACTAGTCAGACTGATAAATTTAAATACATGAAACAAAGTATGTGAGGTAGATATCTTTCCCATCGGTTTCGATTCCACCAAACATCAGTGATCGCAGTTATTACAAAAAACTCTTGGTCAGTTTACTTTGAAGGTTTTTTGCTGCCCATCGTGGTCATAGCCAGCTAGAGTAAGTCTTATCACACTAATCATCTCACATGCGGCTTACAAGAATCCCTGACTTTTAACCACAAATTTAACCTAACTATAGACTTAATTTGCATTCTTAGAATTCATACAACTATGGGGTGAGTGCATATTTCTATTGTCAAAATACTGCATTTCAGCATTGAACTTGGTGAAATTCTAATGAAACTACGCATTTTGTCAAGTATTTGTCTTATTTATAGCACAATGGTTAAATTCCTATGACTGAAAAAACAACCTTTCGGGTATAATGAAACAAGATTCAGTTCACTATTTTTGAAAATATTAAAGTCATTTCAACTAAGACAAAGAAAGACTGAATGAAAGTCAAATATTTTAGATTGCAAGTAATATCATCGTAATTCAGGTTTAGAGTAGAAGCAATGTTAACTAAACATTAGCACTTTGATTGTTAAATAATCCCCATTCCAATCGATACTGAGCTTGGTGTTATATAGCATAAAACGAATGGAAACATCTTTGAAATACCACCGTAAGTTCAGTTCATATTTTGTTTATAATCAGTATGTAGAAACAGACAGATAGACAGACAAAATCAACGTAAAACCCCTCACACACAAGTGCATCGGTTTAAGTTGCCACACTTTACATTCCCATACTAAGAACAACTGGATAGGAAAGACTGATATCAGAGTAAATAAAGTTGTATGAGAGAACAAACAATTTGAAGCTAATGATTACAGCAAATATTCAAGCTTTAGAAAAAGTCAAAGAACAACCGACTTTCAGCCATGTCACAAAGAGTCTTCAACCACTGATTCTAATCATCTTGAGGACCTGTCATCTCCCCACACGGCTAAGACCAATAGTCAAGGACTTTATGGATTGGTGCCACATCTTGGTCTGGCCACCATGAATCCTCTTCGAACCCTAATCCAAGTTCACTTAGCATTGCACATCGAGATATGCAACGACTCGGTGTGCGCAGTACATGCTGAAGCCATCTCAGTCGGCTAAGACTCATATCAGTATGTAAAACAAAAGAGAAAAACACCACAAAACGAACTGAAACATTTACCTTTTTACTATCTAAATAGGGCACTTCTGAAATAAGCTGTCTAATTCGTAAATGGCTTTCTTGATTTCCACGCAAAACCAAAGCAATAAATAAAGCAGCAATAAGTTCCTATTGAGCCAAAAGACAGGGAATGTATTCAATTATGCAATCATAGATATGTGAAAACATGAACAATAAACACCCTTTACCAGTAACCTTAAAACTTGTACATCCAGTCTATCATACGAACGACTAGATAGTGGAAATTTAATGTATTGAGACTGGTTAGACTGTGTTCTTTATTGAGCTGAAATTCTGGTTGGCTAAAAAATACCATCAACGCAACTTTATGACGCAGCCGTCTGATGTTCTGTTCTCATATTTCTCGGTAAGGGGAGGAGAGCAGTTAAGTGAAGGAGTGATTAGTTAATCAAAGCTTCAACTCAAGGGACGCCTCTAACTAATTATCTTCATAAGGGGATAAAATTACTTACCGCTACGTTTTTATTTTAAAGATTACGAAAATAGAACTATGAAAAATTATTCAGATTTGGTACAGCTGGAAAATATGCTACCAGTGAAAGATTCTTATTTTATGGCCACGTCAAAAGTGATGGTTTCGAATTAGCAAAAATAATTTGTGCAGTATGCTAGTGAAAATAACGAACGATAACTCGAGCATCAAGATATCAATGTCCACTAACTAAAACACTTGATAGTGACTTAAACACAAATAAATCCAGGTCAAATATATCAACCCCATTATATATCTAATGAGTAGGACCATTGTCATATAAACAACCAATTTGTATGACAACAGCTTTCGAAGCAATCAGACAACTGACGAGAAAAATATCGCTTAGGATCAAATATTCTTTAAGCAACAAATTTAGCGGTAACAGTAACTCACTTTATATAAAACTCTTTTTTCAACACGAAAAAGCCTAGAAAGGCTTTCCATAGTTTGAAATACGGATTGATCCATATGCTCAACGATCACCTGAGAGGAAAGTAATTTTTTCAGAACAGAATAGAAAACAAAATGAAGGAGACAAGGATTGCTAAAACTAGTTTTTTTTTTATAGAACGACAGACATCAATGCCATAAAGTATTGAAAACTTCAAAATTAAATGCCAACATCAACACATGGACTTCTTTTTAATTTATAGCACTTACACTAGCTTCGAGAGGCGATTCCTAAAAAGTTCCAATGAGAAGTCGTGACAGGTGGAGCAAGCCTGGTGAACGTGAGGACAAGTACTCAACGATGACATTGCGCAATGGTCACGCTGTCGTGAACTGGTGGAAGTTAGGAATATGGACCATTGGATTCCGACCCAGTGGCCCAATGGTAACTTGCTGACCACGGAACCTGAAGGTCACGGGTTCGATCGCTGGTGGACCCATCGGTGTGCATTCCTGAGGAGTCCCATACCTGGACGAAACAGCTGTCCAGTCCTCGCAAGTTACCAATGTTTCTCCAACTAATATCACTTCATGATGGATACCAACTTGAAATCAATAAATCGCCACAAACCTCTAAATTGAACCATATGTTTAGCCGTTCAATTTTATTTAGTTGCATCACTTTTTGTTCATATCGTACGTAGTTAACACGTTGAGCTCAACTCACAATATAAACTATGATCAAGATTTGATCGTATAGTGTGGCAGATATTGGGCGCTGAGTAAAAGGTTGACATTAGATATAGATTGTATTTGTGTAAGTCACAGCGGGTTTGAAATCAAATAATTGCAACGTTTCGCACGAAATTCTGGTCCGAGCTTCTTCAGAGAAGAAATATGATTTGAAATCACCTATCAGATGGGAGGTTTTGAAAATCTCCCCACATTGAAGACCATATGTACAAACACCACAGATAGTGTAAATACATACAGTTACTTGTTTCTTTTACAGAAGAATAACATCATAGTTAGCTAAGGTTGACGGCTACCGCGAACGCCCACTAACTTTGCCATGGATTACATTCTCCAAAGAAACAGATTTTTTTGTGGTGACGTAAACGGTTACCCTATATTTAGCTTCTGTAGGATGTGTGCAGCACTGTCGTATTGCTAAGTCAAAAATACAAATTCAAACCTACTCAGCAAACTTGTGCACATTCGTGCAGTAGGCAATGAGCCACACCTACTGAGTGAGGTTAGTGATATTACCTGGCTGTCCAAACCGCGGTGGGTGGAGCTCCATTCAAACCCTCGACACTTCAGCTTGAAGTCAAGTGCCTAGATCACGTATTGCAAAGTAAATTCCCGAAACTGACAAGATAATGTTTGCACTAAGTGACGGTGGCAAGCCATGCAAGATTGCTTAGCGTTGCGGTCGATATGTGTGATCGTAAAAAAAGTTACGAATGAAACCAGGTCTTGTACAGTAATGGTCAGTTTGGTGTCAAGATACAAGTGCATAAAACGCACTGCAACTTTTTCCTACACACACAATGCAGCATGATAACTCTTTGGATAGAGTATGGACTGCAATGAGAAGCAATGGTTCAGGCAGTTTATGTGATTAAAAATTGAAGCGGATGATGCTCGTACAAAAGTCTCTCCTTACAACATAACATATCAGATAAAAATCCAAAAGATGACATTTTAGTCAGGTGTATTCTTATTTTACTGCCTATCGTCACCATCATCATACATTACAGCAGTAACTTTTATTTATTCTCGACAGTTTATACTCCTCACTGGTCAGAAACACCTTTTTCCCTTTTCTGGTGTCAATAGAAAGTGACTATGAGACAGTAGCTGGTAAAAGTTTTAAATTCGTTGATACGAGTATTTATCATAGTTTCGCTGAAAACCATAAGAGGTGAGTATCGGACTTTAACGGATTGTAAATTTATATTTCGGCTACTACTATGTGACCTCACATGTGAATCTGCAATGTATATTGATCATTGTTCAACACCGAACTAATTATAATTACTACGAGAAGCCAAAACAATCTGCACAACGACCAACATTCCAAATACGGAGGAGAAAATGGTGAGATATTTTAGTCGAACGTCTTACCTTATTGCATGATCATCACTGTGCACTTCGTTAACGAAGATTTGAACTGATTTGTTTGCGAAATAGTTGGCAATACTCTGAGTAACTTATTTCAAGGGTAATACTTGCTGTTCATTTTTATTTATGATTAGAGTAATTAATGCACGATGTAGTTGTACTATAGAAATAATGCGTTATTAATTAACTTGTACCTTGTTTGATACTTGCAATTTCCTGTTGATAAACAAAGTCGAAATGCTCTATATCTGTTGGTAGATGGGCTCTTATGCGAACTTCCTGATGCTGCCGAATATTCATGTTGTATTCATCTTGGTTACTAGCGGTGGAATCCAGGATGCCCGTTTCAGCCTGTCTGGGACTCGTCAGCTGGATTTACCTGCACTACAGTGAGTGATATTGTTTCTACTGAAACTCAAACCCGGTACCTATCGTTTCACACGCCAAAGCGTTATCCACTAGGCTACTGAGGCATTCATTGAGGCAACCTGATAGCAACGCAGGTTTATCCAGATGGCGAGTCCCAAATAGGACGAGAAGCGCATCCTGGATTTACTCCTAGACACCAAGATGAATATAACGTATACTTTGTTTATTTACACAAGGAAAGTAAGGAAAACAAAAAAACAAAAAATAAAGGAAGATTTTTCACAAAACACAGCATAGGGTTGCTGTGACCCACTGGTTGACGCTCTCCCGACCGATAGCTGCTACCTTGACGTGGTGGTCGGGCTTGCATATCACAATGACCCAACGAGCTATGCTGGTGGAACGCTTGTTCCCTCGAGGTCCTACCATACCAGAAAGGTCTGTTGGGTAGTGGTTAGACGAAAAGCAGTTACCGTCATAGTGTAAATTGCTATACTATGATGGGGGTCTGAGGGCGAAGTCGTACTGCTGCTAGCTGGATGGGGTGTGACAGCAGTAAGGTGTTTCCCTTGGATGACCAGCAGTGCCAAGCTGATGCTGCCTTCTCAGTGGAAGGGGGGGTTAGAAAAGGTCGGCCCCAAAAATAACACACTCCACCACGCCCCACGGTCTGCCGGGCCGGCGGTGTTGGTTCACTTGTCGTTTCCTTTCGCTCATCCGGCCCCAAAAATACAAAAATTCAAAATAATCATACTCAAAAGGCTGGGTGTGACAGGCCTCAAGCAGATGTCCGATGGGCTCTGCGGTCACACAAATCTCTTTCAGGTACCTTAAGAAGAAATAGCCTTCCACGGTGTGGGCAGCCGGGAAGTGTCAACCGCCCTCACAACTCTGTCAGCACCCAAGTTTCTTCTGACTGCTATCCTCCTCCTCCATCATTACCTTCTAATCTTCCTTCACGTCTCTTAATTAATGATGCTGCATCATCTTCAATTTCTCCTACCTCTGCAGCCTTCGACAACGATCTGAGTCCACAGAACAGCATCCCTGGTCTCCTTAAACCACGCTCCAAATTACATATTGGAGCCTTCAATGTCCGCACCCTCCGTCAAATTGGCCAACAGGCTTCGTTGGCAAAGACTCTAGCAACTCGAGGCATGGATGTGTGCTGTGTTTGTGAGACACGCATACAGGACCCAAGTGTGGTTATTCACCTGACCTCTCCTGACCAATCTGGTGAATCTGCAAAATTCACCCTTCGAGTTTCTGGAGATTCGATAGCTAGCTCTCGTGGTCTTGCAGGTGTAGGTATAGCATTAAGCACCAGGGCAGAAAACTCACTACTAGACTGGATCCCAGTTGATAGTCGCCTCTGCGCTATGAGGCTGAACGGCACAGTGAGAACTAAAAGGAATAGTGAGACTCGCCGTTGTCTCTTTGTAATCTCTGCTTACGCACCCACTGACTGTAGTTCGGATGAAGTGAAGGACGAGTTCTACCATAAACTGTCTAACCTCCTCTCGAAAGCCAAACGTTCGGACGTAGTGGTTGTTGCAGGTGACCTCAACGCACAGGTGGGTAGACTGAGTGAGGCAGAAAGGCACTTAGGTGGCACTTTCGGAATCCCAGCTGAACGTACAGATAACGGTGATCGCCTATTACAACTATGCTCAGATAACCGCCTATTTTTAGCCAGCACAAATTTCAGACATAAAGAAAGGCACTGTCTGACCTGGCGTCCACCGAGCTCGACTCAGCGATGGACACAGATAGACCACATTGCTATTAGTCATCGCTGGAGAGGATCGGTGGAAGACTGCCGCTCCTTCTGGAGTACGTGTTTGGACAGCGATCATGCGTTGGTCCGAGCACGTATATGCCTGCGTCTCAATGGACGTAGAAAAAATTTGGCAACAAAACCACTACGAGTTCTGCTGGACAACGAAAACACCAAAGCCGTGTTCAGTGAGAAGTTGGCTAGGCAGTTATCGGAACAAAAGACTGTCACTCATCCAGAAGAAGCTTGGTGCCATCTTCAGTCTACTGTAAAAGCAGCACTGGAGACTGTAGCCGACTCCAAGATAATGGCTAAAAAGAGCCAGTGGATATCAGCAGCTTCTTCCAAACTAATGGATGCACGTGAATGCATCCCTGCAGGCTCTGAGTACAATGAAGAGCGAGCGCAACTTAAAAATAAACTGACGAAAAGTCTGCGCAACGATCGTGAACAGTGGTGGGCAGCAAAGGCTAAAGAGATGGAAAAGGCAGCGGCGATCGGTAACAGTAGACAGTTATTTAGACTTATTAAGGAGACTGGGGGGAAATGGTCAACAACAGTTAGTGAGGTTATAGCGGAGAAGGACGGATCGGCGATTCACTCGCAGGGAAGGCGACTGGGACGATGGGCAGAACACTTTGAGGAACAGTTTAACTGGCCTCCAGCCACCATTGCGCTGCCCGCTATCCAGTCGGACCCTGAATGGGACATAGAGACAGGTCCCCCAACACTAGAAGAAGTTGAGAAAGCGGTAGGTAGCCTGAAACGGGGAAGGGCAGCAGGACCAGACGGACTACCTGCTGAGGTATACAAGAATGGTGGTAGAGTTCTCTTAGTCAGGCTAACGGAAGTGTTAGCCAGTATATGGGAATCAAATACGATCCCCTCCGACTGGTCTAAGTCACTGATCATCCCAGTCTTCAAGAAAGGCGAGAAGTCCTCTTGTGATAACCACAGAGGAATCAGCCTGACAAACATAGTGTCTAAGATCCTAAGTTCTATAATTCTCCGACGCCTGAGTGGAGCTCGGGAACAGCAAGCCCGAGAAAACCAGGCAGGCTTTAGACCTGGCCGTGGATGTATCGACCAAATATTCACACTGCGCCAGGTCCTGGAACATAGGCATGCTTACAGACGCCCGACAATAGCTGTATTTCTCGACCTGAAGGCGGCATTTGACTCCGTTGATCGAGAAGTCTTATGGCAGTGTCTGTCACTGAAAGGCGTGCCTAGTAAGTACATCACCTTATTGAAAGCTCTCTACTCGAACACTTGTGGGCATGTTAGAGCCTATGGTGAGTTGTCCAGGGAGCTATACTCATCAAGTGGTGTCCGTCAAGGATGCCCACTATCCCCATTCTTATTTAATTTTATCATAGATATTCTTATGGAGGTTTCCCTCTCGTCACCTAATTACAAAGACGTTGACCGGATCACAGGTGAATTTTCCTTAGATCTAGAATATGCAGATGACATAGTCCTGTTAGGTGAAGACGCTGACAAGATGCAGAGTCTTCTGAACACTTTGAGTGGGAATTTGAGAATGTTTGGGATGCGATTTTCACCACCCAAATGCAAATTTTTGCTCCAGGACTGGTCTTCAGCGGTACCGCGGTTAACAATAGAGAGTGAAGTGGTTGAGTGTGTTGACCACTTCACTTACCTGGGAAGTAGGATCAACTCCGGTGGGTTAGTTGCCGATGAGATTTCTGCACGGATACAAAAGGCTCGATTGGCTTTTGCCAATTTGCGCCACCTATGGCGCCGCCGTGATATTCGTTTGTCTATTAAGGGTCGCGTGTACTGCACAGCAGTCCGCTCTGTTCTACTGTATGGCTGTGAAACATGGCCATTGAAAGTGGAAGACATGAGAAGGTTACAGGTATTTGACCACCGTTGCCTTCGTAGTATAGGACGTATTCCGTGGTGTCACCATGTGAGTAATGCAGAAGTTAGGTGTAGAGTTTTAGGGAGAAGAGGTAAGTCAGTCGACGAGGTTGTGAACCTTCATCGACTGAGATGGTTGGGACACGTACTACGTATGCCTAGTCACCGATTGCCTCGTCACACAATGTTGGCTGAGGTGGGTTCAGGCTGGAAAAAGGCCCGAGGTGGCCAGACTAAAACATGGCACCAATGTATGAAGTCTCTGACTGTTGGTTTAAGCCATGTAGGACGATGCAGACTAGGTGGTTGGGGTCCACGGGACAAGAGGAACCAGTGGTTGGAGACCCTAGGTGATATGGCTCAGAACCGAAGTCAGTGGCGCAGATGTATACACACATTATCCTCATCTTAACAACGCTATACCGAATCTCACTATTTTGTCACTCCTCTTTCCTTTCTTCTCATACTTTATATTTCTTTTGACTGCATTCACTTATCTTCATCCTTCACCTCACTACCTTTTTACTTGATGTGCTGATATGAGGTGTGGCAACTCGGACCGTTACGCAGTAATGCCTGGTCCTATGTTGATAATGATGATGATGATGGTTGACGCTCTTAGTACTATTTTCAAACCTTGTTCCAATTACGGGATCTCGAAACTTGTACACTATTAATAGTCCTGGTGAAGTGGGCTTGGTTAGTAGCTCAATACAGAAAAATGTCATCATTGAGTTACACTGCATTACTATAAGTTACCAATAAAGAATAAAATGTCATAATGAGAATAGCTACTTGCCTGGGCTAACTGATGATCACTAAGGCGTAAAACCTGAGCACGTGGCAAACGAAGTAGTGAAATAAGATTCTGAATCTGCAAGTAAACCAGGAAAAAAAAAAGAAAGTAAAAATAAATTATTCCGATATACCAGTCTACGTTTGTCCGATTTTAAGTAAAAACTAGTATCAAGGTCACATATTCCTTGTAACTGGTTCCAACCGATTCTGCTGTATAAAATACTTATTGCATATTCTCAACCACAAGTACGATATTAACAGGTTTAGAAAAAGTCTACAGATGATCAGATAAAAAACGTGGTGTTAGTCTGTTACATTGTCGACTATTGTTCTAAGCCAGGAGAACAGATGCCAGTTTGCTTGTTGAAGATGTCACGAAGACTGTAAACAGATTGACGATACTAACGTCGATGAAAATAGATATTTGTGACAAGAATGAATAATCCACTTACAATCTAATCACCAAACATTTCAATATTTAGATTTTTAATGTTCCACATTTCACCTCTGCCTTTCTTCGCACTCAGCATAACCTTATTGAATGTAGTCGTTTTATCTCGTTCTTCTATACTAAGTAGGTGTGAACCAATTCACTATGGTGACAGGTTTTTAACCTAAGTCAATCAGTTGCGTAATCCATATCATGATAACCGAAAATAAGCACTTAACACGAGCTCAATGTATAAGCATCCTGTACACCTCAAGAAAAACGAGCACCATCGAGTAGTAAGCTAAACATAAAACCAGACGGTTACACTATGAATAAGCAATCTTAATATCTCAGTTTTAGGGTAATTTAAAACAATTTGACTTGAAGAAGGTAGAAAATAGAGAGTGGGAAGACAAATTCTACAATAAACAGGTGACTAATCAAACATGAAAATAAGGCGAAATTAGAAAAGTACAAATCGCAAAGTGAAACTCCTTTTATAAACCACTTGCTACAGTTGAAATGTCAACAACCGAATTCAGCTTCGACATAAATTTGATCACGTTATTTTCAATACGTATACAAAATCGTTGTCCCTGTACCTTTTAAGCTTAGAAAATATCCCTAGCCTACTTCGAGTCATCTGTTATACATCATATAGTTATACAACATTTGCGCGCTGTCAAGGTCATTGTGCTGGTGACTGCAACTATCGCTATTTATGCACCTAGATATTACATTATAAAGCAATAAAAATTGAAAATAACGTTTATAATATGTCTAATATACGAAAGCTGACTTTTAATTACATACCCTAGTAGGAAGTACATGCATTTACGTCTTACCTTACCATATTGCATACGAAGAAAAAAAAACACTTGGGAACACAGAGTAACTGTGAAGCTTGAAGAAGTTAACAGAATCACTTTGAAAAAACTAAACAAAACTTATCTAACCTGCATATAAACAGAACCGAAAACTGCATGCGTGTATTGATGCATTAAACCCAATTGACACAGAGTTGATAGGATCGAAACAAATAAATCAATCAATTGAGTAGATGTAACAGATGATGAACCACTTGGAAGCATTTCACTAGACATACGTCCACTGAAAAACTCATGATTCTCAATTTGTAGCTTCCGATTGAACATAAAATCAGCATACCGATTAGCTAGACAACATCCTAAAGCTCCATATATCATGATGTGATATTCAGCTAATGTGAGAACAGACAAATCAGCTGACTTTTCATTTAGCTGGGTGCATAAGAATTCTACAGCCGTTTTATGCACAGTTATCCATGAATTTAAATTTACTTTGGATAGATTTTGTGATGTATCTTCAAAAATTTTCCTAATCGACACAAAACGAAGAGAATGCAAAATGTCAAGGAGAATAAAACTTATTTTCATTTCTTGTACTTACGTAGTCTCAAGTTACTGAAAAGGTGGATTTTCAACGGATTTCTGAAACGATTGGACACTGGTTTTACTATCTCTCTTTTGTATAATCTAGCCTTCTCTGAAGTTCATTTAACTCCACAATATCTTAATTCACTACTTTCTTCCTCATGTATATCCTTCTAACTGTTTAGATTAGCATCTTTTAAATTTCATTGCTTATTTCTTCCTATACATTAGCGAAATGAGTAAACTTAGTGGAGTGTAATTTTGTGTTCTACCTGTCTATTTTGCGTTTAGATAACAAGTTATCTTTATATGATGTCTATGTTAAAGTCTATTGCAGTAAAAAATAACTCCCTTTGACTGAGAAGAAATAGATGCAGACTCATGTGGATTCACACAGCAGCACGTGACATATCTTTAGTTCTCTGTGAGTCCACGCATAGGCGAATCACCCCTGGGGATACTTTTTACCCATGCAGATAGAAAGATGTTACAAGCCCGAAAATCTGAAATGCATGCTGAAATTAACCACTGACATTGTTCTCATTTTCAAATCATCTACGCTACATATTTAACATGGCAGTAAACCTAGAGCACTGTGGTAGATTATTATTCCAATTTTTTTCCGTTTCTTAGATGTGCAATGCGGTGAAACAGCAGTATTTACTGGATAACGTCTCGGATATAATTTAACTTCCATATTCCTTTTCATCAGTGAATAAAAAACTCTATGTTACTAAACAGCTCCAAAATTGTAGTTTATTTAAAACACTGTTTGCCTAAAGAACATGATAAGCTACAGCAACATGAACCAACAACTTGAATGAATAAAGAAAACCGCAGTAAATTCTTTAGTTTGAAATCACAAAAGATTTGCCTACATAATTATAATTCAACGCACAGACGCTCCCTATACACTGTTTTGTAGATTTCATGCTTGAAGGCAATTAGTAATCAGCCATCAGTCCAGATCTTGTGCTTGCCGATCCACTTCATCAAGGCATATCTGTAACCTCGAAGAAATTGATGTTCCCTCTGAGATTCGAACACACATCATTCAATGACTTTACCACGGATCTGTTCGGTACGCTACTGGCCATCTGGATTAGACACACTGACTGATTATTGGAAAGTAACCAATTTCATGTTGTCTAGTCCTGAGTGCTGGTGGAATTCTATCGATCATTCCGCAATATGATCACCAAGTTAGGAGGCGCACCATCGTGGTGCACTCTTATGGATGTTAGTTAGTTGGAGGCATTCGGAAGGAAGCTCTAGATCTAGGTTTTGCGCTTGTTGGCAGCTGTCAGCACTCAAGACTTGACAAAATGAAAGTGGTTGCTCTCCAGTGACTAATCAATGTATTTTATGCTCATGTTTGTTACAATTGGCAAAACTGAGTCTGAGGCTTTAAAGAACTTACATAGTACAACTAAAAGTTATCATGCATGATAGAAACTCATTGGCAAATACTCAATTGCAGATCCAACAACTGTGAATCAAACAACTAGACATTTCAGCCTTCTAGTTTCATCATGAGAAAAGATAAGGATGCACATCACAAAGTGAGTTAAAAGCGACTGTGTGAGACTGACTAACACTGACTAATAAAATGAACGTAGAACCACGCACACAGAGGCATCGGATAGAGAGAAAAGGAGTGATATCAAAGTAGAAAAAGTTGTGTGAGAGAATAAACAACCTGAAGATAAAAGTTAACGCTAATAATCCAAGCTTTAGATGTCAAGGAGTGAATAAATCTGCGCCACTGTGTCTGATTTTTAGCCATGCCACAGAGTTCTCAACCACTGATTCTTAACGCCTAGGGGACCCTAACTAGGTCGTCCAAATCTCCTCACACGACTCAGCACAACAGTTAGGGATTTCATAGACTGATGCCAGGTCTTGGTCTGGTCTGGTTTAACTACGTGAAGGATGCTTCTGAATAAAATAATCAGATAAATGTTGTACTTCAAACAGGTTAACTATATCAACCCACTCAACAACGGAGACCATATCAACTATCGATAAAGCCATCACCTGCAGAAGATAGTAGCATATTCCGCTAACAAGAATAGAAAATCTTGTAAACGATTTAACTAATGTAGCAATAGTAGGTTATATCTTTTCGAAATGTTCCTATTTCACCTCCTGTAATGGTTATTGTAAACAATGTTTCGGACTAATATCATTGGGGATAATAATTTACGAAAACGACAAAAATTACCGAACGACAGGTGGTGTAAATCGACATAAATTCTTCAAAATAAGAATCAAATACGTTCGAATTTGATCAATGGATAAAAAGTTCCACTGTATGTGTGATGCCAAATAAACAGCGAAATCATTCATCAAGGCTAGAAATGAAAAGAAAAAAAACAAGGTATCTGCTGAATGACTAAATTAGTCTCTATACAGTATTGTGTAAACCACAACAGTGAGAAGATTGAAACTAACCATCAACTATTTTCTCTGATTTAGAATTATCGAACATATAAGATAAGAAGTCAATATGTTCGAATAGGAACAAGCTTTCCAAACTTTTCAAATTGTTATCCGTTGATGAAACTAATGCATTTGAAGAACCAAAGTCCCGATGACTGTTCCTGGTACAATACAATGAAGGTTTACTAGGACATTTGTTAACAGCGCACAGAATACAAGCTGACAAACGACACAAAAGTAGAATCATCGATTTCGTTAGGTGCTGGTCAGCTTTTAATTGTCTAAAACAAGAGAATGATCAAAAATCAGCTTTCAGAATAATGTGGAAGCAATACACAAGGATACAAAAGTTGCTTAAACATTGAATACCCAAAGACCAAAAATTAGTACCATTTCACAGAGATTACCGTACAACTCCAAAAACTAAAACTTAGAATCACTGTCATAAATAGCTTGTTAGTCTATTAAAAGTTATGATATTCGGCTCATGAAACGTGTGATAATGAAGAATTACGAAGCAGCTAAATGAGTCTGGCATTTAGGGGTAGAGTGAAATAAACACTCTTCAACAAAAAGAAACTTTGGGTTGAATACAAAGTACGAAACAGGCCCGGGTTGTAGAAAATACCTAACAAAGATATTCATATCGCCATAGTAATTATTAGGATTGCCATTTTGAATTTTCAAACCAACAACTACAGCTAATCAAATTATGAATCTTGTGGTATTATGAACCAGTGAGAAATATATACGTATGCAGCACATGACTTCAGATTATGAGTTTGAAAGTCATGCCGTAAGTAATATACATTTCAACAAAAGTGTAGTACATACCAATTATTGTCTGCTGGACTTTTTCAAAAACAACTTAGGAAAAGAATAACTAACAATGTCATGCACAACCGAAGACCGATCCTGACACAACCAACAAAGATAAAAAATAACAGGACAGATAGACGAATAAACAAACCAACTTTAAATCGTACACAGAAGTGTATCGGTTTAAGTTGCCACACCATCCACAATGGCATGTAAAATCTAAGTGGATAGAAAGTGTTAATGAAATATACAAAAATCTGTGCAGAAGGAGAAACAGAGGATAAATAGATTGAAAGTCAATGAAAATATTCGAAACTGCAAAGATGAAAAGGAGTGCATAAGTCTGAGCGATCTTGATTAACGCCACATCATACAACCAAAAGTTTCTATAGATTCATTTCTGTCATTTGGAGAAGAAATAAGATAAAAGACTACAACTCAGGTGTAATAACTCAGGTAATAATAACACGTGAAACCGCTTTGAAAGGAGATGTCACGCTAGCTAAATGTGGACGAACAAAAATGCCTGGTATGAAAGTGACGTCAAAACACAAGGTAAACAGACAACACATAATTTGATAACTCCACTCACTTAAACAGTTTAAGAAATATGTGTTGTTTGACTGCAAGACAGAAACCTCCATCCCCAGATAACACCAATATATCATCAAGAAAACCAGATAAACAAAGAGTAATTTTTGCATCATCCAGTGGTAAATAGCTCAGAATAAAATCGACTATCAGGCTAGATAACTCCTCCGAAGACATTACATTCACAGTTGAAAACCAATGTATCAACGAACATAATAATGAAATTATAGCTCCACACAAATATATCCAATATTTCTCATCGCATTTCACTTTTGCCTAAACAGAAAGTATATAGATAAATACCAACTTTGACAGAAATACGAGTGAAAAACATAATAAAGAGTCCTATCTATTAGGACCCGATATGCTGTCAGGAAAGCAATCTTTATCCTTCCATAAGAAATAAAAATCAACGACATAAGACTTCCAAACGTAAAACATATTTCAACCTCAAAGTGATAATATTACAACTATTTCATTTAAAAACACTAGTCATAAAATAAGCATAAAATTGTCATTACAGTAATTGCACTATGTTAGCTATTCTGCCAGACACATCGAAAAACCAACGTAGGACCTCACATACAAGTGCATCGGCTCAAGTTACCACACTTCACAGTAGTATACAAAGAACAGTTGAATAGAAAAAGAGTGATATTAAAGTAGACAAAGTTGTGAGACAATAAACAATTTGAAGATAACGGTTAGTGCAAATGCTCAACCTTTAGAAGACATCAAAGAGTGACCAACTTTCAGTCATGTCACTAAGTGTCCTCAACTATTAATTCCTATTGTCTCGGGGACCCCAGCCATATAGTCTACAACTCCCAACACGGCTTAGACCAACACTCAAAGACTTCATCGACGTCTTTATCCGACCACCCTTAACCCTCTCTTCTAACCTAATCCATCTTATCCTAACATGGTACGTTGAGGTAGGCGGTGACTTGGCTTGCGTAGTACAAGTCCAAGCTATCTCCATCGACTAAGGCTCAAAACCTCATCAACCAACTTACCTGTCTTGCCTACTACCCTACCGTTCATCTGACCTCAACATTGTTCATACGGTGATTCCACCAAACGGGAAGAATGCTAGAAGGATATCTGCAACTGCTTCATGTCTTCTACTCTTATCAACCATCTCGGTCGTATAACAGGACAGAACAGACTGCAGAGCCGTACACTCATACTTTGACCGATAGTCAGATATCTCGCTGATGCCACAGATGACGCAAGTTGGCGAATGCCAAACGGGTCCGTGTTTCACTTAGAACCAATATATATTGGTAAGGTAACAACCAATTTCATGTTTAAACTAGCTTCAGAAAAAAGAGATAAACCATACGCGTATGTTTCTTATCCAATGGTTCGTGTAATTATGATTTGCTTCAAGTTTCAAAAATGGACCACTTACGCTGACAAACACTAGTGCTTCGTTGTTGATTTATGCACAGAAAACGTGAGATAATACTTCTAGGTGCAAATATATCACCCGCAGTTCATGTTAATTACTTATAAAATGAAAGTCAGAAATCTCAACACGATACAGATCACTCAATGACCAATATTTGTGAAAGTGTTAAGCCAAATTACGACCAAGATTCATATTAAAAGAGAACGAATAATTTTCTTTTAATTTACTTTCCCCTAATGAAACAGATCTAATATTCCCTATGAACTAAAACATACGTAGATTATTCCCAAGAATAGTTCAGTTGTAAAAATCAGGAAGAACTGCAAAATATCAACTACCTTCAAATTCTTCAACCAGTCGACCAATGACTTCAAAACGGATGTATCATTAACACTGAAGTCTATAAAGTATAAAATGAAATAATATAAGATTCGAATCACTTTGTACAGATTACAGTAAACAGGCATAAATCTATAATCATAACTTCAGCAAAGTAAGTTATTTCAGACTACTCATCAGATATATTAGTTAGAGGTAATGAACAAAAAAACAATGTAGAAGCTTCCATACTTTGCATTAACAGGCAAAAACCTATAATTATTCATTGGTAAATTAAACAAATGTTGATGCATTTGTATGATATGAGGCAGTTATTAGTGATACACTTCAGCAAATCTATGTAGTTCATCGTTAAACATCATTTAAACCAAACTGTTCAGCTTTTCAATAAACGCTTTATGAATAATATGTTACAGAATCAATCTTCTTCACATTAGTTCTTCAATCGTAAGTGGCACCACCTTTAAATGACAGAAATAACTGAAATAAATTTGATTCAAGATAACTAAGCCATAATGTCAATTTTCATGCACAAAGCTACGAGCTCCAACCCAACATCTTCCGACTATTAAAACTACCTGGTTGCTTAAACTTTGACAGCTAGAGTGAAGTTCAATTTCAATTATTAAAACTTGCATACTGACTTAGAATGACTACACACATTGGTCAAAATATGCAAATATGAATAGCATTATCTCCTACAATACTCAAAATTGCTATATGACTTTCGGTCCCATTTTTATGTCGTCACAATCTGTTCTGCTGAAAGATTTCCCAATGCTGCTCAACAACTGTTGTAACATTCCACACGTCACACGCCATATATTCGAAACCACTAAACTTTGAGACATCTATCAAGCAAACGCCTGAATAACCACAAATATTATTGTATACCGAAACCCAAATGATGTGCACAGTTTTGGTTTTCTTTGTTTGATACAATGACATTTTTATACCACGCTTTAACTTTCCCTGTTAGACACTATACACTGACCTGAAAATCAATAACAGTACGTGTTAAAGGCATAGGAATCTACATATTTGGAATGACTTTAAATGCTAGCAAACCTCGTTGCTCCTGAACAGACCGATTAAATTTATATCTAAACGTGAGTGATGATATGAAATCAGTGATAAGCTAGTAAGAGAAGGGAAGACGTTAAGTCATATGGGAAAAATTACAGCTAAAACATGATGAAACCAATGTCATCTGAAAGGTATCCAGTGAATGCAACACGATTTTAAATAGTTAATGTGACAGGAAAATTCAAAAACGTTCTAGGAATGTTATAGCTAAGCCTTGTTGAGTTTGAATAAAACAACGATTATCGTAACACCTACCTTGAATGGTTATAACAGCACTGGATAGCAGACGGAGACCAAAATAAACAATGGCAACCTTTTTTGTATCAACCAATGATGTTGAATGCGTGAAGTGAATTGATTCGGTCAAATAGTCGAATACTATGTGAACTGCTTCAATGGATAACTTTTGGATCAAATCTTTCAGTCTGAAAATGTTAACATTTCGAAGATACGGTGATAGCGAAGAAAATTGTGTAGAAGACTTAATGTTCTTGCACAAAGCTACATTTTCTGTACAGGTGAAGTTGTGCATCGTTCATGGGAACATAGCAAAATAAATCAAACTACTATGTTTTAGAGACGAGGTATCGTGCAAACTGAAATTTTGCATAGATAAAAGAAACTGTAGAAGTTGCTAAATAGTATTTTTTTTTTAATATTCGAATAATGTATATAGGGACAATAGAGAAGAGAAGTAAGTTCAATGGAAATATCTTTGAAGCAGTATTCATCACGAAATGCCATCAGTTGAGGAACCATTGAAAATCTGGGAGCACTGGACAGCTGTTTTGTCCTAGTACGGGACTCCTCAACAGTAGGCACCCACGACCCGGTTAGATATCGAACTCAGGACCTTCAGGTTTCACGGCGAACGCGTTAAACATTCAGCTGATGTCAGTCCGTAATGGATACTACCTCAAAATTAAAATCCCCATTCATCTCGGAAATATATTTGTCGACAATTCCATTCTAAACATCTGGGCAATTATAGTTTTGTACGTTTTGATCTACCAAACTTTCACTGTCACAGCAAAGTGGCAAGGATTGTTAATAGCTAATAAACTCAAATGGTTTTTGCAATATTCTGCCTTGGCTCACTAAGGTTTTTTCATGGTTGTTCACAAGATTGTGATCCAAAACACGATAATAAAAAGTTCTACTGCTGGGACAAACCATTACGTATCAACTCAATTTCGAAATAAACGTGAACCCGGAAGGCTTATCAAGAAAAAAAGTCGAAATCGACTTATGATCTCTGTTTACGTTCGTGCAGAAAGTGATGAGGTATACCTATTGTGCAAGGGTTTATGATAATACCTGCCTGCCAAATTATCAGTAGATTGGGCTGGGTTCAAACCCGTGACCTGTTGGTTGAAAGTTGAGTACCGAGACCAGTGAGCCATAGCTATACTGGTAGGCTTGTATCCAGATACAGTGAGTCGAGCTGTAAGTTATTGTCTATTTGACGTGCTACCTACGTCCCACTAACAGCCATTATAAAACGAAATCGCGATGAAACTCAAGGTAATGCAAAGGTATCTGTGTACAAGGAGTCTATATGCCCACAAGGACCCAGCGGTCTGATCCACTAAAATAAGCAAAGAGGGATCATATGCATACAAAATTATTTGAAAGAAACCTAACGCTTACAACAATTGCTAATCTGGGAATACAATTAGTCATCAATACAAACCCACAATCGTCTTAACACACTGGAAGACCATTTTCAAAGCAAGATGGTGATAAAAGACAGCTGACAGATAGTATACGCAACTCACACAGAGAGTTGAGACAAAAGTACTCTGTTCGCACATATTCTCACAAAGAAATAATTTGTAAGTAGACACAATCGTGGGAAATTTATTTGTTCACTCAGTTAACTTTCAGTAATATAGCGTCATTCATAATGCATTCAAAACTGCAAATGCCCTAGCTAAAAATCAAGTGCCTAAACTAGTACCCAACGGCTTTACCTTTCAAGTGAAAAGAATGTTTTAGTAAATTGTATTCCCTCAATATTCAAATTAATTAGTACAATGATGATCAGGCAGAATTCTAGAAAACAGAAATGAATTGTGATATCCACATCACTTCATCCTTCATGATTATGTAAGCTAATGTAAAATGGTTAGGAGCTGGATGCAAAAGTTCTAGGAAAAAATTAGCAAAAAACAAAAATCCTATTAGGATGTTCAACTATTCAACTTACTCCACATGGTTTAGAAAATTCGATAAACCACTCCAGATCTTTGTGAAAACTATCCAATCTTTGACTGTATCGTGAGTAACACTGTCACTAACAGGGTGCTTAACCTTGAGCGCTTCAAGAAACTCCTTTATATGGACTGGATCACTGGAAGACAACACTTTTGAGACAATTGATTTACACTAGTAACAAAAAATAAATTGAGAACATACGAAATATGAAAAAAAGATGTTTGAAATAGCAAATGTGAATCGTATTACAGGGTAAAACTATAATCACGACCTGAACTGCGCAGTTTAACTGTCGCAATCAATTAAGTACGTGTTATTTTGCTTACTATACAGTTGTTCTTCAGTAAGGGTAAAGAGGCACTACATTTATGTTCAATCCAACAAACTCATCTTCGGTTGTTAAGTTCGTAGATGACCTAACAGTATCCCACGCTGATCATCTCTTCAGATTATTCTCCGTTTGTAACTTCGCAACCGAAATCGGTCATTGGTCTTCCCCAAATAGTTTAACAGGTTTAACTTAAGATGTGAACAAGACCTATGTAAATTGCTTTAGTTTCATGACTTGTTTCATAGACGGCTCTACTGTAGAGAATGTATCAAGCATGATCCATCTTGGCTTATGCTTTTTTGCGGATCTTTCTTGATTTCCTTCGTATTCTATTGGTTTCTAGGAAAATCCTTCGCTTGACCTTTAATATGGGGAAACCCAGACTGTCTGGGATAACTCAGCCTCCACTCTTACATTTCACTCATTCCTGTATTTTGCCTGTACTTTATTCTTCCTGAACTTTGGAAAAAAGACTACGTTGTATTGCGAAGGATTTTGAAGGCTGTTCGCAAGCGAGTGGTACACCCCTAACCGTGATGAAAAATGCGGTCGTAGATAGGCATCTGAACTCTTGTGGACAGCTGACTAAAAATATTCCAACAAGCATCCTCTGCATCCGCACCTCTCTCCATGTCTGTTCTCAAGGAAAACAAGAAGCAAATAAATTGAACTTTATGCACGCACAACTACGTACAAAAATTCAACCATACCTTATTTAGTTTGGGTATTGTGTCAAGAAAATCATGTAAAAAGTGGTTTTATGAATAAACTTTGCAACAGCGAATAGTTATCATGACAGTGAAGTCATTAAACATTTAAACAGTCTTGTTATTTTTCATTGTATATGGCCAAACAGTGCCACTGTTAGTATCCATTTGAAAAATGTTGTACAACGAGTAAACTTATGCAATACCGCACGCTGAGAATTCTGTACTGTAAACAAAATTGTAGTTCCGAATAAGGCGAATATATTATAAATATTATCTATCTGGTTTACAGAAATATGAAAATTTACACGTAAAGCTAAAATGCATATGGTGAGCTGATTATGAGGAATCAGTTTAATTCTTAAGGTTTGGAAACGCACTCAGCACCTTTCGCACATTTGTTTAGTAGATAGTGAGCCACACTTATCGTATGGGAGCTAGTGATACTACCTGGTAGCCCGAACTTCGGTAGGTGTGGCAGATTTCGAACCCACACCCCACTGGTTGATAGTCATTTCCTTAAACTACTGAGCCACAGCTCTATAAAGCGTTATCAACTGAAAACTCATCACTAAGATCAAGAGTAACAAACACAAAGTTGTGCCTTTTACGTATTTATTTACACTTTATATGCATAAATGAAAACAATATCAATAAAACTTGCATAATATATACTTTACCTGTATATCCAACATATCAGTCGGTATAATAAGTGAAAGTGGATCTGTACTATGTTCACCAACTTCAAGAAATTTTCTCAGTTCATCATCAACATTTGAAATGAGGTGAAGACAACTTGAATTCTTCTCTTTCGACAAAAGACTGTTAGATAAGTAATACGAAGTAAAATCTACTAAAGCAAGTTTAAGATTTCGGTGATCGGATTTCTTTATCCAATCAGTGTTTAGTACTTGAACGCAGATCTGAAAACAATTCATATATTGAAGAAATAATAATAAATGTAATGAGTAAAGCAAAGTCAGTGATATGAGCCTTTTCAAAAAGCAGCCTACAAAAAACCTATTATCAAGTACAGATACAACTGATAAGACAAAATACGGTTTATAATCCCAGAACACAGATATAGAAGAAAAATAAAGCGAATTATAGTAAATTAGATTAAGACGTCGAAAAATACTGATCTGCTTTCAGAGAATTGAGTGATAAAAAATTTTCTTTAGAAAATACTAATAAATATGCATTGTAAAACCTGATAAGAAAAAAAATACAAAATTAAAGTTTATCCTGCCTACAAGTCAGGATGCTTTCTTATCAAAGTCTGGTCAGAATAAAGAATAGAACATAAATAGCTTGTTTGGATGCACAAGTTTACCGCATAGCAGATTATAGGTCAGTGCACTGCTGTGAAGAATCATATTCGAATCAACCACATGCCTCCAGCCCCTTAGTTTTTAATTTACGTCTAGCTGATTTTGATCTAAACCGAGACAAAAAACGACTTATCCACTAGGTTATAATTTACTTGGTGGTGAACAGCAACGGAATCCAGGATACGCGTCTCGTCTCAGTGGGAATACTATAGCTCGGTGGGGTGTGTGTACATGCAGCTAATGAGTTCTAAATGGCATGAAACACGAGTCCTGAATTACAGTGCTAGCCACCACCAGGTAAATTACAACATGATGAATATTCAGGTGATATCAAGGTATAATCCTAAAAGATCATGTACCACTTCTTTCTTCACCGTAGTGTTTTATAGGTTGCATTCAGTTCCACTTTTTGTTAGTCATCCCTCCACTGCATTACACTACACTACACTGGTTCATCTTCTGCTTCACCATCTTCCTCTCACTCTTCTGTCAGCTTCCATGTGTCCATCGAGGTCCATACCATTATTCCTTGTCTTGCCGCTTCTTCTTTCTTCCTAACACACCTATGCAGGTTTCCTTCAACGTCTCTTCCAAGGAGTTCCAGTGTTCTTCCATACAGGTTTCTTCAAGGATGTTGCTTAATGTCTCCCATTTCTTGCTGATGGCTAACTGACATGAAGATGTCCTTTGTAGTTTCGTCCTTCAGTTCAGTTTCTGTTCTGCGTGTTCAACTTCAACTATGGTCGTCTATCACCAACTTCTGTGATGGCTTTCAACTTGATTTTGGAGGCAGGCTCCTTGCACTAGATAGTGAAGTGAATGGTGTGAATCTACATCTGCTCCTCTTCTTCATCTGATCTTGTGTCCAGTGGGCTGGCTGTGTCTCCACTTTCTTCACATTGAGATGAAGTCGATCTGATTTTTAGTGTAGTGTGTCCTGGTGTCTGGTGAAATCAAATCCATCTCGCTGCCTTGTGAATATCCTTGTGTTTGTACACACTGCCTCGTCTCTAATCCCCGAATCGTTGGATGCGCAGAAATCTGCAAACAGTTCTCAATTCTCGTACATTTCACCCGGTGCTTCTCGACGCATGATAAGTTCTCTTCCTGTGTTGTCCGCTCCCAGTTCGGCTTTCATGTCACCCCACCGATTAGAATTTTGATGTCGCCATCTGGGGTGGAGTCTTGTCTAGTATTGATTGCAGTTGTCTGTAGAATTCCTCCTTCTTCTCTTCATCTGCATTGTTTGTAGGTGCGTAGCGTAGCACAGCATAGCATTGTATGATTGTAACTTTCCTTCCTTTTGATTTAAATCTTGGTGTCATCATCCTGATCCTGCAGGAGGAGGTTGGTGCCCACTGCATGAGAGAGAGCCTTCGATGCTGTTGAGGAATCATGATATCCACTCCAAAACTCAGTGTGCTTGTGGTTGTCGTCTGGGTGACAAAATCGGAGTAGATTATTGACTTTCCAGTTGACAATCCTGAATGTCCACTTCCATTTCATCTGCTCTCACATATTCCTAGCACTTCTGTGCCATATCTTTTCATTTATTTTGCAACTTGGGCATGGTGGGCCACTAACCAAAATATTTTGGGCACAGATACAAAAGGTTCTCTTGGCCTTCGTCAACTTACAGTTTACGGTACCGCTGTGGTATCCAAATGATTATTGCAGGTCGAGGGTACTGCACTGCAGTTTGCTCTGTCTTACTACATGGATAGGATACATGGTTATTAAAAAGTAGAGGATGTGAGATAGCTTCAGGTATTTAAAACAATTATTCTCTTTGGTGAATTCGCATAATGCAATAAGATGGAGGTTATCTGAGAAATACGATGTATTTGCGCAATACATTTCAAACAGTTTGGTCGCACATTTACTTGTATTGAGCGAATACATTACATTTCTCAGATAACCTCCGTCTTGTAATTACATTATGCAAATGGTTTCAGGTGTTTGACCACCATCGCTGCCACAACATAGGCCGTGTCACGACTTCAGCAATATAGAGCCGGAGGCTGAGTTTAACGAAGACCTCCATCGATTTCGGTGGCTGGCCCATGTGTTATGCAAGCCTAGTCCATTGTGCCGCAGTGTTAGCTGAAATAGGTCCAGGTGGGAAAAAGACTACAGGCAGTCAAACTAAAACATTACATCAGCACATGCAATCTTTAACTGTTGGTCTGAGCCTTGTAGGGAAATTTAGAACTCACGGTTAGGGTCCGCGTGACAATACAAACCAGTGGCTGGAACTCTAGGTGACATGACTCATAATCTATCTCAGTGATACATACGCATCACCCACAACTTATCTTCATTCCAATCGTCATATTGTCGTCTCATTCCTCCCCGTTCTCTTATCACCATTTTCTACAACTTCAACTTCTTCCTTCTCTACATCTTTATGCTTCATCATAGTGCACTTTCGCTTAGTGACGATATGAGGTGTGGTTACCGTAAGTAGTAATGCCACATCCTTTGTTGGTTTTGTCTGTTTGTATGGAGGAGCAGAAGGAGCAGAAAACCTCGGCAGCAAAAGTAGCACATTCTCCTACATTATATCACTCAGAAACTGGCAGTATAGCTTTGGACGACACAAGCACAACCAAATTCCAACTCAACAATCCTAAAAAGGACATTAGTGACAAAACACAAGGAGATATGTCCCGTTAGATAAGTGGTGACACATTTAATCCCACATCACTTTAAGGGACATCAAAAGAGAGACAGGCAAGCAAACAGATAGAAAAAACCAACCGAGAATCTCACACAGAAGTACACCGCTTCGAGTTATCACATCTCTCAGCAACATACCAAAAACAAGTGGATGGAAAAGGAGTGACATCGAAGTAGACAAAAGTGTATAGGAGGAGAAACAGTTTCAAAACTGAACATCAGTGAAAGTGCTCATACACTAGGAGACATTGAAGAGTGACCACATCAACACCATTGCAACCAGTTTTCAACATTATCACCAAGGGTCTCCAAACAATGGATCCTATTATCTGTTATCTTGAGCATCCCAATCAGGCAGTTTGGATTTTTATACATAGCTCAAACTAACAGTCATCGGCTTCATGAAATGTTGTTACGTCCTGGTTTGGTCGCGCTAAACCTTCTTCCAACACATTACTACTTGCACATACTGAGTAGGTAAAGGTTCACAACCTAATCAATCTCGCAGACACAACCGAGACAGTTTGGGTAGTCAGGAAGTACAAACCACCAACATGCTTCCGTCAGTTTACAAACCCAACGAACTACAAACAATCTTCATCACCCTATAAGTTTTTCTATCTTGCTTTTAAAATATATGGGTAACAGGAAGTAAAGACCTTGCAAATTCCAAAACCTTTCATACTTCGAAAGTTTTCAAAGATCCAAGCCAACAAAACACCATTACTGGTATCCTAAAATAATAGTTCCGATTTCACATCGCAGCCGCCTCAGTCTACGCACCGATAAACTGCGGTTCAGATACCGCAAAATATGAATTCTATAGATAGCATTCAACTATGCTACATAAAGAGAAATTTTCATACCAGTAGGCGAACTCATCGCTCAAGTACAGAAGCTGAAATAATCGGAAAGGCATCTTATAGGTATCTACGACGATGACCTCTTGCTACTTTGTTCTGAAAATCACTTGTTTCCAATCAGCAGTAACTTCAAGCATAAAGAGAGAAACCTTCTTATTTCAAGTCAAATTAAAACCAACAGTAGACACAGATATCTAACACTGCTGAAGGTCAGTATTGAAGAGAACAGGTAGGGAATCGCAGAGCTTTCTACAGTAATCGCGTATACTCAAATCACGCGACACTACAGGCCCAACAAAATCTCTGGTATGCATACACAGCCTGTCAGAGAAATTCTATTAACTAACTTCAAGTGGCGTAGTACTTCTACAAAAGTGAGACAGCGGAAGTAAATGTCCAGCGTTCATCACCGGATTGGTGGATACCAAGAGTTCGCCTAGAGGAATTCAAAAATCCTGATGCTAAACCTATGGTACTCATAGGCTACCGTTTCCAGACGGAACAAATGACGAAATATACCCATTTATGCGTTAACAAGAACAAGGCATGTATCAGCGAAGAAATATTTCTTTTCAACGACTTCATTATCAAGCTGTACAGTCGTATTTATACTCGGTAAAGTGACAGATAATTGCACTAAAAAGTTGCTCAGTCAATATGCCAAATATACAATCGGTGTAGGTGGTGGTATTTATTCAAGTGGAACAGATAGAAAATGGGTCATTGAAAAAGGAACGAATTGATAACAAGTGGTGCGATAAGTGACAAGTGTTGTCAAAGAATTGTAAAACGGTGATAATTAAGCTGAAACGTGTAAAATAGGTCAATGATTAAGGAATGAATTGATATTAAAAAGTGAAATATGGGTCAAATGTTGTCAATGGATTGATAATGATGATAATGGAAGAGAAGTATACCAAAGTGAACTGAAATTGACAAAATCAACAAATGAATTGTTAAGGCCAAGGTAGAGAAAGTGGTTTCACGAAACGTTTTTGAACGCAAAGTTTCGGTTTTTGTTCATATATAGCTAATGCTTCAGCTATGCATAAGTGGTGGAAACGTAAACCTTTGGAGTAGTTCAATTTAACTTTGTAAATTATTTTAAAGGATGAATCTCGAGGTGCTGAGTGTCTCAATTCAACAAGGTGTTCACATATGGATGAAGTCGTTTTCCTTTTCCCGCCTCTGGTAGGCCAAACCGGGTAGTGTTCAGCAACTTTATTTGTATAAAAGGTACATGGATGATACTTTTCTTATTTGCGACGAAACATGTCCAGTGGACGAGCTGTTAAGATGCTTCAATGATTGTCACCCGTCCATTAAATTCACTGTAGAAGAAGAGCTAAAGTCATCGTCTTACTTTCTAGACGTAATGTTAAACAGAAGGGATTATGGCTCGATTCAAAGGTCAGTCAATCGAAAACCAACTTGGACCGGTCAGTTCACTAACTTTTATAGTTGAGTACCTCTTGGTTGTCAGAGAAATCTCATTCACTCACTGTGTTCCAGAATCTTTGGAATATGTCCAGAGGCGAGCAAAGGAAAACGACTTCATCCATATGTGAACACCTTGTTGAATTGAGACACTCAGCACCTCGAGATTCATCCTTTAAAATAATTTACAAAGTTAAATTGAACTACTCCAAAGGTTTACGTTTCCACCACTTATGCATAGCTGAAGCATTAGCTATATATGAACAAAAACCGAAACTTTGCGTTCAAAAACGTTTCGTGAAACCACTTTCTCTACCTTGGCCTTAACAATTCATTTGTTGATTTTGTCAATTTCAGTTCACTTTGGTATACTTCTCTTCCATTATCATCATTATCAATCCATTGACAACATTTGACCCATATTTCACTTTTTAATATCAATTCATTCCTTAATCATTGACCTATTTTACACGTTTCAGCTTAATTATCACCGTTTTACAATTCTTTGACAACACTTGTCACTTATCGCACCACTTGTTATCAATTCGTTCCTTTTTCAATGACCCATTTTCTATCTGTTCCACTTGAATAAATACCACCACCTACACCGATTGTATATTTGGCATATTGACTGAGCAACTTTTTAGTGCAATTATCTGTCACTTTACCGAGTATAAATACGACTGTACAGCTTGATAATGAAGTCGTTGAAAAGAAATATTTCTTCGCTGATACATGCCTTGTTCTTGTTAACGGGATAAATGGCATATGCACCTATTTCCTTCAACAATAACCACAAGAATGCAGCCCTTGATGTTGCACCACTCCCTTGTCTATTAAACTTGTAGTCAAAGGCTCGGAGAGTGGTCCGCTGAGACATCCACTCGCTTCGGTCTGCGTGCTCACACACTATTTTACCCCTGACATAAAATATGAAGTTACAATATGCAAAGAAGATTTCGAAGCACTTTCCCCACTTCTCTGGAAATATTGAAGCCTTCCGTACTGCAGACACGATAACTAATTCTTCGATTCATTATTATTATCATATGTTTTTGTTGTTTTCACAAATGAACTATACTCTTTTATTATCATTTCGTTTTTGTCTTTATCTTCACTTCAGTCAGCTGCTCTCCACTGCTTAGATGTTTGGTCTTTGTGTAGCATTTTGAGTTGCTAAACAGTTCCCTCCATAAAGCTGTCCTCTAGTACGATATCTGACACAGTCATCCTGAAACCACATATACTGTTTAAGCTCACCACCTTCATTGTTCGCACCTTGATGCAGATAGGAAAACAGGCAGGACTCTGGAAAACCTTGCTAGTCATGTATGCTGCATCTCAGAGACCCACATTTGAGATCCCAGTGAAATGCTTCGAATTAGTTCCCCATCTGTCAGCCAGAAAAGTATATTTCATATGGGTTTATCCGGAGCCCTGTGGCATCGGTAACCGGTCTTGTTGTTGTTGTTGTTGTGGATGTCACACTAACCGCTAGAGCCGAAGCTGCATTACTTGACAGGATCCCCATCAACAATCGCTTGTATGGTGTCAGGCTGGACTAGAAGATTTATCTCTAGTAAGAAGTAGTCGTCAAGAGAAACGATGTCTGTTTGTCATCTCTGCTTACACTTCGATGGACTGCAGTCAAGGAAGAATTCTATCGTGAAGTAAGTGACCTTCACAACTAAGTGCGCTTGATGGATATTGTGGTGCTAGTTGAGGACATGAATGGGCAGGTCGATCGTCTAGGTTTAGAGAAAAGTCACTTAGGTAACCAATGGTGACTAGTTGGTCCCAGGTCGGATAATGAGGATCGTATTCTGCAGCTTTGCGCAGATAACTACCTACTTCTAGCCAGAACCAACTCCCGAATAGTCAACACCACTGTGCTAGTTGGCGTTCTCCCTCCGCCAATGACGTCTTGACTCAAATAGATCATATTGGATTCAGCTAGCGACGGGGTGGATGCATACAGGACTACCTCTGCATGTAGAGTACTTGTCTGGATTCTGATCATTCTTTAGTATGTGCATTTTGGTGTTTACCAAAGTCATCGTGCTGAACAAGTCGGTGCTAGAAAATTAGTTGCACCTAACATTGCAGCTAAATACCAATCTGAGCAAGATTTAAGCCTGGCTACCGATCCTCCAGAAAGTGTAGACGACCACTGTCTGCACTTGCATGACAACATGGAAATGCCGAGTAAAGCCACTTGCGAGTTGGAAGAACGTCCTGCTAATGAAAACTGAGTCTTTGTGAGCTCCATGCAACTTCCTAACGCCCATCGAACTATCCGATGGATAGCAAGTACAATGGTTCTCATAAGTCTGCCAGGAGGAACATTACACAACGCTTACACAGGGACTGTGAGGCTTGGTGGTGAGAAGACGCGAGTAAGATGGTAGCGGCAGCTGGATCGGGCAACAGTCGGAAGCTGTTCCGGTTCATTTTAGTCACTGGCAGCAAGAGGCCTAGTGTCAGTGACATAGATGGTACGTCGATAAAAAAATCTTCAAAGACACTTGAAACGGTAGTTGGATCACTCCGAAAAGCAGTTTAGCTGGATCATTGCTGCAGCACCTTAAGTTTCAGTGTATCATTCTCTATGGTCTGTGACAATCATCTGGGTATTAGTCTGGTGCCAATCGCGTCAAAATATTGGTGGATATCATACTTCCCAGACTTTGCAAAACATCTGGGGAAATGGCTCGCAAGGAACAGGCCGGATCTCATTCCGGTGTTGGATGCATTGACTTCTTGTTTGCCCTCCACCAGATGTATTGCATGCTGACAATCGTTTTGTTTCTAGACATTACGACTATCGCCGATTTGTTGGACAGATCTGTACTCTGGAAATGTCATTCGGAGGGGGGTGTTTCCGAGAAATTCATTAGCCTCCTGTAAGCCCTACATATTAGCACCTCAGGTAGAGTGAGGGCACACAACCACCTGCCTCCATCGTCCCAAACCAGTAGTGGGGTTAAGCAGGGTTGCCCGATTTCTGCATTCCTCGTTGGCTTTGCCATAGATGACATTCTTGAGACGGCTGTAGAGAAGTTGCGCGATGGTGGTGTAGACCGACCACCCGGAGAACGGTCATTCGACCGTGAATATGCAAATGATTTAATCTTACTGTGCGATAACACACAGGCTATTCAATCGCTCTAAACCAGTTAGTGATTAGTTTCCGTAAGTACGATATATGCTTCGCACCATCAAAGTGCAAACTATTTTTGAAAGATTGGCATGGGCGTGTACCTAACATAGACACTTGGTCGATTGACAGGAAGGTCTGTTTTCTAATATTCAGTCGAACTTGAATGGAAATTGACATCGGTGTGCAGTGAAGTTAGAGTACCAATGTTGTAAAAAAAATACCGGTTTGGCCACTTTAGTCTAATTTCAATCAAACCAAACACAGACCAAAGTATTTCCTAATACAGAGTAATATACATATGATAACAGTTTGAAATACATGATAAAATAGCATATTCGCCACTTAAATGACAACTGAACCGCACTTCAGACCAATATCATACGCGAAAATTGTCAGAATATTTAAAATACTTTACACTGGCTAATATACAGGAAACTAAATGTAACAAGAACATCTACTTACAGTGTTTAGCAACTTCTGATGAGGAAGGTGTTCAGAACTCAGTTGGTTGGAAGTTGCAAGACGTTGTTCAGCAATACAAAGCAAACGTAAACAAAGCACAGTCGTACACTGCAAACTTGTACAATCATCCACTATCATTGAATTTAATGGTACATTCATAGTACTACCATGCCACGTAGACAGAAACGTAAGTACCAAAACCGGTAGCAACGTATATATGACTGAATATTGTAGATCCATAAACTGGTTCACAACTCAAGTTTAGTAGTGCGTCAGTACCCTTATAAACTGCATCTAAGGCTCGCTATAAACAAAAGCAAAAGCTGAACTGATGACGCTAATCAGTAACCAATATAGTTACAAGTTGCATTTACATGATATTCATCCTTGTCATCAAAGTTATTTCAAGCGCAAAAGCAAAATCTAACAGAAAAACCAAGAAATGTGAAGTGCAAACATAAGGATCCTGTCCCTGAGAATTGTGCAGGCAAACTTGTAGTCAACCCAAAAAAATACTGAAGTTTTGATGAGAAGTGACCTATGGGGTTGGACGTGAGGACAGTTACTCCACGACGGCATTGGATGGAGGTACCATTACAACGCAAGCTGACGGAAGTAGGAGCATGCAGATCACTGGATTCCGGCCTATTGGTCCAGTAATGACGTCCTGACCGCGGAGACCGAAGGTTCCGAGTCCGAGCCCTGGATGTGCACTGCTGGGGTGTTCCATACTAGGACGAAACAGCTGTCCAGTGCTCCCAATCCGTGATGAATACCAACACGTAATCAATACATGAATCCCCAGAAACCTCCAAATTGAATTACTGTCTAGTTCTCATTAGTGACTTGCTTTGAGATGAGATTTCCTGAAGTTCGAATGAGAAGTCGTGACCAGTGGAGCAAACGAAATCGGATAATGCTTAAATATATAAATCATTAAAATGTTATCTGCAGACCACAACAGGTTTGATGACTAGACATAGACTATAATCGTCATCAATATTTTCAGTTCCGAATCCCCTTTACTTGCATGTGCTTCAAAAAAGTCACAATATATTCAAAACATTGATAGTTTCTGCCGAATCTTTTCCAACTTATTTGCTAACCAAAGGGAAACCTTGTGATATGGAGAGCTAATCATAGATAGAATAGATCTCACCATTGTCTGTTTTATGCATTTTTCGCTGTCCATATACGAATGGTATGCGAGATCTAGACACAGACCCGGATCTGGATCCAAAGGATCTCGAATGCCATTTATGTATGGACAAGAAAAATATTTCAAATAATTTGATGTGAATTCGTACTTACCACACATGTAATGCAAACCAAATTAGTAAGTTGGAGGTCAAAACTATTGCATAGTAAAACTAACCTGTTTGCCGTGTATATCGGTTAACTCTATAGCAGTACACAGAATACGAAACATATGGTGGGCAACAGGAGGTGAGTATGTATGAAGACTGGCAATAAGCGGCGCTAATACGTAACTGCAAAGCAAGATAATTATGAGTTAGTGGAAGTTGGATACCTCAGAATCGATACCAATCGATAGGCCTCTTTCAAAGTTGTCAATTCAATCGGCAAACAATAAAACTTGGGTTCATCTGACTATAAAAGAACAAATATACCATTAGAGAAAAGTAATCAACTACTTTGTCATCCTCATGAGAAATAATCCCATTCAAACAAGGAGCTTTCAGTACCCAACGAAAATCACTGGAACCCTTTTGAACAAAACCTTCCATAGAGTTCAATAAATCTAAGAAAAGAAATCAGCAGTTAACACATGCTAACAAAATCAACTAGTTTACTGTAATGCAAATACATTGAGTGTTTATTTATTAATCAAACTGAAATCTACCAGCTTTGTATGTGTGTGTCTATACCTCAATGATACAAAGAGCTATGGCCAGTGGAACACTTCTTCCTTCAAGGTCGCACTACACCGGAAAATTTAGCTGGAATACGGTAAGATGAAATGCAGTTACGATGCAAATTGTTAAGCTGATAGGGGGATCAGAGGGAGACGTAGGAATGCCGGCTGGATGCGGAAGTCCCAAGAGCCAAGTGTTTCTAGTGAATGAACACCATACACCGTTGATACTGCTTTCCATAAGCGAAGTGATAGATAGATCCTACTTAAGACTAACGAAATATACTAATGAACAACTTGAATAGTAAGTTTATGTGCAGATTATGCAAAAACCAAAAATCAATCTGAGCGTTTCATAACTTCTCAAGTTGCTCAGTAGTATATTTTCGTCAGTTTACGAAACTTTTGTGTCAAAGATCACACCTTGTGATAATGGCTTCATTTCCTAGGGAAACCAGTTGAAAGTACAGTTGGGCAGGTGAAAACAAATAACCTATGAGAAATATCAACATGAACCGTGGAATTTGAAAATCACTTGCAAATTGATCACCCCATCTACCTAAAACTTTCTAGTCCTATACTAGAAGCTAAACGTTCAGATGTGATTAACGTAGCAGATGATTTAATGAACAAGCAAATAGGCCAATTCAGACAAAAAGGCGTTTAGGTGGCCTTTTCGAAATTCCAATCGCAAAAACAGACAATGACAATTAACAGCTACAGTTGTGCTCACATAAACATTTATTTCTGACCCACGCAAACTTCATACGTAAAGAGAATCGTTGTACGACTTGGCGTTCAAAGGCCTCAACTCAACGATGGACGCAGATAGACCACAATGCTATCAGTCCTCACTGGAAAACACTGACTGCAGATTTCCGCACGTATCTGGACAGCGACCAGGCAACAGTTCGAGCACCTACAGGGACGTAGGGAAAATACACCTGTAAGGAAGACCACTATAAGCACAGCTCGACGATGGAAATACTAAGGTTGATTTCTAACAGGAAGTAGCTAGACAGTTATCGAAACAATACAATATCGGTCATCCCAAACAAGCCCGGTGCCATCTCTAGTCTGCTGTAGAAACAGCGTTGACGGCTATAACCGAAACTGTGTAAACGGTCAAAAAAGCCAGTTGGTTTCAGCAGCTTCTTCTGGACTAATTTAAGGGTATTAACGCATTCTTACAGGTTCCGAACATAGTGGGGTGCGGAAGGAACTCAAATGCAGACTGACAAACAGTCTACGCAATGGCACCGGCCAGTGATGATCAGAGGAGGCTAAAGAGAGGTAAAAAAAAAAAGTATGATAAAAGGTAGCAACAGACAGTCAGTTAAACTTATCGAAGTAGCTGGAGTGAAAAATTCAATGGTTAGTGAGATTATAGAGAAGTATGCGATTCACTTGCAGGGAAGATGACTTCAAGATGGATCGAACACTTCGAGGAACAGTAAGAATGAGTTCCAGCCACTCCTCTTTTACCCATTATTCAGTTGGATATCAAACACGACATTGCGATGGGATCTCTAACACCTAAAAACGTCGAGGAAGTGGTAAAAAACATGAAAAAAAGAAAGGCGGCAGGGCCGTTTGGACTAGTACTAGAGGTATTTAGGGATGGCAGTAGAGGATAACTGTAAAGGTTAGCTGAAGTGTTAGCTAATGTATCCAGGTCAGATATGATCTACTCTGATTAACCCAGTATTCGAGGAAGTGAAAAAATCCTCTTGTGATAACCACATGGGAATTAGTTTGACGAATATAGTTTCTAAGATCGTAGGTTCCATCGTCAGTAGACAATTAGATGAAGCTCGGAAATGTACTGGGAGTTTTGAAAATGTTCAACAGAATCCTAGCGTTATGTTCAAAAGATAATGAAGAATTACAGTTGATAATCAGTGCATACCACGAATATCTGGCAGTTAGAAAATAACTCATGTTTTCTAAGCGACTAACACAACAGTGCACAACAAACAGACAAACAAAATCAACGCAGGATCTCGCACAGCGGCCTCATTGATGTAAGCATAAAAGATTCACATCATTAGTTCTCCGTTTAAACCTCATATCACCTACTTCAGTTTGAGCATTCGAATGTTGTCAGCTTTCACAAACAAAGCAGTTTATGGTCTAGTACATAACCTCTAACGGACCATTAAGTTGCATTTTGGTCCTGCATAGCAAAACCAGGTCCCAAATTCTGTCGCAAGAGGTCAAGACTACGTACAAATCTGAAGTCCTAAACGCTAGATCGCATGTTCAAAGTTACGCCATTCGACTGAATTTTTCAATGAAGCTAGTTCGGAAAGTAAACACTTTTAAAGGTAACGCATAAAATAGATCAGAGAAATAGGAATTAGAATGATGTGAAATGTAAACTTTCTTATCTCCATCGCTGAGTGCGAAACTGACTAAAACACCTTAATAGTCAAATCAGCTAACACAATGATAATATAACATCTATAGTGATTATAGTATGAGATAAATAAGACATTTACCGAAAATATATGCAAATGTTCAAGTTCCACATAGCGTAGAAGGGTAAAACAAGCTATCACTAATATATTTAAAATATTTACCTTTAAGAACTAAAACCAGAAAAACAGAATGGTTGACATATATGTTCAAATGATGTCTTTCAAGAAGCAGCATGAGAGATCGTATTTGATCCCCGACAACCTTTAAATGGTAACTGAAGTGTGGTCGACAGGCAATCACTATTAGCCGATAAATACACCATATGGAGAAATCTATTTTTAAAAAGCATGAAAGGAAACTGGTCAAGAGTACAGATTAGGAAAATGAAACATTTAATTTGTTCATTCATTACACTTAACTTGATTACGTATCGAAAAGTTCATTGCATACACTACATAAACCAACAAAACAAAATGTAGGACACATATTTCAAAAGAGAGACAGGCAAGCAAACAGATAGAAAAAACCAACCGAGAATCTCACACAGAAGTACACCGCTTCGAGTTATCACATCTCTCAGCAACATACCAAAAACAAGTGGATGGAAAAGGAGTGACATCGAAGTAGACAAAAGTGTATAGGAGGAGAAACAGTTTCAAAACTGAACATCAGTGAAAGTGCTCATACACTAGGAGACATTGAAGAGTGACCACATCAACACCATTGCAACCAGTTTTCAACATTATCACCAAGGGTCTCCAAACAATGATTCCTATTACCTTGAGCACCCGAATCAGGTAGTCCTATTCGCCATGCCGAAGTATGGACTTACATATGACCAAGTTAGCCGCTTCATGAAGTGTTACCACTTCATGGTTTGACAGCCCTGACCTTTCTACCCATCCACCACTACTTGCACATGTTGGGTAGGTAAAGGTTCACAAACTTCCCCAGCTCGCTTTTTGAATTATCGCCATTCAACAGACCTTTCTGGTGTGGTAGGACCTCGTAGAAACAAGCTTTCCACGAGCATAGCCCGTTAGGTCATTGATGTATGGAAGCCAAGTCATTACGTTAAGGTGACAACTATCAGTCTAGAACATGCAGGGAAGTAAGCAGAAAAAGATTTGTAATGATGTTGACGAGACGGTATAAATAAATGAGTGTTAACATAATATTTACAACTTTATGGATTGACATGACTCGAAGAGCGATGTCACCATACGTAGATGAGGACACAGCAACTTTTTTGCAGTTCATTCATTGTTTAACTTGCATTCAAAATGTCGAATAGGTATTTTTTTGCCTATCCGTAGGGTTTCCTACAAACTTGTTTCTTACAACTGATGCAATTCTTCAAGAAAGTGATGTTAGGAACGAACCTCGCCACATCATTTGCTTTTCTTAAAATACTAGTTCCTGTGTAAAGGGTCCTAAAATACCATCTTACATTTAAAAGGTGAAAACGTATGCCATACATACCTAAACTTTCCTAATAACTCCCAAAGGATCAGTACTTTGTCAGCCTTTACGCCCAACAGAATTACACTACGAGTAATAAGTCCGTCAGTACCCGATAAGTCAGAGTTACGTTAGTTTAGAACGCCTACAACAAATCTAAATAAGAATGGTGATGGCATACATTCTTGGCGGATGTGGTTGGCTATCGACTTCCCAGGCAAATAATCTCCTTAAGCATCTGCACTACCGCGTCACTATAAATAGAGAGCATTTAGAAGCGTAACATAACTGCTCTGCACTCACTTCATAGTCCAAGACTACGAAAATAACTCAGGATTTAATGTGTCACTTACTGGAGACAAAAACAGTGCTTCATATATGCGTTTCAAACGTTATCAACGGGTGAAAATTTGAATAATTCAACCATATCCAGGTTTGAAGACTGCTTAATTTTCCTAAACTCTTTTTCCTCCAGCTCCACTCAAACATAGAATGACAGTGGAACCTAGGATCTGACGCACAATGACAATCAAACTAATTCCCTAGTGATTGTCTTAAGATTTCACTCCTTTCTTACAAACCGAAATAAACAAGGATATCGATAATTATGATTCCCATAAACCAACTAGTACCGAAGTCACTCCAACCCGAAAATATGTTAGACACCAAAGAATTGTACAGACAAATAATTTGTTGTTGCTCCTTTCAATTACACTACACGTCTGAAGCAGCCTCCTCAGCTTCAGTAACACTTGAAAACTTCACATTTACATCATATTCAGGATACAGCTAGATGTTCACCAAGTGAAGAGTGGCTATACGTTAGTTGAACCATTCTTCAAAGTATTCTACTCAACTTTTCAGTCTTCTTTCCTTAGCAGTCCTCCATCTTACCGACAACAGTCTTCTAAAGCTTGAATATTTTCACTAAACTTTATCTTCAAATCCTTTCTGTCTCATACACCACTGTCTACCTTCACATCACTCTTCTTCTATTCACTGGTTCTTTGCATACTACTGTGAAATAAGGCAACTTGAGACCGATGCAATTCATTCTGAGGTTCCACGTTGG